ACCCAATGGTCAGTAAAAGTCCCGGATTTCGGGCGCTTTATTTTGATGGATTGAATAATATTCATATTTTTCCTTTTCTATCCACTAATTTTTTTTATCATCATTTGGCCACTGCGCAAACAATTGATGATCGCCCGAAAAAAATTGTTTTGTCCAACTTTGGGGCCTCAGCTCGTACGCCTATGGTTTTAATTGTACAAATTTGTTTCATTTTTATGCATTTACTTGAAAATAAATCGAGGACGGGTTGTGTTTTATTTAAATATTTAAATCACCGGGATGGCGACTCTACATCCTCTTCCCCTGGGATTTTATTCTACCAAATAACCTTCTGAAACCATTGCTTATGTTAGCTATGAGTAGTGACGGGTATCATGCAGAAAGCAGTACATGCTTATCATTTCTTTAACAGGCGATGCCATGTCTAATGTGAAGTGTTAACGTGGATAACACACTTTTTTTTTAGCATAGTTGTATCATCTTGTAGGGTACCCTGACACTACAAGAATACAAGAATAACTGAAAAAGGAATTCCAATTATTTTTCACATGCCCGGATCTATATTGCGACTAAGTAATTAAATTGAAACGTCTGAAAGACAAAGTCGTAATAATGTAAGATATCCGAATGGAGTAATGAAGCATTACATAAAGGATAGGTTAAAAAATACACGTTAATGAGATCTGATACTATTAGTGGGTCATACTGCTGAAATATGTTGATTCAAGCAATTACATTGGGTGAGGAGATGAAAAACGAGAGGACTGTCAACACAGTTTCCACTTGAACATACTTTAATTGGCAAACAAGAAAAAGCTGTTTACTCATTTCTTTCTGTAAAAAAAATCACTTAGATCTTTTTGTTTAGAAAAAATTTGGTTACGTAGGCTACTCCTCATGATGTCAGTCACCTGCCATATATAATAATAACAACGTATTTTGCATGCTACGTGGTTATGTGGCAGCATGGTTGGTAATTGATTGATGTGTTTTGGGAGTTCTATATCATGCGTTGAAGAAACCTAATACTAAGGGATTGGGGAAAAGGATGACACAGGTACTTATGACGGTACCCTTACATACACATAACAAAAGCTGATCCACAGTGGATCCCACGATGAGTGAATGTTAATGAGGTCTTATTGCGAGATAAATCTGAATTTTCTCTTTTTAGGATTGGTGAAAAAGATAAAATGAAGATGGGGTTTGATTGGGGGTTCCGCCATCAACTGACTATGATACAACCTAGACCTAACGTTTTTGGGATTGGCAGAACTGTGATAAAACTTAATTCCGGGAACGTTCCAGGAAGCCCCCCCCCCCCCCACAACATTAACTACGTTATCTTAAGTTCAACAGCTCTGAAAAGTAAATATCCGATTTAACTGTTCGTGCGGTTCGTGCAACCCAGTACTGATTCTAAAACCGCTTCCTTAATTATCTCAGCTTCCTAAATTCAACTTCAAATTATGGTACTACTACTACTACCCTTATTAAATTGCAAAGTTCACATAGCTATATCTAACGAATTGCAAAGTTCACATAGCTATATCTGTAACGAATTGCAATGTGTACATAGCTATATCTGTAACGAATTGCAAAGTTCATATATATCTGTAACGAATTGCAATATTCTCATCTCATCTCATAGCTAAATCTGTAACGAATTGCAAAGTTCATATATATCTGTAACGAATTACAAAGTCCAATAGCTATATCTGTAACGAATTGCAATGTTCGCATAGCTAAATCTGTAACGAACTGCAAAGTTCACATATATCTGTAACGAATTACAAAGTTTAATAGCTATATCTGTAACGAATTGCAATGTTCGCATAGCTATATCTGTAACGAATTTGAAAAGGTTTTATCTTTAGGATCCGTAGAATCTCGTTAGTCATTGACAATGATTGAAATTGCTTGATAATCACAGATAATTATTTCGTGGCTTGATAATCACTCTAGTCAACAGTTCGTGGTTTTGTTCTTATTTCATGAACTCCAGTCAAGTTGTACAAAAAATATAACTGAATTACATTCCATCCATTTGTCAATTAAGATCTATTTTTCTTTTGTGGAAAGAAAACAGTTAAATATTTACCATTGGGGGTAACCTGGTTGAGAATTTCTCAAAAGTACAATTTTGGTTAAAGGATTAAATGATTCATTCTGTTTTTCACAAAATGTCGTAACCCACGAAATTATGTCATTGTGACCATCCCAATGTGGACCCCTATTGTTGCAGCCTAACTGGGTACCAGGGGCCTGTTTCACAAAGTTTTAACTAAAATAAAATCCAAATTTTAGTAATTTGATTGGATAATATTAAATTGGTTTTAGTGCTTAGCCAATCAAAATTGAAGTATCTACTAAAATTTGGATTTTATCTTTAGTTGTGACCATCCCAATGTGGACCCCTATTGTTGCAGCCTAACTGGGTACCAGGGGCCTGTTTCACAAAGTTTTAACTAAAATAAAATCCAAATTTTAGTAATTTGATTGGATAATATTAAATTGGTTTTAGTGCTTAGCCAATCAAAATTGAAGTATCTACTAAAATTTGGATTTTATCTTTAGTTAAAATTTCGTGAAACAGGGCCCTGGTCTGACACGGTATTATATATTTTTACATTAAAAAATGCTACCTTAGTCTTAATATTTGTGGAAGTAAAATGATAGGCATATATAATATACAATACTTAACAGATCTAACACAACATCAAATCAAAGATATATTGTAATAACAAACAGTTGAGTTATTGAAAGGTTCTCTGGGGTGTTTCATAAAGGCAAAGAGAGTTTTATTGATCAGAATTAATATTGAGACACGGGTCTGACAATTTTTATAAACCAGGAAGAGTTTGGCAGGTTGGGGACAACCAGAATCCACATTTTTATAAGTAAGGTTGAACATAATGGCATGATGTAGAATATAAATTTAATTTTGTTGACCAAATTTAATATTGAGAGACTTTTCCTGTACTGTAATTGATTCTGAATATTATGAAAATATTACTCCGGCTGTGAAATCTAATCAGGAAGCCATCAGTGGAAATCAGGGCCCGGTTAAGCTAGCATGGGGCCCTTGGCTTAAAAAAAAGCCTGGTCACTGTCAGTCTCACACACATACAATTTGTATGTCAGTATGGTTGATAGATAGATTTATTTGGCACAAACTAGATTGGTTTTCTCGTCGTGTCACATATACTTTTCAGCGATGGGGGCCAAACGAAACCAGTTGGTCTTAGGGCCCAGAGCTACCCAATGACAATTTCAATACGGGGCTAAATGAGGAATTATAAATGTTTGTAGTAATTTCTATACGTCCACTTCGCACGTAGTGTACCCGTACCAAAGTTATACCTTCTTTAAGAAAACATTGTGCACACGATAGAGGCCGTAATTTTTAACAGATGTTTTTCAAATGTGAAGCATTGAGGTCAAGATAGGGTGAATCCTATCTATTTTCAGCGCTCCGCCACTTTCCTTTCCGGAGCTATCCCCCCTTTGCGGAAAACCTTGTGAACACGATAGAGGCTACAAGCAGCTTTCCCTTCAAGAGTTATGCCCCTTTTTCGAAAAGAAAACTTGTGAACGCCATAGTCACTGGGGATGAACCCTATCATTTAGACATTTAGCGTTCTTCATTTAGGACCCCAATCTCTCCCGCCCTTGCCGAATGCGATAGAGTCTACTGCTTTTAACAGATTTTTTTTCAATCTTGTGAACATGATAGAGATCAGATTTCTTGAAGTTATTTGATCTTTATCAAATTTGGCCAACATCCAAGTTGCTGTCGAAATATAGTTGCTGTGTGGGACGTATTTCCAGGACGACTATGTAGACCGTTTACATGCTTTCAATGAATTTCGATATAGGATTCGTCCTATAACCAACTGAACAATTTAAAAACAAATCACAAGAAACGGTTGTAATGCAAGATACGCCAACATTCTGCAAGAGATGGACAGAAAACAAGCCAAAATGGCCATTTTTTTTACATAATCCAGGATGTTACGGTCTGAAATGCGTCAATATCGAAAGGAACCGAGATCTTTGGGATATAAATATATATTTTAAGTTTCATCAAAATTGGATAAAAGCTGTGACATCTGGAGGTTCCCCAGCCTTGGTATAGGTTTTACACTATTTCGAACAGCCATTTTGACGGGAAGTTTCGGTCCGATTTTACGAAATTTACGAACTCAACCCTAACTGTGGTGTAACAGTGGAAATATATGAAGAAGGTTTTTTTTTAAATCAAATAAAAATCCAAAAGCTAAAAATGTGATTTCTCTAACAACCAGGTGTCACCGTCCGATATCCACTGATATCGAACGGAACCGAGATCTGTGAGATATAAACATATATTTCAGGTTTCATGAAAATCGGATAAAAATTTTGACCTCAAGTGGTTCCACAAGCTAAAAACATGATTTTTCGTACAATCAAGGGCCATAATCCATGAAGTTACGGTCCGAGAGATGCCAATATCGAAAGGAACCAAGATCTGTGTGACCCTTTAGAGGGTCCACAAACAAAATGCGAACGGATGGATGGACGGCTGCACGGACGGACAGGGGCGACGACATAATACGCATTAGATATAGACCGAAAATTGCAAATTAGTATACAAAAAATGATTTAATTGCTTTCTAGCTTTATTTCAAATGATAATAATCAGAAAATGGATATGTCAAATTAATATTTTTCTAAAATTTATCATTTTTAGAAGAAATTCAAATATATATTATATAAATTGAATTATTTACAATCAAATTATATGCATGAATAATAATAATAAAGATTATAACAAGTGCAGGTTTATTGTCAAAAACTATATATACATTAAACAGCAAGATAAAAATGATTAAGTATAGAATTTAAGTCGAAGCTCAATTCTAAGGCTTAATAATTGTTTGTAAATATTAATATTAACCATAAATATTAATTACCTTATCAATATTCAATTATCATCTTACCTGGCTTCGTTTTCGGAGGATATCTCCTAAACCGTTCAAGATGTTTTTATGAAACTTTGTACACAGATTAAACTATTGCAGTAATTTTGACATAATTTCCATAGAAACAAATTTGACTCATATTTTGGTATAAAAGTTCTGGTTATAGCCGTTAGATTTTAGGCATAGCAAACTTATAAATTTGTGTTATAAACTTTGCTTTCATGATGTCCTCTTCATGAAAACTTAAAACTAAAATATTTTAAGAATACAGATGATTCATTGGCTTGACTAAGGCCTCTTTTACTTGATACAAATACATCCAAAGTCTACTTGGAATCAAAGTAGACCTACAATAAATGGAAGGAAATATACAGTTATACATCTATGGCAAGAATATAAAATATTTTTTATAAATAAATAAAAGCAGGTTTATAATTTCTAAGTTATATTATAATACATGTACAAATATTTACTTATATAAGTCATGGAATGATTTGTGTGTACCATGGAACCTCACTACTGAATGGATCACTATATGGGAGTACCATGGCTGCTATCAGTGTTATCATTGTGAATGATAGCTTTCACTCCTTCTGTCTGTATCAGTATTGTGCTTGATAACGACAAGAGAATCATTGTTGAAACGTAGCTTTAATTAAATATAGTAATTGTTATCCATAGAACTTTCGTGTTTATTTTAATGTGTTCAATTACTAAATGCCATTCAAACAGTAAATGATAGCTAACCCTTGGTAAAAATGGTCTGTAATTGTTGTATTTAGATCCTGACCAAATTCCATATCCAATAACCCCACCCACCTACAATCTTACAATTCCCCACCTCAAAAAAGAAAACAATAAAAAAAATATCATTGAATGGGAAAAGCAAATGGCCTTTATTTGATAGTCAGGGAATTGGTCAGTAACATATTTTTAATTGTCCTTCCACACAGCCTTTTCTGAACTGGAAGAAATCACCAATCTGCATTTACAGATATAGCACCAGTATAGAAATAAGGGGCTCAGTTAATAGCTCTATAATAGTACTGTTACCTAAATTATTACAAAATTAATTCAATAATATCATTAATACTGGAAATATTGCACATATCTTAATCAATATTTTATAATATTGAACTAGTGTACATTGTTATACAATTAAAAACTTTCTATATTACAATAATTTACAGAATTTAAGGACACTTTCCTCTTTGGCTCTCAAATTCTAATGTAATTTATTTTAATGCAAGCTAAAATTATTTTTAAGACAAAAAGTAAAAACCAGCAGAAAATATCATTAAATAAATGTCTAACATAAAATGTTTCCTTGATGAATCATACATGTATAATGTGACGGCATGTTTCTCAACCAAACACAGTCTAGAATAAATAGTCAAGAATATAAAAATACACAATTCTAGGCCATACAAAAAACTATTCTGGTTCTTAGACAATCCTTTCAAAAAATGTCAAAGGATCATTGGGCTAAATGACTTCCTACATTGTGAAAACCGTGGGTCAATTCTGTTTGTCAGTAACTTTTATCAGGGTTGTGTTCTTGATAATCGATCCTGTAGTATATGTCAAAGGATCATATCACTTTTATCTGTGAAAACTGTGGGTCAGTTTACAAATTATCCAGTTTCATTTCTGATTGTTTATAACATTTATCAGGGTTTTGTACTTGATAATTGAGCCTATAGTATATGCCAAGTAAACTCCCTTGATTCCAGGGAATAGGACGGCGCAATAATTAATGAAAATGTTTTTATTTTTGGAAATACAGATGGGTCATTCAGCCCCTTTTTAAGTGATATGGCTGTATCTAAGAACCAGAATATATTTATAGGTTTACGAATCAATCAACTGATTTATGGTTTTAAACATCTTAAAAGCATAACGATTGAAAGCTAAATGCAGATTTCCAATCAAATTGAATATTGCCTGGAGAAAAACAAAAACGAGCAACAGCAAATAGCAACCATTAACTGTTATTGATTTAGGTTTACACAATGTGAATTATTTTAGCTTTATGTGACAGTTCTGCCAATTCCATAACATGCAGTGATCTGAGTAGAATTGTGACATTGTCAAACCCCAACAGTAATTGGTTAAGATAGTATCCTAATGTATTCAGTTGCCCTTAATTCTCACAGTTACTCAAATGACATTTTGGACTGGTCAATCGTGCATCCCTATGTTTGAACAAAAAAATATTACAACACCCTTGTCCTTTAAACAATTAAAATAAAAAGTGTATGATTCAATGTTATTATTATTATTAATAGAGTAGTATAGAAGTTATTAAATATTTTTTAATATACTGGTAGGCATAAAAAAACACCAACACATTTTTAATCCAAAATTGAAGTATGCAAAAACAAATCAAGAATTGCATAATATTGTAAAAACCAATAATTGAAGTATGTAAAAACACATCATGAATTGTGTAAGAAACCCAACAATATCCAATATCTTTAAATTAACAATAAATCTAAATAGATGAAACTCACACTGAAAATAACCTACACAAAACAGCGGGAATCGTAAAAAATAATTGATGGAAATCAGTTGCGAAAGGCTTAATTTAACAAATGTTATAGGTTTTCCCAGAGTCTCCTAAGTAATAAAAGTCACCCTATAAAACCTGTGTTTAACAGAAAACAATTTAAAATACTGTATCAAATGGTGAGCACTAGATATTAAATCCACTGAGATGTATTGACCCAGAATAATGGAGCAAACAATAGCAGTGAAATAGCACATTAGTGCCGACCCAGTCACACTAAGACAACAGTTGGAAAACCAATAAACTTATCTTTAATTCTATTTATGAGTTGAGCTGCATTTTACTAAGAGACAAACCATTCACACAAATAAATTTACATATTATACATATAAACAAGAACCCAGTCATTTAGGTGAAAATGAATGTGTTGGTTTTATTAATTTGGTGGAATTTGTTTTTGAGATGGATATCTCTGGAGGTCAAAATGTTTATGTGCATAGATTAAGCTGATCCATAATGTTGATATATAACAGGTTTTGTTTTAAAGGGTAAACAGTCACAAACATATATAAATTTAGTAAAGTTTAATCATATACACCTTCTCCAATTGAAACAACCCATCGGATCAGCACAATTTAAAACAAGGTCTTCCTTCTTTTAAAGAGAAAAAACATTCACTCATAAAAAGAAAAAAGAAACAAGAATCCTGCTTTTTTTTATAGTTTTTACATTTACAGTCATTCTAAAAAAATAAATGAAAACCAGATCAACAATTTATTTTGTTCATCTTTGATATTAAAGGGCAAAGGCACATGTAAATCATTTCTGTTCTTCGATAGATTTTTTGGAAATATAACTGAACTTAAATTAAAGGCAATTTAGATAAACATATCTCTTCCAGATTTCTTGATTAAAGTTGCTGTAAATATCTCAGCCATTTTCTATCCCGGAAACATATGATCCATAACATATCGTATACAACTATAACAAACACAGGTAAAGAATTTCTGAGATTTGTAACAATACTGCACTTTTGATTGGCCCTAAATGTCAACAAATCAGATTACAGATGTTGGTATTGCAAAGATGGAAGAAACCAGACTATCTTATGTCATTTGAGTAGCAGCTTCATTTTTATCACTTTCATCTTTTGTATTTACTGTAACAATCATTTTATCTCTTTCATGTCTCATCCCAACTGTACTTTGATTCATAATAATCTTCTTTTTTTCACTGAAAAAACAATAAGTGAATATTTACTCAACTGAATATTATAACCTATCTTTAAACAACTCAAAATCAATCTTTTAGTTGGGTATTCAATTTGTTTAATAGATAAGACCTGTTATATGTTTAAGTCAACATAATGATAATAAGTCAAGATAATCATAATGATAACGGGGCTAATACAGAAGCACTGACATCATGCAGTGTGCTATGACGGAAATTTTGCCCTGACGGTGGTGCTAAGGCCAATTCTTATTTCAAATTCCAGGTGTCAACAGGTATTCATCCCATCCGAATGACTAGATGCTGTCCTTCCCATGTCCGTGACCTGTTATATGTTTAAGGCAAGTTATTGGAAATTGTTAATCAATAGGTTTCTTCAACATTGTGTAAAAGCTCCAAGTCAATGATAACTTTCGATTCTAGAGCATACATAAGATTTTTTGGAATGATCAAGGGCAATAACTCTGACAGTAACCATAATGATAACAGGGCTAATAAAGAAGCACTGACACCATGCAGTGTGCTATGACAGAAATTTTGCCCTGACAGTGGTGCTAAGGCCAACTGTTATTTCAAATTCCAGGTGTCAACAGGTATTCATCCCATCTGAATGACTAGATGCTGTCCTTCCCATGCCCACTGTCCTGCATCACAGACAAAGGAAAACCATGCCTTCTTTATTTTTTACAAAGCAGCGGGGAAAGTGTTTTCAGCAGTGGGGCATTTGCCCAACAATTACTGTACTAATAAATGTGCCCTGCCTGCAGAGTGATTACAAGAAACTGGATGGATGGACTGACGCCAACATACTATCACATTAACAAGTAATGTATAAATTTCATTACTATGTCAGGGAGGAGAATACTGCCCTCGGTTGAACCATGGTGAGCATCCAGATAGTGTATGTAGTAACACATGACACAATTATATGCAATACAAGTTACTTAAAAGATTTATTTCTGGCAATGATTGGAGAAGGTTCTCTCATCTTTATCAAGAAAAGAATGTAGTGATGACAGCCTAAACCATGTTACTTACTTTTTCTTAATGTGTACTACAATTAATATTGTTACACAAATTATAAACACAGCCCCACATCCGATTCCAGCAAATACACCATGTGATATATCGACCTCATCATCATCTTCATCAGCACCAGTTGATGGTAATGCAGATCCTAAAATATACACAAAATACATCATATTATTATAATGGTCATTATATTTAACAGACTTTTCAGATGTGTTCCCTTCAATTTAATTAGGTTATCTGGTGAAACCCCAAAATTGATTTTCAAATTAAAGTATGATAATTTTTATGATCAAATGTGAACTGTGAGAGCAAAAGGAGTCAGAAGTCGCAATTAATTGTTTACGATAATATTATATGAACAAAAATGTAGAAATAGACTAAAATACAAAAGTAATTTAGTTTGCTTGTGAACTTTGTGTTATATCATTAAAAAGATCTATTTCTAACCCATTTAACATTTTTGTACATATTGTAAAAGACTTGCGACTTCTGACTCATTTTGCTATCACGGTTCATAAAAATTAAATTCTAGACTGAAAGTGATTATTGAACTCACAAAAGAAAGAAGTCTTTAAATGTCATTTGCATGTTTGGTAGACTACTAGACAATGTTGATAGCATAAGAAGCAGACAAACACACTCTGCTTATTACTTAGTGATGGCAATACTGATATTTTAAGATTTCAAACCGAATAGGGTTTCCTATTCATAACTCGCAAGACTATGTATTTAGGTTTTTGACTGTCGAGAAAATATATCTTTAAGAAAAATTAATAAATACACCGGCTTTAATAAAGACATAACGAGAGTACTGTTTTAAACATAAATGGCCTTAAAGTACAGTTCATGGTATCAGTGATAAATTTTCTCTTAATTGTGTAAAACCAAATGACATCCTTCTGTACTTACATTAATATTTCTAAACATGGTGCATATTACATATAGGGTAAGCAAATTATAAAATATCAAATATGAACATCCTACATTAAATGGCTTGACCTCTTTGAATTAGGCCAAATATTGCCAATCATATTTGACTTTATATGTAGATCTGTCTTTAAATAACGTGAGTGTTCATAGATGACGGATAAAGTCTTCAACTGTTGCAAGGCAATGAAACATTTGTCCACAGCAGCTAAGCCATCCGAGCAGTCCATAAGGTATGTCATAGGATTTTTCTTTTGTCAGTAATGAAAGCATTTACAAGACAGCAAAATTTGATCAAGAGTAACAACCCATCAAGTAATTATCAGAAAGCATTAGAATTTTTTTGTTTCCTGCCAACGCTAGCGTTAATTATACAAAACATGTAATATCATGAATTGAGCTCGTTATGTTGAAATTCAATAGGATTTTTCATCTGTGTATAAATTGAGAGTGAATTGGATGACAAATTTAACCTCTAGAGCGTCCACAAGATTTTAAAAAGTGATCAAGGGCCATAACTGTTGTGGCAATTGTTGGAAATCGCTAAAAGTCAATTGGCTTCTTCATCTTACACGGCCTTAAACAATGTGTAGCACATTACAGTGAATCGGGTGACTACTTTAGCCTTTAGAGGGTCCACATGATTTTAAAAGTGATCAAGGGCCATAAAACTGGTGGTAATTGTTTGAAATCGCTGAAATTCAATAAGCTTATTCATCTTACTTAACCTTAAGCACTGTGTAGAGCATCCACAAGGTTTTTCAATGTGATCAAGTCATAACTCTAGCAGCAATTATCGGAAAATCGATAGAGCGGCCACAAGAATTTTTTAAAAGGGTGATAACTTGGGATAGTAATAATCATTTGGATTCTTTGGCTTATGACCATAAACATGTAATCATTTAAAATCAATCTGATGATAACTTTAGCCTCTAGAGCATCTACAAACAATTGTGAAGTCGGCGGGCGATTTGGTGCATGGACAGACGGGGGGTGGCGACAAAAAAACAACCATATTTCAATGTAGGCCTTTAAAAATGAAACTACATATAGTAAATAAACTTTTCCCAACATTAATAGAAATAAAACATTAGATTAACCAATTCAATACTTTATTTTTACCTAAATCAAAGAGGTATGTATAATATAAAGACCACCACCTATACAAAGATTAAAAGATTAAACTATAGTGAGATAATACAGATGGTATTAGTTAAAATGGAAGAAATCACTACCTTCGTCAATAGAATTGTTTTGTTTTTCTTTTGATGTCCTCCTGAGAACAAAATAAACATGTGTCTTTGACCACGAGTTTTAAAACATCTAGATGTTGCTAGACTGGTCTGCAATTCCTGAACTTATCTCCCTTTACCACAGACACGTGAATAATAGCATCCAGTCAGAGGTTGTGACACAAACACATTCAAATCAAACATGACGACCTCCACGGAAAATTTAACAGTGAACGAACCTTGAACTTTGCAACCTCATTATCACTGGTAGACATTTTAGCTGGAAAGCGCCAGACCCGGTACTCGGGATAATCAAGGAATCTGATAGGCCCTCAGCTGGGTCGGGAACCAATCAAAATTAGTGCCGAAATATGTCGGGTATTACGTGAAGGGCTTGATAAGATGTACGGAGTTAAAGCAAAATGAAGACTTCTATTGAAGATACTGAATATGGCTATGCAATTTCAATACTCTAGATCTCCTTAATTAGAGAGAGAGAGAAATGGGGTTTAACGTCCACTCGACACAAACTAGGTCATTTCGGGACTAACATATGGTTTAATTTTATTTCAATAATTCGTTTTCGCATAGGGGTCTTTAGCAGTGGGAGGAAACCAGAGGACCCGGAGAAAACCCACGAGGTTGGACAGGCGACCCTACTCCTTGTCACGTACAACCGGGGATTCGAAACCACGCACACGCTAACCATTCAGCCATCCAACCCCCCCTCCTTAATTAGCAGATCAATAAGTCTGTAATGTGGATCATTAAACAGATTACTTGCCGGTATGGATTTTGAGTATTTGCCCTTTATCATCTGGTAACAAAAGCAATTCTGTTATAAGGTATTTATAGACAATAGTATTATTGTGCATGCTTATTAACTTACGGATTAATAATTCCTATATTAGTAGAAAGAATATATAGTATGTAAAAGCCATCACCAAATAGTAAGATTATAGAAAGTTGTTGATATATAGATAGATATATTAATTTCTCCTTTCATTACCTTTTGTTATATTATACTTATGATAGTCTGCTGGATTCAATTCTGTTAATAAAACATTCAATTAACAATTCAGGTCAATGACAAAAAATACTGTATACAGTCAAAAAAATGCACATTCTATAAAGAGCACAATAGCACCAATGAGAATAGAACTGGTCCTATCAATACAACATACTGTCCATCCGACAATTTGTCTGATGAGTTGATCAGATTTGACCGTTGCATCCGACGGTTTTATTATGATTTCCCCTGAAATTCGAGCATACGTGGTTATTCGGTCAAATATGATATGTTTTGTTTTTTGTACCTGGCAGGAGAGCCACTGTGGTTGAGTGAGTAAGGCACTGGTTCCCTAACCAGGAGATCCAGGTTTGATCCCAGTGAGAAAGTTTACCCAAAATTTTCCAGCGTGGTTCCCCTAGTCTTTTGGATGGGACAAAAAACCCAGGTCCAACGTACACATTGGTGGGCAGGTAAAAGATCCCTTGACAGTTGAAATAAGAGTAGACCGTAGCATTGCTGTCCGGGCAAAGTATACCTCATAGTACACTGCATGATGTTTATTTGTCCTCATTAACCCAGTCGGTGCAGAACAGTAGGACGTTGAACCCCATTTCATTTGTACAATAGAATATTCAGTATGTTATAAATTACAGTATTTACCTATAGAAGGGAGACAATATGCATTATGACTGTAGGCACTCTATCATTTTTCACAAGGTTATTGCACTTTTGTGAAAAATGTAAAACAAAAAAATACATGCAAGCAACAAACTACTGTCAAGAATTGAGTACATGTACTTACTCATACAGGTTTTATTAGACATCAATACATAACCAGGACAACATTCTCGAACTATAGAATAATACGTCTTTGTTTCATTGAACTTCTTCTCACACTGGAAATGTCTGAAAATAAAATGGTTTAAAAAATACCTAAGTAATTTTTGTTGCTTGATGATTAACATTTCATTACCCTGTTCTTAGGACACAAAATATATTATGATGTTCTCTACCCTTTTTTTGTCACACTGAATTTAACAGATTACAGTTGGGTATAGACCAGAATATACATGTAGAGAAAAAGTCTCTTATTCATGGACAAAAGGAGGATTTGTCTTGGTCACCCAGAACCTCCTAGTCTTCAATGTACAGAGGATCTGGCAGTTCTGGCTCATTATTCTCAAATTTTGACAACTCATCCAAGCTAATATTTGTAAAATAATTGTCTGAATGATAGGGACTAAAGGAGGATCAATCCATGTGACTGAAGACTTAGCATGTTCACTATTGTGCCGTTTCCGGTAAGACCTTCATGTTGGGAGTAGAGCCACGCAGATTCAATTCCAATACGTCGGTGAAGTGTCAAAAGGGTGTATCTAAGAATTTCTAAAGATTAAGAAACAGAACCTTTTGCATTTCAAAATTTCCACAAATCAAGATACAACATTTGGACACATGATACCCAGAACAGTTCTAATTGGCGTAGAGATACACAGCTTAGGCAGAAATGTGCATATTAATTGGGAGATTCTAAAAATGCGAAAAAGTGTATTTGACTAATTTCCCGAGATACACCCTTTTGACACTTAACCGACGAAAAGCTTTTTATTGCTCACCTGAAATCTTGAGAAAAGGTCTAGCAAATCCCAAAATACTATCAAAGAGGACATATTTCAGTTTAAATTAACTTGTTCATTATTCATTTTAAAACGCATTTCAGAACTGTTCAGAAGCCACCAAAATATCTAGATATACAGCATTTATATACTAATATTTGTGACTATTGTTTTGTCTGTTCTAGGTTGGCGGCTACACTAGGGTTGTCCCAAGGCTGAAATTTTGTGTATAGGGGTAGCTCGGACCGGGGAGTAACATAAGCTAGATGGCGTTGGCCTACCGGTTCCGGAGTTACATGCACAACCTGGGCAGCGCCGGATTAACCACTAGTCAACTATAAAACCATGCGCAAACAGTCTTTAAAACTAAAGACTGGTACTTAAATACTGTGTGTCATTTGCATGAACCTATTTTGGATTGATATTCCTTTTAGAGATGCAACTGTCACAATATAATAATTAACAATCCATCAAATGACTTCAGAGACTTAGTCTAAATTCAGGTGACCTTTTGTTTTCTCATCTCATCGAATTTGTCAACACATCCATGTCCACTGGACTCATGTTCTGCACATGATTTTGTATACTAAATTCTACACAGCGGAGGATATACATGTACTGAACCTTCAGATGATGATATTATAAATTATTTATCATATGGCTAATGATGAGCCAAAGATGTAGCATCTGGCATACTGCAGTACTCTTTTACTATTCATAATGACAATATGGAAGAACTTATTTAAATTGATAAACTTACTCATAATATGTACACATTTCACTAGAAAACCAGCGACAAGCAGCTTGATAGGCCTCTGTACAGATTTCTTGTGTTGTTTTTGTCTCAATCTTCTGACGAGATTTTAAAGATGTACAATACTTGCCACTGAAATATAAAATTTAATAAAAACATATTTTAAACAGATTAAAAGCACAAGATATTGGGTGTTATGTTTATTCAGCATAAATAAATTAACTTGGGTCTAACTAACATGTTATAAATCTGTATTCCTTTGCACTTTTTGGACAATATCTTATTTTTCACAGCTTAATCCAAGGTAAAATGTTTTCAAAATTGATTACTTAACATTTAATTAAGAAAACAAAACCTAATTATCAACAGCACATCTCATATTCATCAGGACTAAAAAGAGATTCATCAATCCATTTTACCCAACACTCCCTTAAATGACAACCAGCGACTTCAATCTGTGGAATAAAACCAGCACCCTCCACTTGACACGAAGTAGGTCATTTCGAGAGGCTGTCTTCATCAACCCAGTTGGTTCAGAAACGTAGGACATTCAACCCCCATTTCATTTCAAAAGGTCCAACATGATTCAATTTTATTTCATTTTACATCTGTAGAGGTGGGAGGAATCCAGAGGAACTATAGAAAACCAAAGAGGTCGGACAAGCGAACCTACTCCTTGTCACGCACAAACTGAGAATCAAAACCACACCATTTGACTCAATAACAGACCTTATGATCTATAGTGCATGTATTAAACACCATTCGCCCCCCCCCCCACACAATTCCTTTTTAAGTCAGGAATATTTAAAGTTCACATTGATATCTATTTATTCCACATCACCATCTTTATTGTCTTTGAGTTAGAAATTAAATGAAATGGAGTTTAACATCCTACTTCTTAGAGTTAGACACGATTTAAGTATAATTTATTTCTATACATGAACAGTGAGCTCAAAATGGTATCTTACCTATAGGAACTGGTATTTGAATTGAAATGTCTAAATTACTATTTAATGAAGAGCACACTTTTCAAACCTTAGTTTAAATAAGGAAATGAAAATAATGATTATTTGTCGTCATGACGTCTTGAGGCTTTAATATACATACAGAGAAAGGACAAATAATTATCTTCAGTTGAATTCTTATTCAAGCTTGTGCATTACTGCTGTTTACAACCAGATATTAGTTTCAGTTTGTTGACTTTTCCTCGAGCCATAAAGCGCAATGAGTCAAATAAATCTATAATCTGAACATCAACGAAAAAATGGTACTACTGCGGATTAAATAGAAAATGGCAATAAATCATTTAAGTAAAAGATGGTAAAAAGATGTGAAACATGATGAAATATTGAGCAATCAGAGATAATCATCTCCCCTGATTTATGTCGGTGTTACACACTGTGCTGCTTGAATTCATTGAACTATCAATAACAGTGTGTTATCAAAAATTGATTGCTCAACATGTGCACTGGATCGCAGACTTTTAGAATCAAACATAAGTCAGGCTATGAGGAAAGGCAAGATAGAAATAAGAACGTTCAGTAAAAGAAGGAAATTTAATTAATGACTGATTTTTCGACGATAATATTTTACTATCGTGTCATGGTACCTGTAATTTGGCCTTTTTGCTAAATATTTTACTGAAAGAACATGTATCAAATACACCAACCATGTATGAAGAATGAAATGAGGCTTAACGTCCTACTGTTCTGCTCCGACTGGGCTAATGAAGATGAGCATAAGCCACACAGTGTGCTATGAGGGAAATTTTGGATGGAGAGCAGCACTATATCGAATTCCAACTGCCAAGGGTTCTTTTATGTGCACGGCAATGTGCACACAGGAATCAGGGCCTTGGTTTTTCATCCCATCCAAACAACTATACATTGTCCCTTGCCAGGCCCTCACTCTGGAAAATCCTAATGAACTTTCTCAGCCAACACCGGGATCGAACATGGGATTTCCATCTTAGCGAGCCAAGGTCTTACGGAGCCATTATGACTCCCCATGCATGAAGAGTAAATTACACAAGTTTATTTGACTTTAGAATATGTCCATCACTCAGATTAGTCCTAACGACAGTATGTGAAATAGCAGGGTTACAGGTAAGGGAATGCATTCAAGATTAAAGCTGCTGGATGGCATTTGCATTTTTTGGACACTATCTCATTTATCACAGCTTATGGTAATCTTCATGTATGCCAAAATGTATTAAACTGATTCTTTAATATTCAATTAAGAAAACCAAACAAAACAGAGGCCCATCAAAAGATTTTACACACCACTTATAGGTAGCCCTGACTTGTTATAATGTCTGCAGAGAATGGTGAATGTTGCGAAATTTTGGATATGTCATATTTTTATTCCTTTCAGAGATTTAACTTTTACAATGTAGTTTTCAAGCGATTCAAATCCCTCTAATGATTATTAGTGGCTTTAAAAAAAATGACGGTCAGGTTTCACAATAAACAGAGAAGAGCTTTTAAAAATACCAACATTTCTTTTTTGAGTGTGATGCAGAGTATATATTATAATAACTATAATCCTCCCTAACCCCTGTTTCTGGATGGCAATACAGCGATTACACATAATATGATTGATGGACAAACTTAGATATCTAGCTCACAATCTCTATACTGGCATATTAAAAGCATCAGGGTCATAAAATTAATCTCAGTGAAAAAACTCAATGACCTACATGTACATGTACCAATATAATCAGCTAACCTGAATACCAAAACTGTCTAATATTTTACAATTGAATCTAGCTCAAATCATAACTTAATTTCTTTTTATCTCTCTGAGTCTACATTCTATATATATATAGTGTAATGTTTGTTACAAAATTTCTCTATGAGGTTACTTAATTAAATCTATGAATTCTTCGATTTACCTCATAAATATAGTACACACAATGAATATTAGAGAGTTAGCAACTTCTTTATGCAATAAACGTATAGACTTATTGATATGTGTACAGAGAGATTCCTTACGATATTTTGAATTGTTTCAGAGATTGGATCAATCTTAAAAAGTAGGTAAAAATTAGTTAGTTCGGCATTAGGTAAGTTTAGATAAGAGCTGCAGTTCTCGCTACAATAGTTAATAATGTCACTTGGTTTTATGGGAGTCTCGCCAAACATGTTACATATGAGACGCCCAAATGTTAAGGAGCCTCATAATAAATCACACGATTAACACCACAATTTGATTGATGTGGCGCCCAAAACTGCGTGATTTGTGGGGTGCCTTATCCCGGAAGGGCGACCATAATGACATGATTGGTGGGGTGCCTTATATAATGACAATATAAGATTGTCGGGCTATGCATAATACTGAGTGAGATTGGTTGGCGCCCACGACTTGATCAATGGTTTGATTGGTGGGTGCCTCATCCCGGAGGGGCACCCATAATGCAGATTTTGGTGGGCCGCCCCACGGTGAGGTCATAAGCGCCCATAATATAATTGGCGGGGCGCTCATAATGACGAGTAAGATTGATTAGGCGCCCACGAATGGATTCGTATTCCTTCCTTCAAATTTTTATGATGTTCATATCAAAATATCATAATACGCCAACATCGCATATTCAGCCTCAAAATTGAAATTTTCCGTCATTTTCATAGTTCCTCTCCTCAGGAGCAAACCCTAAAATTTTCCAAAATTTTCTGGGGGAAAGAGTCCCATAGACCATTCTCCGAAGAGAGGCGCGTCCACGGTGTAGGTACATCGGCACCCCCAGAAGCCCTTGAATCCCCCCAAACACTTTTGGGCTAGCTACGGGCCTGCTGAGATTTTCTTTTGTCTTCCAGGATTGTTCATGCTTTTCTTTCAATAAAGTTGAATGACAGAAATAGAAAATATTGAATGTGTGAAATAGCTTTATTTAACATCCGCTTCCATAGAAGTGATATTATCGAAGACAATAGCGACCTGCACAATCCTATATATATAACAAGTCTACAGATTAGTTTCATTCTTACATTAGTTTGATAATGAAGTCCAATCATCAACTGATCTGATTTTGTGACCTGTGAGTATCATAATTCAACTTGTTGAAGAAATGCAGACCTAATTACAGCAATTTGGCAGGTTTGTGTGCCGAATGGTCTAACAAGATCATTTTTAAAGGTCTGTCACCAAGTCAAGTGGTGTGGTTTCAATTACAAGCGTATACTACATGTACCTGCCTAACCTTTTAAGTTTTGTTACACAGATAAAGACTCTTGAGTGCAAACAAATTACTGAAAGCCCCTAAATGACCTTGGTTGTGTTGATTGGAAGTTAAAACCCCATTTGTCAAAAAACTTGACATATATAAATTATAAATATATAGGGCCTACCACCCTTTGACTTAAATTTTGAATAATGTATGAATCATTAAACTCATTTAACTTACCTAACTGGTGATGAACATAGACAAAATATCAGTAAAATCACCAACATATACTTCTCCATTGTTAAACAGCTGACTTTCTGTGTCAAAAAAGTTCTGTCAAAATTCATGAAATTAAACACCTTCAGCCACCGTTCTGGATTTATTTCTTGTTTCGTTGAATCCATAACATTGAATCTTGAATACTCTAATAAAACATTATGCAAGATATATGGTTAAACCACGAAATAAGAACTAGGGCAAATGATTTCGACAATTAATCGAACTTTGGCCCTAATTTTTGTTGGTCAGCTGTAACTTATTGCATTTCCTGAACGTAAACATCACACAGTAACCTTTGACCTAGTGTCGGTTGCGTGTAAATTTCATATTTTATTCCCAAAAAAGAAATATATATTCTAGTTTAGTTTAGATTTTATTTTTTTAACGAACTGATATCTACAAGGCTCCTCAAATATGTCTGAGATATAACTGAAAACAATGTCATCGTCGCCCGAATTTAGGACAAAGAATTGACAAGTTGAATTAATGACGTCATTGGTTGAATGGTTAAAATATTCTTCCGGGGCTAAATTTGGCAACATCCTGGACGACCTTGACCTCAAACTTAAACAAACCATTGCTTATGTCATAAATTGATTTGAACACGTGCTTCCTAAACAATAATAATGTCAGACATCAATAATAGCTCAATTCCCAAGCAAATTAAACTGGATGCAACATTTCCATCTGTCCTGGAGAATGAACACAACACGAATGCTTCTAACAACGATGTTCATGAATTTAAATTCAGTAATGAATTATCCCTAGAAACAATGTAAACATTCACATCTGATCTCGTCTTCTACTTACTTTCAGTTAACATTCATACATGTATTTGTTATATCAAATACAAGAATACAATATAGTAATAAATTTTGGCACTAATAATAACATTTTTATATTTTAATAGAAAAGCAACAAATAAACTTGAAAGTCTTGAAAAGAGAAAGGAAAAAAAGTAAAGTTGATTCAAATCATAATCATGTTCCATTACATTAAAATCATTTGTAATTATTTTTTTGTATCTACTTGTAGAAGACAGATCCAACAAGAATTTTGTAAAGAAAGAAACTGGGATCAGTATCATTCCCCGAGAAATATACTGTTGGCTTTAGTGGGAGAAGTGGGTGAGCTGTCAGAAATCTTGTAAGCATCAAATTATTATTTTTTTATATATAGTATAGTCTCAGGAATTGATTCTGCTCTTAATGCAGTGTATATATTTTGTTTCTTGTGCAGTAATATGCTGCATCATTTGTTTTTGTTAGACTGTTCTTATGAATAGTTTGGTAAGTATATATACCCACTTCCTCAAGAATTTAAGAGCTTTTACAGTTTGTCAGGATATTCCCACATCCACTTTAATAACACAAACATTGTAAGTTTAATTATTGCCACCCAGAATCTATTATCGGTATCTGGTTAGAGGGTTGATTATCCCATATATCGTTTTATAGTCTAGTAGCAGGTCAACAAACCTGGAAATATAGTCCATCTAATGTTTTTTGATGGATTATATATTTTAGTCCATTTTTGGGACGATACAACATCCTTGCATAATAATGGCCAGTTTATTTATATTTTTAGACAAAGTTTAGTAGTAATGGGTTTGTAATTTAGGTGAATATAAAATATCATTAGTTATTGATGTTTATTTCAGTCAGTGGAAAGGGGAAGTAAAAGAGGGCCTTCCAGGTTTGTTTTCATTGAAATAAATTGTAATATTATTATAATGCATTTATAGGCCCCCCATGCATGTAACAGCTGCAAATTTATTGTCAGCAAATTCCACAATACATGTTCCTTATACCCTCATGAACAATCCTACCGACTATTAAAACATTCCATCCTACTTAGGATATTCATTAGTTACAAAGTAAACAGGAAGGTAAACTCTAAAATTTTGGATTGAAAAAGTTTGAATTCTTGTCAATATGAAAAAGATTGGACAAGAACTCTCGTCTGTCGGGCATTCGCAATAAAATTTAGAGGGACCAACAAATGCAGGAGTTGACAATGCATTCACATTAAATGTGGGCATATAACAATATACAATCGATTTACAGCATGTTTTATTATGTAGTTTCCATAAAAATTGGACATAGAAAAGGAATTGTCAAGTTGAAGGATGTTTGTTGTGTGGTTAAGAAAATAAAACATAACAAGTAGGAATTTATATATTATGTATATAGTACTTTTAAAAGAACTTTTCTTCCTTTAATTTTCAGATTTTTCAAAGAAAGAAAAAGATCATGTTGGGCAAGAAATGAGTGATGTGTTGATTTATCTAATAAGAATGGCTGATCGATGTAAAATTGACTTATCCACTGCTGTAACTGATAAAATTAAACAAAATAAACTCAAATATCCAGCAGATAAAGTGTTTGGAAAAAGTGAAAAATATACAGAATATGATTGAAGAAGGGACAGAAGAGTTTTGCGAGGACAAATCAGATTTTATTTCATCCATTTTATAGCTCTCACATGATTATTGACATTCAAAATAAAACCTATTTTAACACATCATAAGTGAGTGGATTTGTTTCTTTACAGATTTATATGTGGTGCAGTAAAATCAATTTTCTCAATATAAATACTCAAGCACACACCATAGGTATTTAAACGTGTTTATTGGAGTTATTTCCCTTTAAACATCAGATTTCTTTCCTTATATAGTCAATAACTGTAGTGTTAGTGAGCTGCTGTGGCTCAATCAGTGAGTAATGCACTGGGCTCACTAACCAGGTGGTGCATCGTTCGATCCTGATATTGGCAGGGAAAGTTTCCCATGATTTTCCAGCGTGCTTTCCCCTTGTCTGTGGTGGTGATCATGTCCAGGCAAAATTTCCCTCATAGCACACTGTGTGGTGTATGCCCATCTTCATTAGCCCAATCGTTGCAGAAATGTAGGTTGTTAAACCATATTTCATTTCCTCAACTATGGCCCTTTTGCTCCCTGGCATGAATTGCATAGAAGATAGTATTGAATGTGATGTTATATTTTGTTCTTAAGCCTAACTTAAAGCCGCAGTTGAACGATTTTGAATCCCTTGCAAACTACAATATTGTGAAAGTTGATCTCTAAAAGGGACTATTAGTCCAAAAATAGTCAAGTTGTGTTTACAAAGATATGAAGAACAGACATTTTCAGAACATTTGTCATCCTTTTTGATGGGCCTCTTGCTTATCTGGTTTAAACCAAATAATACATCTTTGTAGGGAGACATGTAAAATTAGGTATTGTCCAAGAATGCAGGATCAGTGACTTAAAGGTCTGTTCTGTTGACATATTGAGCCAAATACAGTCAAGAAAACCTGGAATTTTGCAGGCCATGTTAATGCCTCATGATGGATTTTGTCTTTAATGTTAAAGTCGAACATTTATATCTTGGGGAATAACATCACTGGTCGGATTTAAATTTTAACATGAATTTTAAAATCGGGCAATGAAAATCACATTTCTTTATGGTGATCAACAGGTTATTCTTAACAATTTATGTCCTAATGGCCCTCTGTAAATTAAAATCATAAAGAACAGACTAAAATATATTGTTGATAATTTTCATAGACTCAACTATAACCATACACAGAATATACTCAAAAACAACACAATAATTTTAAATATGTAAATTAATGCTATAGTGACCATGTACATTTCCATAAAAATTTACAATCTGCTTAAAATTATTGACATTGTGTCTATTTCATTTACAATCAGTGATGTAATGCTGTGGTAATCTATGTAGCTTTATTACAAAAGTGAAAACCCCCAGAAAGCAACAAACTACATATTCAGGTACGGTACATCTATTGTTAAAAAAAATAAAATTTCAAAACAATATTATGTGAAAAATTTAACAATTGAATTATATGCATTTGAAAAATTATTTCATTAAATACTTCATTTTCATATTTGGTGAGCTTTATAATTACTATTTTGGTTTTGTAATTTACAATCACATAAACAATCTTATAAATATTTTTGTGAAGATTTATTTCTTTCCCTTCTTTCCCTTTCCCTTTCCTTTTTTTCCACCACCCTTCTTCTTTTTAGCTTTAAGAGCTTTACGGACCTTGTATGATCTCCAGAAGGCTTGAACAGTCGTAGCTGCTCGGATCATACGTGCCATCTCTTGTTCTGCCTTCTCACGACGTTCTCTAGCCAATCTACGCTCTTCTTGTATTTGTTTGTATTCTGTTTCCAATGTTTTAAATCTTTCTTCTAATTCATGTAACTGTTTCTTTTCTTCTGTATATATTTCATCAATTTCTTCATATTCATCCTGTCTTTCACCCATATCTTGATCGTACTTCTGTATCCAGTTTTCAACTTCAGTTTCAACTTTGAATTTTTTCTGGAAGAGCAAAATAAAAGAAATTTATTTTATGCATATAATTGATTAAACTCTAAATTTTGGATGATAAAATAAACACAAGTTCAAACTGTCACTCCAGTTTAAATGGCATATGTTGTATACAAGGCAGGGTAGATTCCTATCTAGAACACCTGATACAACTTTTCATTTAAGAAATTCATCTACATGTACCTAATAAACTTTTGCTTAGGTACAGAAAGTCAAAAACTGTTCTTGTAATATATTTCAGGGTTTAGGTATAAAAATCTGTAGGCAAATGCAACTGTTTTCAAAATTCTGTTTCTTGTAGAGAACTTTATTGTCTAAAACAGTTTTGGACTTGGGGGGAAAAAGTGCTAACTCCTAGGGAAGAAAATGTTAAATTATTTTGCTGTAAAAACATTACCAATTCTGTTTTATGTATAGAATTTTATAATTATGGGTCCAAAGCCCACTGTGGCTATTTTGATACCCCTAAGTGGGCAATGTCGTAATATCGTGCCATGTTCTTTGTTATCCTTTAACATTTAACCCTCATGCTTACCTTTCTTAATTCTTGTTCACTCTCTCGGTGCTCTGTGGTCATAGTTTGAAATGATGTACGAAGTTGATTTATTTCTTGTTGTAATTTTTGACGTTTTCCCTCACTATTTTTAACATCAGCTGTCTCTTGTTTTTCAGCCTCAGCTTTAACTCTTCGTATGTGCTCTTCAGAAAATTTCTCAATTTGGTGTAAATCTGCCTGCAGTCTTCGAATAACTTCATTTTTCTTTCTAATCTGTGAAATGAAAAAAAATAAATTAGAAAAATTATTTAAATCTGATTGATTAAAATACAGATATAATTTTAGTTTCATTACAATGGTATCCACTCCATATAGATATGACAGATTACAAGCTAGATCTCGTTAGGGTTCTTGAATGATGTCTATTTATATTTAAATTTTATTTTGCTCTCTGCTTCTCTGTAGATATTCCTATACAACCTTGTTGCACAACTGAACAGACTACTGTCTGAACCATCTTTGGTTATTGTAAACTTACCTGTGTGTTTGAAATCAACTCCCGTTAAATAAAATCCATTGCACAATTTAATATCCCAACGAATAAAGAAGTTCTCTCTTGAAAAAATTGACGTATCTACTTGTATTTTTGACTGAGTTCAAGACAACATGGCTTTCCTCCCGTGTTGGACGAAACCATTGAATCTGTTGCGGGGTATGACAGCGATTTTGACAACCAAGTGTTGCAATCAAAACAAAGCGTCGTCATTTCGATCATTTGAGTTTGGGCAACGAAAAATATCAACTGAAGACAGTTTTGACCGTATCGTATTGTGATATGGTGCAATATTTATTGTTCATCATGAAAATATATTCTTTATCAATTATTTTTTTTTTTTAATTTATTGTAAATAATACTTAAATCACACCATGGCATAGCCCCCACCTTCAATAGAAGGCTTAATCTTGCTTTAACTACGTACATCTTATAAGATGTTGTAAAACTCATAGTCGTTGCTTCAGTAACATGCATATACATGTAGCCCCATAATTTTAAATACCCTGTACACATACGTTAGATCTATCATGTTATATATCAGATTAAAGATATTCATGGGTAAAATTTAAGACCCGTAAAACGAATGTCATTGTTTTTGTGTCGTATTTGTGTTCAAAAGAAAATTCATTCACCCGACTCTAATCAAAAATATGATTAAAACAAAATATTTCAAAAGGTAAAAGCTATAAACTTTGCAGAGATTTTACTAGAATGTTAAAGATAGTAACAAAATAAAGGAATACTGGCAGTTATGTGTGTGAACGCCCAAACTCAATACCGAGCCGGGATTACACAAAACTTGAATTGTCGTAAAAGTACCGCAAACCGTGCCATCTTGTAACCCCGATACACAATGATCTCCATGTCAAAAGTTTGTGGGAATTCAATTTTTTCAAGAGAGAACTTTTTTATTTGTTGGGATATTAAATTGTGCAATGGATTTTAATTAAGGGGAGTTGATTTCAAACACACAGGTAAGTTTATAATAACCAAAGTTAAGTAGTTTGATCATAATCGAAGAAATCCGTTTAAAATTTACGATGGTTCAGACAGTAGTTCATTGGCTAACCATGCATGCAGTTTGTTTAAACACTCTTCTAGATCCCAAGGTCAAGAAGACAATTTGACAAATAAAATGAAATTTCACTGCAAAAAAAAAAAGAAGGGAATAGGGTCAGTGTTTTAATAAGGGACAGAAGTTAATTATATTATCTTATAATGGGTGGTACTTTTTACCGCCGACGACCAATACTTTTACCGCCGACCGTCGTGAAACTACCGCCGACCAAATACTTTTTACTGCCGACCGCATTGTAATGACTTTCGACCGTATTATAATTACCGCCGACCAAATACTTGTTACCGCCGATCAAATGCTTAATGATTCCTTGTTACCACCGACTATATAAAATTAATTAAATTATTAGTGACAAATAAATAGATTTGGTTAAATACACAGAGTTTGATAAAAAATATAGAATTTATTATATATAAATATGGTCGACAACCCTAACCCTCGCACTAATAGAAGATAGGCCTAAAATGTTATTTATTTATAACCAGTAGCTGAAACAATCTTGATATTTTTTTTAATTTGCCCTTCAATATCTAAATTGTAGTTTGTCCTTCCATATTGTTTAAAATATATATGAATGTTTTTCGACAGTTGTACGTGATTACACCCTCAAATAAAAAATAATATTCTTGTATTCTTTTTTATAAAAAAAAAACCAACCGTAAAATAGTCGGCGGTAACAAGGAATCATTAAGCATTTGGTCGGCGGTAATTATATATTACGGTCGAAAGTCATTACAATGCGGTCGGCCGTAAAAAGTATTTGGTCGGCGGTAATTACACGACGGTCGGCGGTAAAAAGCATTTGGTCGGCAGTAGTCGGCCGTAAAAAGTACCACCGTCTTATAATTTTAACTTACAGTTAGTATTCTGAAACAACATTAAAAACATTTTAATTTTCTTTTACATTTAAGAATATTGCATTAAATTATTACCTCTTCATCTCTGTCCTCCATTCCTGATTTCAGTTCAGCTTCAAGTTTTTCAATTATTCCAGCATTGTACCTTTCACGCTGTGATATTTCTGCTAAATATGCCATTCGTTCTTTTTCTTCTTCTGGGGTTGTTAAAAGTTTCCCCATTAAAATGTCCCTGAGTTCTTGCATGGTTATTACCATATGCTTACATTCTTCATTACGAACTCGATATTCAGCAATAACTGTGTTAGATGCAGCAGGGTTAACTTGGAAAGCTCGTAATATGTTTTTACATGAAAAACTAAGTTGTTGAGCAACCAAAGACAAATTACGAATAATTTCTTCCAGCATTGCATCTGCTTCCTCTGCTGATCTTCTACTTGATGCACTTGATCTCCGAGATGGAGGTTGACTAATTTCATCCTCTTCTTCCTCATTATCCTCCACCTGTCCACCAGGTGTTGAACTTTTACGAGACGATTTTCCGGATAAAAACGATTTTGATCTGGCACTCTGACTTGGTGTTTGTTTTTCTAAGTATTTGTCAAGTTCTGAACGAATTTCATTATAACTGTTTTGTATAACTTGGTGGTGCTGGAGAAGATCTATTAATTCAGAACCAAGCGAGACACGAAAGCGATCCAAATTGGATATTATGTGGGGCAAAAGAGTTATTATTTCTGTTCTTCGTATTGTCTCTTCAAATACGGACATTACCCGCTGTGCTTCAATAGTGGCAATTTTCTTGCGAGCTGGTTCCAATGCTCTTGATGGGTCAAGCTTAATTTTACGCATTCTTCCTACAGGTACTCCAGGTGGGGGCACTGGTTTGACATTAACATTTTGGTTTAACTGCAGTTTCACATGAACTGTTGGTTCAGGTTGAGTAACACTGATCGTTTCAGTTATAGAAGAAGCCATTATTATCAAATATAACTCAAATACTTAAATAAACTAGTAAAAGCAGAACATATTTTTCAAATACTGTTAATTATCGACCTTAACCATTATTCACATTCCGGTACCTTCAAGTTCAACAAAACTCATCATGTTTTGATTCCGTCAATACTGCCTCGGTGCTCAATCTTTGTTTGAATATAACTACACTGACAACAAATAGTTCTTTAAATTAAGTTGCAATATCGACACAGTTATTTGTAGAGATCACTTCAATAAATTCGACGTATTATGTTAATTATTAAAAAATCACATTATCAAAATTATTTTATATTTTATTTGCTATGAATCAATTTATAGTTTTAAAATATCAAGGTGCAATTACTAAGGAACTATTTTATTCATTAAGGTACTTCAAGTCATTTCGCACTAATGGGGTGGGTTGTTTCGTCACTAATTTCAAAATATCAAATTCATTTCTTCACCGCACAAAGTTATAAAGTTAATTAAATATGTTTTAATAAATGAAATGGTTCGTTTGTTTTAATAAAACCTCGATAAAGGTTAATGAAAACATTTCACCGTCGTCATGTTACGAATGTACCTGTTGACCCCAACAACGAAGGTGAAGGTAATTCAAAATGGAAGTAGACGATGACAGGAGTCCAAGAGCGAGTTCTGTCAATGCCAGTGAGTTATTCGAACAGTTAATCAAACAAATTATTGTAAAAATTACCACATGTTTTCGATTTATATATCACTCCGTGAAATTTTGTAAGCAGTCGTATTCAGAAAATGTTGTTTTTGGTTTTCGGCAGCTTTTTGTTTATTTTTATAGTTTAGTTTAGTCAATTAATTAGTGTCATCTAATCCATTTTTCAAATGTGAATATCAGTGATCAATTATAACATACTGGTATCTTAACGATATGATTATAATATGTTCTCTCGTAGCTTGGTCAATTATTGCAATCTAAGATTCAAGAAGTTATTTTTAACAGACGATATATTTCCTAAGACTGGTGCGGGAGACTACAATAAATTTTAAATAGCAAAATAGGCTAGATATAAAATGCCAATAATAATGAAATGGTCAAAGCATTTATTTTTTGTGAGAGTCCAAATTGGCCAAATTTATTATGTAACCACAACAACTAACTTCAGTCTCTGGTACAGAAGACAATCAGTGGCTAGATTATTTAGTCTAGCTAGGCTATACCAAGTACGTATATCAAAGAATAGTGTTAGTCAACCAGAAAATATGAAAACAGATCACATTAAAATCTTTTGATAAGCCTCCGTTTAATCTGATTGAATTTAAACCGAGAGATATCTTTGACATTTTGATTTATTATTTAAATGTTCAATAATCAATTTAATTACGTAGCATGGATTAAGTCATGAAAAATTTAATACCGGTACCGTTAGTCAAAAAATGCAAATAGCGATAGCGTGTTTAATTTTAGTAGATCTACAAGCAACAGTGAATTAATACAAAAAATGAAAAAGTGTACCTAAAGGACAAAAAGTCTTTAACTCGTGAAAACATCAATGAAATGAAAAGGTCTTGACTACATGTAATTAATTTTGTTATCACCAGACAAGGCTGACATCACAGACTAAGCAGAGTATATGTCACATGCACGCCACTCATCTTTTGATATTAGAATGTGACTGTGTGCAAAATTTGAGGACAAACTGTTTTAATCCAATAACTGATGACTATGCAAAATCCAATCTAATATACTAAGACAAATTTCAGTCAATACTTGTGTTGTCAGTTTTAGACTTCTGGAAAGGTAGAGGTATGCCGTTGTTTAATTTTGTATTACCGACAGAAGGTGAGACTTATTATTGAAAGTGATTGTTAAGAAAAATAGTCTCTTTTCACTGGACTTAAATATTGGTCATGTCATGAAAAATTCCACCGGAGATTTGATTTCTTCTGCTTGTCAGGCAATGCAACATACAACCACAGCATTTAAGTCCAGAAAGGTTGTCACAATATGAATCTTTAGATACATGTACGCAGTAAATAAAAAGCAAAATCTTTTTGTCATTGGTATGTTGAAATGAAATGTGATTTAATGTCCTACTTTTCAAGAAATTTCGTCTGGACACCAACGCTAAGGCCTACTCTTATTTCTAATTCTGACTGTCAAGGGTTCTTTTACATATACACCAATGTGTACAGGTGACATTGTTTTTACATCCCATTCGAATGACTATACTTGTCTTATTTCAACCAAAACCTAGAGTAAACAAATATTCCACTCTTGTAGAGTGTTTAGTATTTTGTCCTACATGTAGGCCTACATTGGGCCTTATCACACAATGATTATCCAGTCCTAAAAACTTTCTGGATGATATCCGATTTTAGATTGAACCGTAACTAACAGTAATACTCTGGAAATGGAAATAATTTAAATAATTAAGATTTCATTATGCAAGTGCTAAAATCTTCAGATATTGCAGGTCTTTTTTCTGGCTTCAAATATTATAGTCCATAATCAACTCTCTAGATCATCGGATGGCTGAGATATTGAATAGATTAGAATCCGCGCCATTTAATTAACATGGTTATTAATATTAAAACTAAATGACATAGCCTAGCACTTTCAATTACCCAGAATTAAAATCTGGTCATGATGTGGCTCTTTAAAGCAAACCATTTGCAAAGCATCTCCTAATTAAATGAATCTAATTTAGACCCAGACAATCTTAAAAGCTTTAGACCAGTTTCAAATTTGTCTTATCTCTCTAAATTGATTGAAAAAGTATTAGCTGATCATTTAACATCAAACAATAAAGATATTGGGTCTAAATGAAATTTCTTTTAGCAGTTAGAAGAGACAGCATTACTTCTTGTTGATAATGGTGTCAGGTCTAAATTAATTTTTTTTTATCAGCAGTTAGAAGAGGCTTCATTTCTTTGTGTTAATGTTGAAATTAATTATTAAGAACACCAGTAACAAACACCACAGTTCTAAGCTACATGTACTGAGCAACTTAAGTGCATGTAGATGGATTTTAAATGCACTATTGAATCAGATTGATATTATTATTTGATAATCAACTTATTCATGCATTATTATGACTGTAGGCTACAACTACTGTTATTCAGATATCAATCTTTTGACATGAATATTTAATTGAATAATATTGAGGTTATCTGTCACTAATCAAAATAACACACCCAATTCAGTATTTTTTTTTAGAGTCTGTAATATCTGCCCTTATGAATAATATGTGACATACATTGCTGTCCATGTATAGTGCATGATGAGACTAAGAATGCATGCACAGCCAAGTGCAGCTTAACTGCCTTTAGGTTATACAGAATCAGAGTGCAAGGTTTGTTTCAAGGACAAAACAGAGTGTGCACATTTCTGCTGTGTTATATTCTCTGCATTGACCAATGATTCGTGAAAGTATTTAGTTCATAGTGTTATCTCTAACATATCAGTTAATTTCTTCTGGATACTCCCATATATAAATTGAAAACTTTTGGAGCTCATTTATTTTCATATACTGTAGCAACTTTATGGAACACTTTGCCGTTTCACCTTAAAACCCAACAAACCTTAACTTGATTCAAATCAGACTTGAAAATATTTCTGTTTCAGAAATATTAGGATTATTATTTTATGCATGTGTTGTGGCATTTGATGTATTATACAACGTATGTGTGGTCTGTGCTTAGAGCATGTCCTTGTATGTAACATGGATTATTTAGCACAATATAAATTTTCATTTTATTATGCCCTTGATTTACATACCCATTAGACCATGTCACATGTACAGTAAATTTATATAGATTTATTTATGTGAGAATAATTTCAATAAGGAAACCAGGAAGAAAACTTATGCGAGAAAATTTGCCATACTAAACCTTCTCATCACTTTTATTTAGCTTTTTTCTTCTCCTTTTTTCTTTTTAACACAGTTAATCTTTCAAATTCACATCTTCATGTTGAAAAGTTTCACTTTATTAGGTCTACTTTAATACCAATATTAATAATCTGTTAACTTTTTTGTAGTGAGTTATTTTATCTTGGACTTTCATTGGCTAATACACACACTAACCAGCCAATCAGCAGTTAAAAAATATTAGCTTCTGTACATTAAAGGGTTCAATTCAGGGAGTTCATTTTGCCCATATACTTGGAGGATGGTAACATGCACAAATTGCATGCAAAAGGAGCATAAATTCTTTGTGAACTCTGATTGGCTTTTTGAAATCTTAATCCAAGGACCATGGAATTTTTTGAAGGTCTGTAATTATGGTTTGAAGAAATAAAAATGGTCACTTTTCATATCTGACAGATAACAAGTCTGACAGATAACTGATCTGATCATACATTTGTGTATGGATAACTACTTATGTCTTGCAAGAGTACAAGAATGGATACATGAATTTTGATAAGGGGTTGGGGATGTAAGCAACGATAAGACATAAGCTTACCTATACCAGTAGTACTCAACAAACTCAACATTATGTAAGATTTAAATAAAGAGCTGGCCATTCTTTCTATAATAGTTCAGAAATACATAATGCAAAATGAATATTCTTATTCTTAGCAAAGTTTTCACTGTTTGTAGTTTTGACATGATGTGTGCATTGATTGTTTATTATCGTAAACATGGTACTGGTATATTCAAGACTTAGACTCGCCCCTCCATTTTTGAATTAAATCATAAAATGGCTAAACGGTTCTAATCTTTTTAAAATTGCGAGCATCAAGAGTTGATTATGGTCTTGTCAGGAATGTCAAATTAATAATTTATATAACACTTAAGGCTTAAAGAAAAACATGCAATAATAATTAATAGGCAAATGTAAGGGGCCATTCATTTACAAATGTAGGTATCAGCAGATAGACTTAAGATGTCATATTTTGCTGGGGGGGGGGACTTTCCAATACCTCAAATGATAGGGGGATTTTAACGTCCCTTTTCACCTGAAGCAATAACCTAACTCTTATTCAGAAAGTGAAATTTTTGCATATTTAATGGATACAACAAATCTTTCATTGGTTTGACTGACTTTACAGAACATATGTAAGCATGTTAGTACCGGATATGATATTTTTAAAATAGTGCATATATACTATTCAAAAAAAGTAGGGGATATTTGATTTTTAAGTGTTATTAAAGTCACCTAATGAAACTGACGAAGAAACAAATGACAAAATGAAATGAAGTTCACATTCATCGATTTATTCCAAATGATCGTTAGACTAAGTAAGGCACAGACTGACCATTATAAGGGTAAAATGATACCCGGGGTCAAACAGCAAAGTTACCACAGCATCACAACCAAGTCAGTAACGGGTAAATCCTCCTCTGTTTGCCAAACAAGCATTGATCCGACGTGGCATACTCCTAATGAGACGTCTAAGGTCATTTTGGTCCGGATTGTCCCATTCCTGTTGCAAGTTCTTGGACATTGGCAGGACGTTGTTGACGTTGACGTAACCTCTGTCCAAGCATGTCCCAGACATGCTCGATGGGGGAGAGGTCGGGACTCAGTGCTGGCCAAGGTAATGTGGTGATGTTCTGTTGTTGGAGGTAACCTGTAACGATCCTGGCCCTGTGACATCTTGCGTTGTCATCCTGGAAGATGAAACGGCGGCCATGACGTCGTGCGAACGGCACAACATGGACTGCCAAGATGTTGTCCCGGTAGTACTGGCCTGTAACACGCCCTGCAACAACATGTAAAGCCGTTCTTCCAGCAACAGTGATGCCTCCCCACACCATAACAGAACCACCCCTAAATCGATCATGTCTGATGACGTTAACGTCTTGGAAGCGCTCGTTTCGACGACGCCACACCCTCCTACGTCTGTCCAAAAAATCAACAGTGAACCTTGACTCATCTGAAAACATCACATTGCTCCAGCGTCGATTATCCCAGTGTTGACGATCCCTACACCAACGACGTCTTGCCTGAATGTGATGATCTCTCAAACAAGGGATCACGCGAGGACGTCGGGCGCGAAGGTGACCCCTATGCAGTCGATTCCGAATCGTCTGGCCACTCACTCTCACACCAGTGTCTGTTTGAAGACGAGCGCTGATCTGATTTGCTGTGATGACACGATTTCTCAAGGCCAAGGTTCGGATAAATCGATCCTGGGCTTGAGTTGTCGCCCTTGGTCGACCTGAGCGTGGTCTGTCCTGTACAGATTGTGTATCACGGTATCTGGACCATAGCCTGCTTATGACAGACTGAGAAACAGTCATCGTCCGCGCCACAACCGCCTGTGTTGTGCCGATCTGTAGCATGCCAAGGGCACGTAACCTTTCATTTTGGGTAAGCCGACGCATATCAAAATTTGTTTTCTGGTCACTAAAACAATTAAACTGATGTTTCCACCCTGGAATTCAATGCCACAATGACTGTAACATTCAAAGTCAGAGTCGTGCAAATCTTGGGTTGGACCCCCATGATGATCCCAAGCATCACCTGCATTCCATGCGGTAGCTATTGGTGCGTTTGGGCGTCACATGTAACTGGAAATGTTTCTTCTGTTAGGTTCTATAGTGACTTTTTTCGTAGTCATTTGCATATTTTAGTATTATGCCCCCAAAATCAAATATCCCCTACTTTTTTTGAATAGTATATATTGATTTTGTTTTCTTTTTTTTTACAGATGACATAGATTTTGATACGGTTAATCAAAGTAGAACTGAAAGACAAACACTGAGAGAAAATTCTACAGAATTATTAGTTGAAGAAATCAGAGAAAGAAGTAGACAGACACAGTGGCAATTAAACTATCAAGAAGCGGCCATTTATTTAGAGGAAGGAGAAAACAATGATAAATTTGACACTCACCCACGAGATCAATCTGCTCTACCGGCTTACGAAGTGGCACATAATAGATGGTTTCATCTATTAGATTTGATTGCAGCCATATTAGTCCTGTTGGTGGCAATATGTGAAAGACCAGCTATTGAATACTTTAGCTTGCCAGTTGGGGTTAGATCAAATTTAAATAGATCCACTTGTTTTTAGGGTGTCGATTTGTTCGTTAAAACGGTCCCATCATGCTTGAATAAAAGTCAGACATAGACTGTGATGTGCCTTGACTTTGAAATCACCATAGGTAGTAGTAGTCTAAGATGCCATTCAAAATCAGATGGCAAAAGATAAAGCTACCTTATAATAATTCCCAGATAATTTTAAACCATGGAAGGGGGATTGGGGTTGACACAAACTATAAGTCAAGCCATCATAACTATTCTGTTAATTTGACTTTGTGTGGACATTAGGTCTAATCCAATTCTTTTTGACATAAAGTTACTTTTCCAGTTACACACCAATCACAACAATAAAAGCAGAAAATGTTCATGATTGAACTCATTGAAGACGTTCACATAACAAACATCTAAACCAAATTTTTTGAACACAATAACTCTGCTTGTAATTCAGGTAGAATGTTCAAACTTGGTATAGATTTTCATTACTAAATGCCTTAGCTGACTCCTTTTTCAATTTTCTATCTGTCGGGGGATCTTTAACTTGCTGCCAATGGCATACATAGACAATTACTTCATGTACCATCCAAACAACTAGATCAAAGCTCCAGATTAGTGAGCTATTGCATAGTGCATACTCAGCAAGCCAAACTTACCCTCCTTTTTAAAAAACAGGAATATTTAAACTGTTTATTATACGCCCATATTTTCATGTGGACATATATTGTTGTTGCCCCTGTCCAGACGTCTGTCCGTCTGTTCACATGTTGTTTGTGGACACTCTACAGGTCACAATTTTTATCCGATTTTGACGAAACTTGAAATATACATTTTTGTCTCAAAGATCTCGGTTGCATTCGATATTGGCATGTATCAGACCCTAACTTCATGGATTATGGGCCCTGATTGTACAAAATTCATGTTTTTAGCGTGCAGACACTCTGAAGGTCACAATTTTTATCCAATTTTGATGAAACTTATTATGTATGTTTATATCCCAAAGATCTCGGTTCCTTTTGATAATGATGCAAATGGACCGTAACTTCCTGGATTATGGGCCCTTATTGTACGAAAATCGCTTTTTTTACCTTGTTCTCTGTCCATCTCCTTCAAAATGTGGGTGTATCTTGCATGGAAACTGCTTGTTTTTCTACCTTGAATCTGAAATGTAAACAACATTCTGTTGCTTTTGGATAACATGTTTGTTTACTTTCTGTAGTGTTCATACTATTTTCTTAATATTTCAGATACATGCATCATTGGAGATGCTTGGGTTGCTTATTCTTAGTTTAGAACTAGGAATACGCTTCAAATGGGTTGGATGGAGAGCTTTTTTTAAACATAAAAGAACCGTTATAAAGGTTTGACTAATTTTGGTTACTCTTAGCCTTACTCATAAACTCTTTCAATAAATGGTTTAGCTCAGGGTAAAACATATTGCAGTGTCCTTATAATGGAATCAGATAATGAAATGGGTTGAATGTCTTATTTTTTCTAGTTTAGATTTCCAATTGTTAGTGGATCCTTAAGGTGCTGCCAATGGTATACGTAAACGTAAAATCTTGGGGGTTTTCGCATCTGAATCAGGCGATTTCAGGCAGTTTAAGGATCACTAGTTACAGGATGTTTTGGGCCATCCAATACGGGGTTAAAATGAATAAAAATTGCCAGTTATTTACATTTGCAATGTATTTTGTTCTTTTTCAGTCTTGTACTATTATATTCATGTTGATAGAATCAATTGTGGTATTAGTACGCCAGACAAGTCACTTCAGAGTCACAAGAGCCCTGCGGCCATTATTTTTGATACATACTTATTACTGTCGTGGAGTCAGAAGGTATATTTATTTTAGTTTAGAATTTACTGTTGAATGGAAATATATTGTAAAACTATATTTATAGGACACCAACCCGCTCCCATTTACTCCCAACCATAGACCCCTCTCCCGTAATTTAAGATAAATAAAACAATATGGCCTATTTCTGTTGCACTTGTCTAAAAGTTTCAGGTCCTTTTTTGTGATTGGTGTATTCACTTGATTTGATAGTTGTTCCCTGTCGTATTGTTTTGTTATACTTATGAGTTTGGGGACAGGGGTGGCTGAGTGATATAATGCATGCACTTTAAATGATATGGTCTACCATGTCAAATTGTTTTATTATTCTTATGAATTTGGGAACGGGGGTGGTCGAGTGATATAATGCCTGCACTTTAAATGATAAGGTCTGTCATTAAGTCAAGTTGCGTGGTCTCTAGGAGTGCAGTCACCTGGGGTTTTCTCTGGGTTCCTGCAATAGTACATGCAAGCGAACTATTGAAATTAAATTGAACATAGTAGTCTAGAAATGACCTAGCTAACGCACATTAGAACAGAGAGTTCTGCACTTAGAGCCTGATCCCTTGTATTTCCATTGTATTTCAGAATAACCAGACAGATATTACAGTCACTACCTCCTATTTTGGACATGATCATATTACTCTTATTTTTTATGCTAATTTTCTCCATCTTTGGTAAGTCATTATTTAGACTATGTTGTTATATTATAGACAAAAAATAGACACTATTTAATGTGTAAATTTATGATATCCAGAAAACTAATTCTAATTAAATTAAATGTATTTCTGATTTGTATTTTAGGTTATTATCTCTTCTCCAGGAACAAAGATGACATGGTTAGTATATTATTATTATCTTAATAATTAAAGGTCCATGACAGGGCTTTTGCAACTCTTTCAATTTTTGATGTAGTTTGTTTATTTTGAATTAGCAAAATATATTTTCCAAAAAATTGTGTTTTCAGTCAAGACTGATAAATATGACTGAAATGACAGCCCTGGTAATTCATTGTAATGTTTAAATTCAATTATGATGGGTTTTACCTTTTATAATGCCCATATTATTTCTACACTCATAATTAAATTTTAATAAGCAAAATATGTCTTGTTATTGTCTTTTAATTATTTAGAAAAAATTAGATAAGTTTTCAGAATTTTAAATGTAATTACAATGATTACTGTTAACTCTTTTCTAATTCTATTTCAGTATTTTGCAACTTTTCAAAAAATAATCAAATAAAATTTCAAAATTTTGAATATAATTTTTTAGAAGACAGCTCTTTTCTATTTCAGTATTTTTCAACTTTAGAGAAAAGTTTTGTTAATCTATTTATTCTACTTACAACAGCCAAGTAAGTTTTATTATTGTGTAGTATAATGTAATGTACCGGTAATGTAAAAGAAATTTATAGAGTATCTGTTCAATTGCTGCTCAGTCAGTCAGTGGTGTTATAAAATTTGTATATGCCCACTTTAAAATGTGGTTGTATATTGTCGCCACCCCTTTTTGTCTGCCATCTCAACAATAATCCAATTTCAATTTTTTAGTATCTTGTAAATCCTCCCATTACCTACAATAATGTAACAGCCTTTATGGACTACTTGGATGACTTGGATGCTGTGGGCATTTGTTTCCTTACCTGGCAACCTATCTACAAACAAACTGGTACATAGGATTATATCATGATTCATGTATCATAAACTTTGGTTTTTTTTTAGTTTTCCAGATGTGATGATGCCATCTTATAATCAATCAAAGTTTTATTCCATATTTTTTATAGTGTATTTATCTCTAGAACTTTATTTTCTTATGAACTTGGTAAGTATATATATATGACGAGTTACTAACTGTTTAGTGCAGTCTGATTAAAATACAGATCTACATTTTGCTCTTATTGTTTATACTTTCAATGGCCTCCACTACATGAAGATCTAACCACTTGTAGTGGAAGGTTGCGTAAGGAGTCATATGAGGGGCTTTGACCCTACGATGTCAATCATTCAATTGACCTATCAGAGTAGGTGTTTTAAGTGGCTTTGTTTTGTTTTCTATCATGCGAATATTTACCCATAATTCTGCGTGTCAGACGAAAATACTCAACTGGCTAATCCCTCACGTCAACCAGAAATTTTGAACTATGAACTGTGTTTTAATCAGATTGTGGTTGGTGTAGACTAGTTAACCAAGATGTCTGATAGTAACATAATGTCTCAAACAGACATCTTGGTGATAAAGGCAAATAGACAATACAAAGCTAACGATAGTCTATAACAATCTTCTTTCATGTATAATAATAGTGATTTTTATAACAATATTTTTTTTAAATATTTTATTTGAAGATTGAAAGATATTTAGGAACAGGCATGGCCTATTCAACTTCGCTACTGATGGGTTTACTGTTAGATATGATGGACTTAAAATTGATCCCGCATTGGTAGAACATTGACAATAAAACTTGTGGATGCTTATCATAAGAACAATTATTCAAGATAAACAAGGGATAGTATTGGAGAGAATTGCATATATTAGTGCTTTATATTGTTCGTGAATGACTAAAATTAAAATGGGTTCCTTCAACCACCTGTCCATCGGTCGATCCATCGGACTGCCTGTCCATCACATCTTTTGGAGCACAATAATTCTGCTTTTAATTCAGTGAGAGTGATGAAATTTGGGTGCATTATGTAATTTAATTGCTTTATGTTTTATAAACAGATAAATGAGTGTCATCTATATATTTTGGGATTTAGGTGGAGGACATAGCCTCACTCTTTCGAAAACAGTCAGGCATTAAATAAACTTGTAGAAGCTGGAATAAATGTTGAAAAATTTATTTTTATTTCAGTTGTTGGCCGTTGTTTATGATACATTCTCAAATTTGGAGAAAACCAAATTTCAAAAACTTCTTATTCACAAACGGATTGGATGCCAACATGCCTTTAAACTTCTGGTTTCAGATCAGGTAGGATGATTTTATCGTCATTGTTTACCCCATGGAATTTTTAGAGTGACAAATACATTCAGTCAAATAAATTATGCCACTCTATGAAGATTCTCTATATTCCATGTTGATTGATAAATTTGTTATTTGGGTGTCTGATAAATAGAATAAGTAACTTTAGTGACTTAATGATACCCAGAAATGTGCTGTAATAAAAGTTGAATATTCAATCTCAGTTGACAATTTCTAAAGTGATTACATGACAGAGATGCATTGCCTTGTAATATAGTGTAATTCAACATAGCATCCTGAGGTAGTTAATATATTTAGGTAAGGGTTTATACCAAATTGTTTAATTATGCAAGAGATTTGAATCATAAATAATCTTTAATAGAGGATTATATTGTGTATTTTGTTGATAATAAATGATGGGTAGTATATGACAGTAGAACAATAAAAATTGATTATTACGTGAGAATCTTACAGAATGACAATGAATAAGGAAAATAATTCTGTTTGAGTTAATTATAAATATTTCTCTTAAATTAAATGATTAAATGTGTCGGATGTTATGAGCTAATAACAGGAAATGATTCATGGCAAGTCAAAACAGATAAATCTATAAAGTTAAAGGAGATGTCCAGTTATTACAGATTTATTATATTTTATTGAATATATGTTATTAAAATATTTTTGACCATGCAGCACCATAAATACAACTCATTTCGATTTTAACAAATTAAAAATTTGGGTGTGACATCATCAGAATAACTGATGCTAAATCCAATATCTAATTTAAAATAGTTTTAACCATGCTAAATCCAAAGTACAAATCATGTTCAGCATGTCTACCGGTAATGAAATTGTTTTCTTATTTGTTTTCTCTTTTACGTCACAACAGTTTATTGTTATTACTCTGTTCATCTAAAGAAAAAGATGTTAAATATAATTTCCACATTGAAGTTGTTTGATCTTGTTTGATATCTTTATTAGTCAATATTCAACATGTATAATCAAAGTTATTTCTTATTTGTTTTCTCGTTTATGCCTCATCAGTTTAATATGGTCACATATGGTTGTTACTCTGTCCACCTACAGAAAAAGATATTAAATATAATTTAATATGCAATAATTCTTATTTTAACCTTAGAATCAACATGAGCTTCACATGAAACATTTTATGGGTATGATGAAGAAATACCATCCCTCAAAAAGTAAGTTTTATATTGTACCCAGCATCAGATAGTACAGCAGTTACATACAAAGCGATCTAATCATCAAGCTTGGAAATAATAAAATGTCAGGTTCTATTGAAATTGTACCCGACATATTTAACTTTGTGTGTATCATGTATTAAAAATCCATAATATAAGTCCCCAGCAACAAACTTGACAAGACTGAGTAGTAATCAAAAGATTTAATCCAGTATGTGTTTCGGGCGATTGCCCTTCATTTGCTGGTTTTTCAGTCATCTCAGTGACAGTTGGCTTGTTAATCCATAATCATAGACATTTAGTCGACTGGTCATTCCATTAACATCTAAAGACTTGTTTAAATATGCCTTGTTCTGGCTTTTTTCGGTGTGGTTTCCCCTTGTCAGTGATGCAGGACGGAGTGCCTGACAAGGACAGCTGTCTAGTCGTTTGGATGGGACGAAAAACCGAGGTCCCGTGTACAAATTGGCGTGCACGTAAAAGATCCCTTGGCAGTTGGAATTCGATATAAGAGTAGTCCGTAGTGCCGCTGCCCGGGCAAAATTTCCCTCATAGCACACTGTATGGCGTATGGCCATCTTCATTAGCCCAGTTTAGGAGCAAAACAGTAGGACGTTAAACACCATTTCATTTCATTTCATTTCATTTCCTTGTTCTGGCCTCTGACATTCTCTAGTTTGAATAGACCTGATATTTTGCATATTCTTTTTGTGTATCTGGATAATATAAACATTGAAAGGTTTTGATTGATGAAATGATCTGGAATCTACCAATCACATTACTAGACTGTCTTATAAAGATAATAATATGTCTGTGGATCAAGCTTTTAAAGTAGACTAAACAACCAAAAATAAAATGGAATAAAAAGTTGGTATAGTTTTGATTAAATTAATATGTTGCCTAAATATATACAACACTTGTATCTTATATAATTTGAAAAATGAGTATTAAATAATATAATGTTAAAGTACCATTATCTTTTATTATTTGTTTGTAGGTAGAAGAGATTGTTATCTAGTGTTTAAGAGTTTGAATACGAGTAACACTGGTTGGTTAAGTATAGAAGAATTCTATGGTATATATGATGTTGCTGGTGTATCATGGAAGGTTAGTAGAAAACAAATAGTAGGTGCAGGAGAACTGCACCACCCATAAACAAATAGAAATCTAAAAGATAGATCTGTGGATAATACACATCACACACATAACACACAGACCTTGTAAAATATAAATACGAATGGATCCGGGGACTGTCTTTAAATGTCCACTGCGCTGTACCGTCACAGGCCTGCAGTGATTAAGAATTGGTTGAAAATGAAAAGGGTGTTAAGAACTTGGCTGTGTGTAATCAGACTAGTCTACTGAATGTAAATCATTGAGCCACATCTGAAACTAGATAAAAGAATTATCTTAACCCTTTAGCACTTGGTACATGTAAATATTGACTATCCAAGTTCCTTGAAGAAAATTAGAAAAAAGTGATATATTAATACTGATACGTCCCTGAAAGAAACGAAACAGTGTGAAACGGCTGTTCCTTAGACCACCTTAAACCATCTGAGATATGTGAATAGCTTTCCGTATTATAGGACCATTTTGCTTGAAATGGGTGTGCACATGCCGGGCCCAAATTAGGCTGGTTTTGGGCAGTCTCTTGTGCTAAAGGGTTAATGTATGGATAGATTTATTTATCCCTTAATTTGTAAAGATGTGATGCCTGACCCATAAGTGAATTGCTACTTACATACAGGGTGATATCTGTAATATCATTTATGTTGTTTATGTAAATTTGATCTGTTTTATCATTGTAGTTAAAGAATGAAGATCGGATCTGGTCTTCCAGTTTTAAACACCCCTTTAATAAAATATTTAAAGCTTTTAATATGTTGGTGAGGTTTAAATGGTTTGATTATGTCATATGTAAGTTCCAGTTTTGTTTTTACAGTTTTCCTACATTGTATATAATTATTATATGATAGATACATTTAAAGGAGCAGTTCCAGATATATTTCAGTGAATAAAACTAGTTGATTCATAGTGAAATAATAGTCAAAACTTTTTTGACAGTCAACTCTCCGAAGCTCTGTGATATTTTTTCAAAGAAATACTTAGTTTAAGAATGAATTTTCTTTATCTGTACTGACTTGAATCATGTGAAAGATATTTTGTTTAAAATTTCTTAACTTAAAAATTTGAAATTAAAAGCTTTTGAACTGCGCAACCAAGTACGTTTGGTTTTAAAGTTGGTCTTTTTTCTGAAGAAATAAGAACAGAAAATCAAATTGGTTACTTCTTAGACTTTTGGGAAAAATCTTTTTAGTAAGTTCATTAACTTACTAACTTCTAAGTTCCTTAACTTCTTTGAAAGGCAGGGGACTATTAATATGGGTCTGTCCATCCATCCATCTCTTCGTCCCTTTTTGGGAGATAATAACTGTCCTTCTAATTGAGGTAGAATGTTCAAACTTGGTGTAGGTGTTTATTATGTGAATACCTTGACAGTGTTTGATCATGCACATTTTCCACTTTGGCTAAGCAGACATAAGCAATTTGATAAGTTGAGACTTTAGAACTTGATCACTTTGGTTTTGATTGAGTGAGAGTGATGAAACTCAGAGTATAGATTCATTATATGTACAACTAAGCAATTTTATTGGTCAAGACTTTGGAACATACCAACTTAGCTTTTAATTGCAGTAGAATGTTTAAACTAGGTGTAGATGTTCTTTAAGTGAATGTCTTGATTAACATTATCCGCTAAAGCTAAGCAGAGCGAAGCAATTTCATTGGTCGATGCTTTAGATAACTTTGATTATAACTGATGGAGAGTTATGAAACTTAGTGTATGGTTTCACTTCCAGGTAATTCAAAACCTTGACTGAGTTTGTGAACATTTACTGCTTAGATTAAGTATAGATAATCAGTTTGATTGCTTGATACTTTTCAAAAAGATAAATGTGTAATCTATTTTGGGATTGCTGCAGGGGACATCAGCCTCACTCTTAGCTTATTTATTTACATGTTTGTGGTACATTTTGTAGACATTTTGTAGATTGTTTGAATTATATTAATTTTTATTTTGATTATAGATTTGGTAATTGGTGCTAATTTTTTGTGGATATTAATTGAAACTATTAGATTATCTGGTAAATGTATATATTTTATTTTTTAAGGTGTTATAGTACCAAGAGTTGTAGTTAGTTGTTTTTTAATGCTAGGCTTACTATTATACAAATATAAGAAGACAGCAAATGCTTTTACATAGAAGGGTTTTGGGTGACCGAATGGTCTAATGCATACTTTGTCATTGAGTCAAGTGTTGTGGTTTCGATTCCCCGCTTATACATGACAAGGAGTAGGGTCGCTTGGCCAACAGTGCATTTGTTTCTCCAGGTTCTTTGGCTTCCTCCCACTGCTAAAGACACCTATCCACAAATGAATTTGTGAAAATTGAATCAAATGTTAGTCGAGTGGACGTTAAACCCCTGTGTCGAGTAGACATTAATCCCCATCTCTCTCTCTCTCTCTCTTTTTTTACACAAAAGTTGCATACATACATTCTCAGTATACTGTATACAGAATTAAAATCATCTTTCTATACATTAACGAAGATCAATAAAGTTGCCGATTTTTCGTTAAGGAGATTTTAAAAATGATCAGTGTTTGTAGTGTGTGCTGTTTTTGTTTGCTAATGTTTGAGTTTATTTTTGTTATACAAAATGTAATGTTACCACCAAGCAGCACATCATTGTTGGCGTTTGGTACTCCATAAATTCATTATTATATTAGTAATATTACATCAAACATTTTAAGATGCTTTGTTAACGTGAGTCATGGTGGCAAAATTGTTTTTGTTATACAAAATGTAATCTTACCACCAAGCAGCATATCGTTGTTGCCGTTTAGTACTCCATAAATTCATTATTATATTAGTAATATTACATCAAACATTTATCATGCTTTGTTTACGGGAGTCGTGGTGGCAAAATTGTTTTTGTTATACGAAATGTAATGTTACCACCAAGCAGCACATCGTTGTTGGCATTTGATTCTCCATAAATTCATTATTATATTAGTAATATTACATCAAACATTTATCGTGCTTTGTTCACGGGAGTCATGGTGGCAAAATTTTCCTGGAAGCACACTGCATGGCATTGGTTCGTGCAGAAAAGTAAAACATTAAAGACCATTGCATTTCATTTTTACTTTGGTTTGGATTCATATTTACAGTTATTTTTAGACTATATGAGTTTAACCTACAGAATAGATGTAATTGTGTCTGTCTGTTGGATGATTATTGGTTTAAACAATATTTATTTGAAATGTTTACAATTTTATAACTAAACTACAGTATGTAGGATATGAAAAGAAGCATAAATATTGCTTCCTGATCATTGACTGATCATTCATGGACATAAGACACGAAGAATATTTTGTTTATTATTACCCATCTTCAATAGAAGGCTTGATCTCACTTTAACTACATACATCTTATCAAGGCCTTCACGTAATACCCTGCATATTTGCACTAATTTCGATTGGGTACAATCCCAGCTTGTGAGCCTATCAGATTTCTTGATCGTCGTGAATACCAAGTCTCGCGCTTTCAAGCTAAAATGTCTACCTGTGATAATCGAGTTGCAAAGTTCAAGGTCATTCAATGTCAAGGTTTCTGTCGAGGTCGCGATGTCACAACCTCTGATTAGACGCTAATCGGGAATTTTGAAGTAAACAAGCAATGTCTAGATGTTGTAAAACTCGCAGTCGTTGCTTCAGGAACATGATTATTACCATACATCACTACTGGTTTTAATTTCTAGCATGTTTTTTATAAATATTTTTGTGTTTCAAACTGCATGAATTAAAGTATGCTAAAGATTAAATATTTTAATTTATTTTCAGCAAAATCTGTTAATTTGGCAAACTATGATTTTACTGCAAGCTGGGCATCTATTGTTTTTGTCTGTAGTAAGTTTTGAAAATATATTTGAATTATAGATGAATTTTTCTTCTGGGAATGCACCATGCTCCTAAATACTATGCTTATTGTTTAAAATACAAATTATAATTTGGTTTGAAATATAGTGTTATAAGTATATATAAATATATGCAGCAATTAAATATTTAAAATGACACCCTCCCTATAACACAGTAAAAAATCTATTTTATTGGATTTTATATGTAGATTTATTTTAAGGGGTGACAATCTGTCTTCGTTGAACAGATAAAATAGATAAAGCCTATGTTAAGAAACAAACGATTATGTGTTCTGGTCCACCACATTAAGTAGAAAGTGAAACTAAAAATCAGCTTAAATTACTTCAAAGCAAAATTGTTTCATAAAACATCAGATCATCACAATTCAATGCTTTTTTTTTTTCCTAAATCAAAGTGGTATAGTATAACACTTTTGCCTGGTGTATTAGACACACATTTTGTTTTTACCAATTATTTTATTTTCTAGAAAGGGTGCATCTGCATCCTATATTTAATGTTAAGCAAATTAGATGTTTTCCCGTTAAGGCGTTTCAAGACAGAAGTATCGTAGCGCAAGTTTTACCGGGACCCATACATGTAGCAGTAGCTCCTTTGCTCACATTAAATACGGGATAGGCGGGAGGAGTTCTTCTATGATTCCATCTTTTCTTTTTCAGTATATTCTGTTGAAGTTATTATTAAGATATTAGGAAAGGGACCAATGGAATATTTCACATTAGGCTGGGATGTGTAAGTATTGATTTATAAAGGCTAACACAAGTATTGTGTTGTTTTTCTTATAGCAAATTAACTCTCTGTGGGAGAAGAAATAAATTATTTAAAGGCTCAATACCACTCTTGTTGTAACTGAATAATATGTCCCAATCTTTATTCTGGTCAACAAATTGTACTATTTTAGAATATTGCAATTAATTGATGATACAAATTTCATCTTAACACACCTTATTTAAAAATTTTGAAAAATTCAACATAATGGTTTGAAACGTCTAACATAAACCTTTTCAAATGAAACTTCGATTTAAAAATATTTTCGAACCCTCTGGACAAGTAAAATAGGATGTAATGGATAATTTACACAACAGGTAGAACACTTAAACATCTATTACTTAGATAGAGATATTATTTATTTTCTGGAGCTTTCAAGCCAGCATGAGTGTTATTGTCCCTTTAATCAAGCCTTAGCCAATGATTGTTAATTGTAATTTTTTTTGTCAATATCTAATTTTCTACAACCTAATCCATGCTAAAATGTACTTAAATTGATTATTTTGAATTTAATTAAGAAAATAAAATAAGAATATTAACAGTAGGTTATCTCCCGGCTTGGATTCAGTTGGATTAAAAAGAAGCCCTGTAAATAATCCTGGCGAAGATTATAGATGACGCTGGCTTTTTATACGCCCACATTGAAATGTGGTCGTATATTGTCGTCTAAAGTTAATATCCGATTGACTTTAAATTTATATACAGTGTTTAAGGTCATGAAACAAAGAAGTCTATTGATTTGCCGGAGTTATGGCCCTTGATCACTTTTAAAAATCTTTTGGACATTCTAAAGGCAAAAGTTAATATCCGATTGACTTTAAATTATACACAGTTTTTAGGGTCATGAGATGAAGTCTATTCATTTTCAGTGATTTTCGATATTTACTGCCAGAGTTATGGCCCTTGATCACTTTGAAAAATCTTGTGGACACTCTAGAGGCTAAAGTCAATATCCGATCGACTTTAAATTTATACACAGTGTTTAAGGTCATGAGACAAAGAAGTCTATTCATTTTCAGTGGTTTTCGATAATTACTGTCAGTTATGACGATTTAGCTGCTGTGGGCGTATGTTTCGTTGCCTGGCAACCTATCTTTTCACAATATGCCGTTCATATTGTCTGCAGAGGGTACCGAATGTTGACTTATTTTCTATTCATCATATCTTTGTAAATTCTGAAAGGAATTAAACCATTCTTGGACTGCTATTCTTTCTAAATATCCAGAATATTGTAATTTGCAGGGATTTAAACAGTCTTACTGTATGAAATGCTCATGCTTTAAGAAAGGATCCACAACAGAAATAAGTTACACAAATTTCTCAACAAAATTTTCCAGTTGCTCCCATGATGATGCATTAAGTGTAGATTTAGATAAAGAGCTGTCTGTTCTTGCTATGATAGTTCCAAAGTAGATTATGAGAAATAAATATATTGGAAATTTCAGTCCAATTACTTTATTCGCTAGCCTGGAGGTCTGGTGTTCGATCCCTGCATTGGCCGAGAAAGTTCATCTCGATTTTCCGGCGTGGTTTCCCCTTGTCAGTGATGCAGAACGGAGGGCCTGACAAGGATAGCTGCCTAGTCGTTCGGATGGGACGAAAAACCGAGGTCCCGTGTACACATTGGCGTGCACGTAAAAGATCCCTTGGCAGTTGGAATTCGATATAAGAGTAGGCCGTAGCGCCGCTGCCCGGGCAAAATTTCCCTCATAGCACACTGTATGGCATATGCCCGTCTTCAATTAGCCCAGGTTAGGTGCAGAAGAGTAGGACGTTAAACCCCATTTCATTTCATTTCATTTATTCTGAGCCAAGTTATGAGCGTTTGAATTTTGACAAGATAGTCTTGATTATCAAGTACCATTGCTACAATAATAAACAATAAACAAAGTCTCAAATATCTATTTTATCATTCAATATTTAAGCCAGAGAGTTGATTATGAGCCTGTGAATAAATATCTAAGTAATAATTTATAGAACCTTTGAAGCTAGAACAAAAAGACGTGCAGTAGGCAGATTTAGCTCTTACATATTGCATCTTAAAATATTTTTATTACCAGGTTTGATTTTTTGGTAACAGTTCTTAGTGTTATTGGGGTGTTAGGAGAAAGATTTGAAAACAGTTTTTATTATGTTATAGTGCTCAGACCATTTCGATTGCTCAGGTATAAAATGTTTTTTTATTTCAATCATTTTCCATAATGCATTATTTCTTGTCTAACTCTACCAAGTCATTTAACTCGATTATCTAATTCATTTACTTTGGAAGCCACAATGGCTCAGTGAGCAAGGCGCTGGATCGCTAACTAATAGGTTACGAGTTTCATCCCTGTGTTCCTCAGGATAATCCGATGTGGTTTCCATTGTCACTGGTGCAGGATGGAGGGCTTGGTAGGAACAGCTTCTAGTCGTTGGGATGGGATGAAAAATCATGGTCCATTGGTCCTGTTTACATGTTGGCATGCATTTTTGAGAACCCTTGACAGTTGAAATTGATGAAGAGTAGGCCGTAACACCGCTTTCCAGGCAAAATTTCCCTCATAGCACATTACTTGATTAGCCTGGTTGGTACAGAAATGTAGAGCCTTTGATTAGATTTCACTTCCATTTACTCTATTTTCAAAGTTTTTAAGTTATATATTATTTTAAAGTTTAAAATGTTATATATTATTTTAAATGTTATATATTATTTTAAAGTTTAAAATGTTATATATTATTTTAAAGTTTAAAATGTTATATATTATTTTAAAGTTTAAAATGTTATATATTATTTTAAAGTTTAAAATGTTATATATTATTTTAAAGTTTAAAATGTTATATATTATTTTAAAGTTTAAAATGTTATATATTATTTTAAAGTTTAAAATGTTATATATTATTTTAAAGTTTAAAATGTTATATATTATTTTAAAGTTTAAAATGTTATATATTATTTTAAAGTTTAAAATGTTATATATTATTTTAAAGTTTAAAATGTTATATATTATTTTAAAGTTTAAAATGTTATATATTATTTTAAAGTTTAAAATGTTATATATTTAAAGTTTAAAATGTAAAATTTAAAATGTTATATATTATTTTTTAGTTTAAAATGTTATATATTTTTTTAATTATTGTTTTTAAAGGTTAGAATGTTATATATTATTGTTTAAAATGTTATATAATATTATTGTTTTTAAAGGTTGAATGTTATATGTTATTGTTTAGAATGTTACATATTTTTGTTTAGAATATTATTGCCTTTAAAGGTTAGAATGTTATATATTATTGCCTTTAAAGGTTAGAATGTTATATGTTATTGCTTTTAATAGTTAGAATGTTATATATTATTGTTTAGAACGTTATATATTATTGTTTTTAAAGGTTATTTAAAGTAAAGAAACGATATAGAGATGTATTGGGAACATTGTTTGTTCTCTTTTCAAAACTAACAAGGTAATTTTTTCTGTTTTTATTTTTTCTACATGGGGAGGTATTAACTACTTGTATGTATAGATACTAGCTTATCACCGAGTATATTTTTGTAATACATGAAAGTTCCTGAACTTGTCAAATGTTCAGGAAGCGAATGTATTTTAGGTGATAGCCAGTTGCAACAGGTGTAAGATATAAACTATATTTTGATCTTTAATAAAGTTTCCACTATATTTTTTTATATAACTTTAGAACCTGACTGTCATTATTATACTGATGTAACACAACAGGTGATTATATGGAGAATTCTGCAAAATCTTTGATTTGTAAAAAGAACTGATTTGATTGGGTGTCAAGGGTATTGTTATGCCGAAGTTACAGGCGATTTTCTTAAACTTGTGTTTAGATGTTAATGGAGCAAACATTGTAATAATTGTAGAAGAAAAGTTTTAATTAGTACGGTATTATTATTAATACCAATTATTTTGTTTTATTGCAGTTTAGCCATTGTAACTATATTGGTTTATTATTTCTTTGCTATTATTGGTATGGAAATGTTTTTAAATGTTGACCTTAAAAATTGTTGCAAGTAAGTCATTTTTTTTTTGTGTTAAAAGGTTTTCTTTTAATAAATTTTTATACCCAGAAAACAGGGTTTGATTATGCATCCTTCTACCCTTTCATTAATACAGAATTTGGTTTCCATTAATTAACTGTACAATGCAGTGGACAGCTAGCCCCTGGATCCATTCACTTGATCTGATATACGTCTGCCTATTGCAGATCATTCTTTATTTCTGAAATGTTATCTAAATTATTAATTAGACATTAATTAACTTATCCTGACCATAATCATCTCTTGATGCCATCACTAGCCCTCGATATTTAGCAGATTGGAATACATTTTTTGAAAAATAATTAAACGTAAAAATGGATAACCGAGACTTTGTTTTTTATTGTACCGAATTTAGTAATGATGATCGAGGCTAGCCTAAAATTCAAAAGCTAATATTTCGTTTCAGAGTGGAGCAATATGACTTAAATTTTCAGCATATTCTTTTTACGTTATCTGTTTGTTAACTATTATAGCGAGAACTGTCAACTCTTTATCTAATCTCCCATAATGCACCTTTAATATGTTGTTTGGGGTGCCTTTGTATATTGTGTCCTGTCCATAGGTTTGTTTTGTGTTATTGTTTGTGTGTGATGCTGTCCTACTGCTCGTTCTAAATATTTAGCTTGCATTATTTGAAAATTATTTATCTGTGCTTTTACAGAAATACCAGCGTGGAAGATTTTTATGCCTATGACAATAATTCAATCTTTCATGGGTATTACTACCTCAATAATTTTGAAAATATTTTAGCATCTGGTGGTAAGTATCTATTCTAAGTTATACTATTTATATTATTTTCTTTGTAATATGCAACAGAAAAATTAATCTTTATATAATTTCTTTAATAATAGCTAAAAGTTCTATTCATAAAGAGCTATCTGGAATTATGTTACTAGAATTTTATGATCATAACTTGACACTCAGAGCTGGAACGTTATTTTCCATGAAGCTTTAGAAATGGTTACTAATTTGTACGCATCTTTTTCACAACCTAACTATAGAATATTTAATATTTCTTTGTATTTTTATTTTTCAGTGACATTATTTGAATTAACAGTTGTTAATAATTGGTTTATTATAATGGTAAATATTGTTTATCTTACTCTCTATTAATACTCTAGTGGACATTGCAACATAAACCTCCAGCCCAATCTGTTTCACAGAGATCTTTTAATATCTCTGTTACAGATGACTGTTTCGACACGTGACGTCACATCACGCGGCGTCAATCATTGGCTCAATAGCGCGTGCATTGTTTACATAAGATGTTACTGATTCAGGCTAAATGGTGAATTTTCCTTTTTTATACGCCCACATTTAAATGTGGTCGTATATTGTCGTCGCCCCCGTCCGACCGGCCGGCGTCCACAATTGCTTGTGGACGCTCTAGAGGCTAAAGTTAATATCCGATTGACTTTAAATTTATACACAGTGTTTAATGTCATGAGACGAAGAATCCTATTGATTTTCACCGATTTTCGATAATTACTGCCAGAGTTATGGCCCTTAATCACTTTGAAAAATCTTGTGGACGCTCTGGAGTCCAAAGTTAATATCTGATTGACTTTAAATTTATACACAGTGTTTAGGATCATGAGACGAAGAATCCTATTGATTTTCAACGATTTCCGATAATTACTGCCAAAGTTATGACACTTGATCACTTTGCAAAATCTTGTGATGCTCTAAAGGCTAAAGTTATCATCCGATTGACTTCAGATTGATACATAGAGTTTAAGATCTTGAGAGGAACAAGTATATTGATTTTCAATGAATTTTTATGACTTGGAACAGCTTAATCCATGATATTAAAAGTTTTGTATACAAAATGTTAGCATGGGGTAGAACTTTATAAAAATCAAACAAATTCTAATGGTTTTCTCAGTTGTTGCTCTTAATCAGATTTTAGTGTATTATAAATGTTTCATTGACTGCCCGAACGATTTAGCTGCTGTGGGCGTATGTTTTGTTGCCTGGCAACCTATCTTTTAATACCCATTTATACTAAATATGAAATGATTTTTACCTACAAACAATTCAAACGTCTTTATTTATTTTTCTAATACATCAAAAAAATGTTTTAGAATTTAATTTGACGGAAGAAAAAAGTTAATATTTGGGACTCATTAAATCATATCGATGTCATCCTTATCAGTGATTGTAGCGGCCTAGCGAAAATTCACTGCTGATCAGTGTGCCTCCAGCCTACACACAACAAATCTCTGGCAATACAAAATATTAGTATCAAAGCTCTATTACAATGACATGCCAAAAACATGAAGTACCAAAGTTAAACCAAATATGAAGTTGAATACAGGAATATAGAACACAAGTTATTTGATTTGGGAGTTACATGACCATGCTGTCTAAACCATTAGACCTGTGAACAAAGCAGTAGTGAGTTCCATCACAACATGACAAGGAATAAGGGTTGTGTTGCCTGTCATTGAGTCAAGAGAGTCATAGGTTTTCTCCTGGTTCTCTGATTTCCTCCCACTGCTAAAGACCTCTACACTAATTTCAAATTATTGAAATAAAATTGAACCATATGCTAATCTTGAAATAGACTAGTTTGTGTTAAACTAGTGGGCGTTAAACACCATTTCTCTCTCTATTTACATACTTTATATAGTCATTACATGATGTATTCCTACTTTTAATTAAACATACATATGCAAGAGCTAAATCTGTCTATTGCAGGCCTTTCTTTAGGCCTGAAATGTTATATAAATTGTTAATTAGACATTAATTAACTTATCCAGACCATAATCAACTCTAGATGACATCGCTAGCCTGCTATCTTAAGTGGATTGTGAGCCGATTTACTGCATAACTTTCCTTCTCGATTTAACAATTAAATGGATAATGGAGACTACCGGTATGCTGTTTATCGTACTGACTTTAGTAATGATGAACGAGGCTAGGCGAAATTTCATTCGCTTAGTTCTGGGTTCATAGCGGATCAATTTGAATGAAATTTTCAGCAAATTGCCTTTACGTTATCTAGTTTTTAACTATTATAGTGAGAACTGCCAACTCGTTATGGAATCTCCCATAATGTATCTTTAAGAAAGATCTAACTAAAAGTGGGTCTGTATCAAGTCCTATTAGTCCTATTGTTTTTTTTGTAATTTTCAGGAAGGTTTTGCTGTTGTAGTTAGTCAGTGGACTCGTGTTTATTTTATGTTATTTTATATTGTTATGATGGTAAGTCAATTTTTAAATAAAACATCTTACTGTTCTGCACCAACCAGGCTAATCGAGACGTGAAGTTAGTTTATAGTGATTGAAAAATCTGCATGTTTTTCAGAGCTTTGAAGATACTTTTTTGCATACAAACTGTGTGATTTGATGATATATTTGGACTAAAAACATATTCAAACTAATTAATGTATCAAAACTTTGCTTCAAATCCCTCTCAAAACTTTTGTTTTTGGAGGGAGATACCTCAAGCTATAAATAAATTGATGTTAGACGCTATCTTTGTCACCTCAATTCATTGCAGTAGGGTCCATTATTCAGAATGTATGTTTCAAAACTTACTGTCCATTTATCATACATATTGAGGCCTAAGTAAATTCTTAATTATTTTCTGTCAACTTCTTTTTCCGCCTTTTAATTGCAGAGTCTTTTGTACATTGACACCCCTTAATGTTCCCAAAACCGCCTAACCATTTGATCAAGAAATAATAACCGCTCCCTCAGTCAAGCTAGCACACAATAAGCAAGCAGACAACTGTTGGTTTGCCAGTTAGTGATACCCTGACATTTTTGCCCAGTGCTTGCCCCTTGGGTGTTTTTCGGGTAATCCAGTATTTTTCTAGTAAGATTGGGTGTCTATATACTTTCCATAAATACCAAATTTGCTATACTTTTATTGAAAATAACCACCCAATAAATCCTTTCGGGACAATGTATCTTTAATTAACCACTTACTATTATAATATATTGAGGAGGAAGGTAGGGGTCAGGGAGGGGTAACCACTGTTAGCTAAGCTTGTTCAAGCAGGATTCTAAATTACTTTCGGGTTAACAAACCAAGAAAAGTGTTAGTCATTTGGCAGATATGAAAAAAAAAAAATTGTTTGACTTGGTAAAATTCTCCACTGTGTTACTTTCAAAATGACCAAAGTATTGTCTTGATAGATGTTAAATAAAAGCCTATACATATTAAATTATTTTATGGTTAGCAAACCAAGAAAAGTGTTAGTCATTTGACAGATATGAAAAAACCCTGTTTGACTTGGTAAAATTCTCCACTTTATTGATAGATGTTAAATAAAAGTCACTTTCTACTTACAGGTTGTTATGAATATTATTGTTGCTTTTGTGTTAGAATCATTTTTGTTTCGTATTCAATACAGACGTCAAATGAAACTTGATGATATGGATGGTAATAAATATATTTATGCTAGTTCTTCTAACATTTTATAGACCTATAATTGTATGATAAGTATACTAATATACTCTCAGTTACAGATAAAATGTTTTAACTGAATAGAATAAATGGTAAATATTTGGATACATGCAGCAAATTTGTAGCATTATGTTGTCATAGTAGCACATTCTCCAATTTTTTCTTGTAGTGGTTTCATTTTGACACTTTGGATTGTCTTGAGTTGTATTTATGTACTGTTTGTTCTGTGTTTTGTTGAACAAATGAATTGAAAAGTCCTACCTTCCTGCACCAACATATTATGAATTGTGCTATGAGGGAAATCTTGTCTTCGTGTCTATTCCAACAGTCGAGAGTTGTTTTAAGTGTATGCTGATGAGTACACAGGTGCAGATAAGTTTTCCATCCCATCCAATTGACAAGACACTGTTTCTTGGCATTCTGCATCACAAGGGAAATCCTGATCTAAGACTTGATGAAGTATTCATTTTCTTAATGTTCATATCTGTGTTTTATTACAGATGACAGTGTATATAGAGTAGAAGTATCATTATCAGAAGAAGAAGTAGATATGTGTGAAAAACCTTTCTCTATTCTATCTGGTCATTTGATTCAATTACAAGCTGATCAACCAGTAAGTCTACACAAACAATTATACTTATATAATTACCTTGGTTAATAAATCAAAGGGGTTGGTTTGCTGAATGGTTTAATGTGTGCGCTTTAGATCACAAGGTCTGTCATTGAGTCAAGTGCTGTGGTTCCGATACACTGCATTATCATTGACAAGGAGTATGGTTGCCTCCCAATCTAGTGGGTTTTCTCCCAACTGATAACAAGACCCATATCCGCAAGCAAATTGTTGTAAGAAAATTGAATCATATGTTAGTCCTGAAATGCCCTAATTTGTGTTGAGTGGACATTAAACTCCATTGTTCTCTCTGTCTCTCTCTCCCTGGTAAATAAATCAGTGACATCAAAGATTATGTTTGGCAATTTTAAGGACAGGGTATCCAGTTTTATAAAAGTTTAAAAACCTGCCTTGATAGAGCTGCCAATCAAATTGAACATTAAAATATACAGGGAGTAGTTTCTGTTCTCTACCACCCAACTGGAAATCATTAGCCCTGTCATCTATGCAAGTTGTGAGTTCATTCCTCCACTTGACAAGGAGTAGAGTTGCTTGCCTAGTTTCCTCTGTGCCATAGTTCTTTATATATTAGACAATCATTATTCCAAATGGTTATGACCTCTATCTGTCATTTCTAGATATGCTTCTCCATAAATTGTTACAATACATAACCCTGTATACCATTTCAGACAAATTGATTAGTCAAGAAGTTCAAGTGATCTGACTTAAAACAAATATGTCAGATGTTAATGTGGTACAAAATAAAAACAAAATATAATAAAAATCTGATTTCTAATGATTCAAGAATGGTTAAATAGACAATAAATCCCCTTTAAATACGAAACAGGAAGTGTTTATCTCCTAAATATATCGTTATTTATTATGTTTTACATTAGCCTAATATTTTTCTCATCAACAGGGAGCTTATGTCTACAAAGGAGAGAGATCTAGAACAAAAGATGATTTTAGTATTAAAATGTATGGTGATGAAGTTAAAGTAAGTTCAATAAATATCAATAAATTGTTTATTTCTGACAAACGTAACCTTTAAACTGAAAGTAGAGTAGGCCTACTAGATGTCAAGGTCACTGGGAATAAGCATTGTGATGGATAACTGTAATTACACACCAGTTTCAATTTTATAGAGCTACTAATCATTTCTATTACATTTAGAAAACTCCCAGGTTTCATTTTATAAGCCCACATTTTCATGTGGACGTATTATGTTGTTGCCCCTGTCCATCCGTCCATTAACATTTTGTTTGTGGACACCCACAGGTCACAATTTTTATGTGATTTTGACGAAACTTGAATCATTGGTTTATATCCTAAAGATCTTGGTTCCTTTTGATATTGACGCAGGTCGGACTGTAACATCCTGGATTATGGCGCCTGATTGTTCGAAAAACAGCTTTTTTAGCTTGTTGTATTGCAAAATGTGAGCGTATCTTGCATGGCAACCGCTTGTTGATAAATATAAAATTGTCGATTCTTATTGGATTTTATGTGTTGATATGTTTTATGCCATATTGGACTAAAAACCAAGGTCCCATCTACACATTGGCATGCACGTAAAAGAACCCTTGACAGTAACCTCTGCATTTTTTCGATGCAGAAAAGTAGAATGTTTAACTCCATTTTATAATGGCTTGACAATCTGTCTGGATATGCAGGTGTTGAGGTGTTTAAAATAAAACTTTATTCTTAAAGATCTGGCCTCATCATTGCCAGTGATCAAAATCATGTTATATTTTTAACTAAATCAGAAGTTGAGCTCCTTTAAATGTATCCATCTTGTTATTACAGACATGGCTATTGGAAATGGACAAGGAGAGAACTAGTATTATAGAAAGTATGAAAGGATTACGTACAAGACAAAGACCAAATTCACTTAATTTAGAACAAAATGGTGTCTCAGAACAATTGGAAGTTAATTGTTAAAAAACAAATTTATCTGTTGCATTAAATATAAACTACCGGTAATAATGGATACCAAAAACTGTAGAGTTCCCTTTAATGGTATTCTGTTGTGATATCTTTGAATAGTTTGCATTACATAAGGCTAAACATTACATAGTCTAAAAGACAACGAAATCCAAATTTCATATGATGTACTTTTAATAAGTCACAAAATATTTATTATATGTATTATTTATAGTAGCAGTACCAGATATATTTTTGTGAATAATACAGATTAATTTGGGGTGCAAACCTTTAACTTGTCGTGTGCATAACTATATATATATATATATATATCAATTAGTCATTTAACTTGAAATGCTTCCGTGATGTTAAATTGGGAAAAGTACATCGAACAAATACAAATTAAATTTTTTCAGTATTGTTTGATGTTAGTATTATTTATATTAAAAAGGTATTGGTGAATGCAAAATTTGAAGTTTAAATTTAATTTGATCCAAACGATATTAAATTATTTATATGTAATAAGGGACCATAGCTGTGGATTCGAACTTCTAAATTTATTATCTTCATCAGGAAATTGCATTTTAGTCCTTCAGGATTGCGATTAAGGGATAATAATTTAATAGGAACTACCAGTAAGCTAATTTTTGTTTTTTCCCCTTGAAAGTTACTCGGATATACATGTATATCTAGTATATTTGTTTTCTAATTTATTGCACTGTGTAATTGCTTAGTCTTATTCTTCCGTATTTTTTGTATATTTTCTTATTTACTGAACCATTATTCATAAGTATGTTGCTATTAATCCATATTCCTGTTTAGATTGCAGAAAAAAGCCAAAATGTTATTAATGCCCAATATTGATCTTAGATGGGTGGGTTTCAAAATCTCCATTAGAAGATATGCTTCAAATGCGACATTATTTTCAGAATTGATACCAATGGGAATAAATGTCACCGTCTACGTTATGTATTTGATTCTTTCTCTCTTAATAAAATAAAATTTTCACCATTCTGACATTTTAAGCTACACTAATACACACTAAAGTTTGAGGGGGAAGGGAGAAATAGGATTTGATTATTGATTATAAATGTTTGTATTATAGTGTACATATATGATATATAAAGTGCTATTTCACATATTGTGCATGTTATACAAAATGAAATAGAACCATGAAGCATCACATTATGTGGATTTCAAGTGTTGTATAAATACATGATATATATCACCAGATAATGGCTTCTACTAATCATCGACTAGAGCAGGCATTTTTGTCAATGTTTCCCAAGCTATTGCAAAAAGTGAGCAAGGAAAGATATGTTATAAATATGGAAAGTCTACAAATCATCTACTTTAATTGGCATTTAGTAATTGAACATATTAACACAAGGTACAATTTTATGGATATACAATTACTGAATTTGATACTAAGCGACGTTTCGACAAGGATACTCTCGTCTTTATCAAGCAAATGATACAAATATGTGAATCATATCCAAAATTTAAATTATTACATAAAAGTTGATCAAGTTATGGATAAGTAAAAGTGATTAAAAAAAAAACACACTTGACATTATTAGCAAGCTGTTTCTGTCAAAATTTCAATTATCCAAAATTCTTGTGATGTTTCAAGAAATCATTTATATTTTGGATGTGATGTGTGGAATATGTATATCTATAACATATTTTTCCTTGCCGGTCACTTTTTACAATACTTATGGGTGTTACTGACAGAAATAACCTCTTGTTAGTGATTAGTGGAACTGCTAGGTAACTATAGTATTTAAGTACCATGTCTTTCATGTTTGATAATCATATATTCAATATTACATCTTTATATTATAATGGTTCATTGGAAGTTTTTTTAAACAATATACAGCTAGTGGTTTGTAATTGTAATTTGATTGTCATTGAAATAAGTTGTTCCACTCAGGTCTCAACTTTCTTGTACTTAGTGCATTGTGATTTAAGGATGTTTGACTCTGATTACGCTTTAGTCATCATTTTTCATATACAGGTATATTTAGTCAGTATATTAATTCTCAATGGTGTTAATCTTCTGATATTCTTTCTCGCCTACATTGTACCTTTTTTCATATTTACATGATGATTTATAGCTTTATGTGAGATTAATTTAAATCTATTTACTTAAAAATAGTGCAGTTTACTATAAAAGAATGGCAATACTATATTACTAGATGCTAGAAAATGGCAATATATGAGTTGATAAAAGGTGTTTTTTTTCACTAAATTTTTGTTAAATTATTTATTTGAGTTGGCTGCCTCAGGTGTAGAAATTAGACAATTGTTCTTGAACTAATTTGCTTTTAAACCAAACTTGACAATTGCCCATGAACTAAATTTGACAAATAAATTTAAATTAGAACTGTGCACAAGATTGAACCTAGGTCAGAACAAAATGTGCCATTTTGAAGAAATAATGTTAGATATATATCTGGGCTTTTACCAAAGGTAAAACAAGTGAATTTTAATACATTTTTGATAAATAAAAATTTGAGCAATCAACGAATATTTAAAAAAAAAATACCTCATGCAGCCAAGACTCTCAAATTAAAATAGCTGCAATAGTATCATGCCCACGAGGGATCTTTGTAATCAAATGTTACAAAAAGGAGCATGTGATCTGATTTCTTGATTCATAAAATTGGTTATGAATGATAATTATGTTGTTTATTTTATGAATTTACCATTTATCAGTAGCCTGTATATTATTTGTTTTCCATCATTGTGTTCATATTATTTTCCCATATATAGTTATTTTTCTTTAATAATGAGAAAAAAAAGGATGTGTAATATATATTTTTGTAAATACTGGCATCTGAACAAATATTTCATTAAAAATTTCTAAACTATCAATTTATCTCTTTAATATCAAAAACTATATAAAACATTATTTTAAAAATTTCCCCAAACAATCAATGACATTTTGACAGTATCAATTTTATTTTATATGTTCGATGTTACATTTTATTATCTGGAATTATATTTAATTATTTGATATTTTTTCCTGTTTCGTAACTATGCTCGGACGTAACGTCATTTTCTTGAATTACATTATATCATATTATATTAATATGGTCTGAAGAGGTTTAAGAGAACTGTAAATTTTAGCCAAAAACATGTGTTTATTTCTTTTTTCAACGTAAGTTTCTATATATATGTCAAACTGTCTCCCTTACAGTTATAAATATAACTGAACCTAATCTCCTTTGATACTTTGCCATTTATTGAAATTCTGATTTGAAATTATAATACTATAGAATTAATTAATACACTATATAACATGAATATGAAAACTGTAAAGTGTCATAAGTGTAATACTCTTATCATATTTACTTCATTTTCTGTTTGTATGTTACATGTATATCTACAGGGTGCTTTTGATTGCTGGGAATCTGAATCAAAACACATATGTAAATGTTGATTCTTTGAAATAAAAATTGTGATAATTCACAGGTGAAACGCAGAGCAAACCTAATTTCTGTTAAATCAGGATTCAGAAAACTGCGACATGAACCTAGGTTTGATTGAATGCTTAAGCGGTGGACACACTAGCCGAATGATTTGGCCCAATAAATCGGTGACGAAATTTGCCTAGTGTGTCCGCTGTCATTTGGCCGAATCAAACATGTTTGATATATTCGGCCGAATTATATTCGCCTGGATGTAGAATTCATTAACCAATCACCACTCATCATCCACCCATAGCGAGAAGTCACATGATTGTTTAATCATGTGACGTAACAGGTGATGCAGTCGACTGCTGAATCGGGCGAAGCATTCGGCTAGTGTGTCCACTCATTTGACCAAATTAAATTTGGCGCTGATTAATTCGGCTAATATGTCCACTGCTTCAGCAATCATCAAAATTTATTTCCTAAATCAATAATATTACAACCAGAACATTTATAGATTAACTACTTATGATAATTTTGCTAGAACAAGGTATTTATTTGTTGTTTTTTTTTTAAACTTTGTACATTCCTCATAATAGTCAATTAGTAATTAAATGAATTTATAGACATATTATACCAGTGATTCTCTTTGTAATAAACATTGATTTTATACATATTAAACATTGGTGAGTTTCTTTGATAAATTGGGAAAAGAATGATTTTATGCCTTCCAATCAAGTCCAGTGCACGTAATAGGGTGACTGGAATTATTGTTGTTTTATAATATACATTTGTGGTGGCTTCAAGACTAATATTTACACAAAAACACAACAAATTGGTGCACCTAAAGACAGAATATTGTGCCATCCATTGCTGTTCATTCTGTGCAGCATAATATTAATAATTGAAAAGGGAAGAATGATGAACCAGGGTATCTTTTGATCCAAAATGTTCCCCATATGCATATAGCAGAATGATAAATACTATAATTGTTAATGACGTGTTATGATTTCATTTCCTGGAGACCTCCAGATGTCACTGTTGAGCTTCCCATTGTTGTGGTGTTAACGTTTTCATCTGAAAGGCGTGGACTGTTTTCATTTCTTCAGCTATTGTTGAATTTACTAACCTTAAATATAATTAGTAATAGATATGTGGTCAATAATACAAATGAAGTGATCTTTTCTTATCTATTTTGAAGAACTTAACATACCCTTTAGAGAGCACCATACAAAGTTACAACATGCAATAGCATGACTGATTACATTTATAGCTAAATAAAGTCTAAAACCAAAACCACCAACATCCACTTAACACAACTAGGTCCACGAAAAGTTGAACTTGTTTTTTTGTTGCATTATTTAGCTTGAGCGTGAACCCAGGCCTGTTAACCAATGGGAGGAAACTTGATAACACCAAGAAGACCAAAGGGGTATTGACATTTAAACCTCAGTCCTTAGAATAAGTTTAAATGGATTTCATATAATTCTGATATATAGACTAACCTATGTCGTTGTAGGAGAGGTTTGCCTTCAAATAATGGTGACACAATCATTGCTTGAAATTTAGAACCACATCCATCAGATAAGTCTTCTAATTGCTGGAAAAAAATAATAAAAGTACAATATCCAGATTGTTATGATATGGGTGGTCTCTTCTAATTAATTTGAAACGAAAAGAATTTATAACAATCCATGCTCTGCAAACAGCTTGAACAATCACAACCTCACCTGTTGTATACATAATGTCCCATCATTCATTGTTTACTAAAGACTAGTCGAAAGCCCCTTACTAATAAACAGAAATTGTAGTCGGAAGTCCACATAATCGTGTCGGACTGTATATTTCTAGTTCAATTACTAAATGTCATTATTTAAACAATTTGAATTTACAATAACAAACAAAGTAGCATGATATTGAATTATTGATAATAAAATAATTATAATGTGAAGCAGTATAATGCTAGAATACATACTAAAAATGTTGTTTTTAATTCAGATTTCAGTTTCTCCTCAATCTGGGCTTGTATAGCAGACATATTCTTGAAATAAATTGCAATTCCTTCGATAACTAATTGTATTAACCCTGAAATTACAAGAAACGCGAGAAAATTAATAATTTTAGTAAACACGTGGGTAGATTACAAAGTTTTGTCGGTTAAAATATAAGTAACGTAAATCTAAATAATATAAATAATAAATAATTGAATTATATTCAATAGATGAAATAAAAAATCAATGTGATTGATTATGATTGTGAAATCGATCAAAAATATATTTATAAGGTAGAGGAAGTAAGGATTGTAGAAAAAAGAAGATATCATTTCGATGCCTGGTTTTTATTTCGTTTCAGTCCTTTTCCCGTGATTCTAATATTTGGAATAAAACATTGACAGCTACGTCACTTCCGTAAACATTAAAGCCACGTGTTGCTACTATAAATAGAAATCAAAAGTTTTTTTTTTTTAAACAGCAAATTAGCTTGTTTTGGTGTTGTTTTAAAGGCCATGAAGGACAATGATTTTGGACCATAACTATTTTAGTACTTTGTGGATTATCATATTATTTCACTTTGGCTATTGCAGTATTTGTAATAAAAGAAATGTTTATACTATTAATCATTTTAGACAAAAATGTTATACAAGTGAATTGATTACAGATTTTAAAGATTGGACATTTCCTAATTCATTCTCACTCAGTAAACATTTTCCAATAGATCTAGAAGAAAGAAATTATGTTAGGAAAGTAAAAGATGTCCTGTTTTCAAAAGTATATCCTACGCCATTGAAAACACAGGTTCAACTGGTTGCCTTTTCTAGTGATGTTCTTTCTAATGTACTAGATTTAGATAGTTGTGTAGCAAAGCAAGCCAATTTTGTTAAATTTGCTAGTGGCTCATTTCTTCCTAGTGAATCTATACCATTATCACATCGCTATGGAGGACATCAGTTTGGCTATTGGGCAGATCAGCTTGGTGATGGTCGAGCTGTTTCTTTGGGAGAGTATTTAAATAGATATGGTGATCTATGGGAACTACAATTGAAAGGTTCAGGCAAAACTCCGTATTCCAGAAGGGGGGATGGCAGAGCTGTTCTGAGGTCATCTATCAGGGAATTTCTTTGTAGTGAAGCTATGTATCATCTAAGTAAATATTTTATTTTAAATCTAGCATTTATTATAATTAAAGTTTATGTCAGCACTTAAGTGATGTTCTTGTGTTTATCATTACCATGTTTGACCTCTTATTCCTATTTTATTACTTACACGATAATGACTTTTTCTCCGGTTAAATCCAAAGACTAGGGTTGATAATGTGACCCAAAACATAACATAGAAAATCAGAGTAAAAAGAGAGAGAGAGAGAGAGAGAGAGAGAGGGTTTAATGTCGACTACTCAACACAAACTAGGTCATTTTGGGACTAATACATGGGTCAATTTTATTTCAGTTATTCACTAGCACATAGGGTTCTTTAGCAGTGGAAGGAAACCGGAGGACACAGAGAAAATCCACGAGGTCGGACGGGCATGTGCAACTAAGCGGGGAATCGAAAAAAACAAAAAGCCACTGGACTCAATAAACAGTCCTTAATTAGGATCAAAACCTCATAAGAGAGTAAACATACCTTGACTCTTGCATAACATCAGTAACAAACTATCTTCTTTTTCCCAAAATACATGTATCAATTATCTCTTGAAATAAATCATAAATTTACAATGTCATTTGATTCATACCAAGTTTATTGAGTAAAATTATTGATAAAACTGACCTGTATAAAAATAATATAAATTCCATTCCCCATTCTCTCATTTCAGATATTCCAACGAGTAGAGCTGCTGCTATTGTTGTCAGTGATGACGAGGTGCCAAGAGACATGTTTTATGATGGTCATCCACAGATAGAAAGAGCTGCTGTTGTTCTCCGTTTAGCGAAATCTTGGTTTAGAATTGGATCGCTAGAAATATTAGAAAAATCTGGAGAGATAGAACTTTTGAAACAATTAGTAGATTTCATAATTAAGCATCATTTTCCATCTATAAATGAGGGAGATGTAGATAAATATGTTGACTTTTATTGGAATGTTGTGAATCAGACAGCATCTTTAATAGCCTTATGGCAGAGTGTAGGCTTTGCACATGGGGTTTGTAATACTGATAATTTCAGTCTATTGTCAATCATAATTGATTATGGTCCTTTTGGATTTTTGGATGAATACAACCCAGGTTTTGTTCCGAATACTTCAGATGATGAAGGTAGATACAGTTATGAAAACCAACCAGACATCGGTAAATTTAATTTAAAGAAGCTACAAACAGCTATATCACCATTATTAACTGAAAAACAAAAACAGTCAACAGATGATGTGCTCAAACAGTATTCTGTGATTTACAAAACTAAATTCATGGATATATTTCGAAGGAAATTGGGTTTGATCACAGAAGAATCAGATGATGAAAACCTTGTTGCAATTCTTTTAAAAATGATGGAAGAAACTGGGTCAGATTTCACCATGACCTTCTGTAACATTGGTGAAATTTCTCTTAACAATTTATCTAAAAATAATATATCTAAAAATTTATGGGCCTTATTTACGTTAAAGAAGCATAAATGGTTCAAGGACTGGAAAAATATGTATTTGGATCGAATTAAAAGACAAAATACCTCTGATAGACAGAGACAAATACTGATGAAACAAACAAATCCCAGATATATTTTAAGAAATTGGATGGCTCAACTGGCAATAACAAAAGCTGAGAAAAACGATTTCTCTGAAGTGAGAAAGATTCTCAGAATTTTAACTGACCCTTTTTCTATTCAAAAAGAAGCAGAAGATTCACACTACGCTTTAAAACCACCATCTTGGTCAAAACAGTTGAAAGTTAGTTGTTCATCGTGAATAAATTAGATTATTTGTACCGGTACACCAGTTTCTTGTGCGTTTTTCTTGATCAACAACCATGTAACTATGTGTACATGATTTTAAAAGAGAGAGAGAACTATGGTTTCACATCTACATGACATTTTTTGGGACTAAGATATGTTTAGTAGCTGACTCTAATTCTTGTCACATACAAACCTGTGTGATCAAACCATGATTTGCATACACAAGAGATACTACAAGATTTAAAATTTAAAATGCACTACACTTACTTTGGCTTACATCATCATACTTGATCAATTTGACGGTTAAATTTTAGTATCCAGTTTAGAATCATATGAAAAAGAAATACTATATAGATAATCACTTAAAAAGATGTGGCTATAGCGAAAGTAAGGGGGGGGGCATACATGTAAAGTTGGAAGAGTTGACGTTGACCTGTGAGGGGGTCGGCGGGGGGGGGGGGGGGGGCTTAAGACCATGATACTATAATGATTGCTGATTAGTAAAGTCTCTTTCCTGAAATAATACAGACATACAAATTGCTTTGAATATCTCAATTTGTTATTGTCTTCCTCTATTTTTATTGAATCTTGAGAAATTAAATGAAGGAAACTGGATCAACTTTTACTGAAAAATACATTTTTAAAATGGGACTAAGAAGTTATGAAATTATATGAAATGGGGTTTAACATCCTACTGTTCTGCTCCAACTCTGGAGTGGTGAATCTTTCTATCCTACACCTTAATTAGTTTGACTTCACAACTAGACTCCATTATTAAAATAGGCATGACTAAGTCTGAATTTGTGCCTGACATTATTTCCAGATGGTCATCCTGAGGTTAGGGGGTGGGAAGGATAAAATTATGACACTCCATTGATCTGGATCGAAAATAAAATTGTGAATTTCACCAGATTTTATGTGTTAATTTATTTTTTGGGTTGACAATCTGTCTTTTTTCCACATTTTACGTCCATAGTCTATAAAGCCAGTGTTGATTATAACAAATTTTATGTTCCACTGTTGCCACAGTAAAAAACGAAACAAAATGATTTAAACAGGCCACCTTATATTTCAAAACAAATTTAAATGGATGGCGTTTGCCCATCAAGAAGGAAAATAATCCAGGTATAATATCAATCTAAATAATACATCAGATCATTTTATTTTGACATTCATTAAAAAAATTGTTTAATTCCTCTAAAGTACATTTTTTTATTTCAAAATAGCCCTGAGCTTTAAAGGTTTAATACTATTAATTGGAATGGTGTTTATCTATAATCTGTCCGATAAAAACTTGATTATTATGTAAATTTATGTTCTAAAAGATCACAAACTGTGTTATGTCTTCTCCTAATCGGGGGATCACGTGGCTAAGTAGGTAAGACGCTGGCTCGCTAGCCAGGAGGTTGGGTGTTCGATCCCTGCATTGTCCGAGAAAGTTCATCCAGATTTTCCGGTGTGGTTCCCCCTTGTCAGTGATGCAGGACAGAGGGCCTGACAAGGACAGCTGTCTAGTCCTTTGGATGGGACGAAAAACCGAGGTCCCGTGTATACATTGGAATGCAGGTAAAAGATCCCTTGGCAGTTGGAATTCGATATAAGAGTAGGCGCTAGTGCCGCTGCCCGGGCAAAATTTCCCTCATAGCACACTGTATGACGTATGCCCGTCTTCATTAGCCCAGCATAGGAGCAGAACAGTAGGACGTTAAACCCCATTTCATTTCATTTGTCTTCTCCTAATCACTGAATAGTTAAGAGTTGTCGGCCCATGTTGCGCCAAGGGAGGTAATTGATGTTCCTCCTGAGAAAAAAATGGCGTCTGCTTTGAAGAAGGTTATTGTGAATATTTTTGTTGCAGTTCCGATTAATCGAGCCTGCAATCGTTATTTATCAAGCAGGTCAGTAGATATCGTTGGTATATTATTATCGTGTTAATAAAGTGTTATTAAAATTTCTAATTAACGCTTCATAATTGATTACAGCCGACCAACTCAAAATGTCGAATGTCAACAACAAGATTTTGTTTACGTTCAGCTCTGAATGAAAGTCTCATTACACTCGCCCTGTATGTTCAGGAACCGTCCCATTGAATTCTTATCGAAAAACTTTCGAACCCAAGTCAATTTTACTGGACAACTTTTTACTGCTACGTAAACGGTAGTGAATTAACGCCTGTACAATGTCAATATAAAAAAGGGAACATTTGATTTTTCTGAGAAAATAAGTATGTGCGACACAATGAACATGCTGTTAAAAATACGTCCCCTTCTGCTAAACAGCTTGGCAGAAACCATTAAAATCTAATATAGGGTAATGCACAAATTTGTAACTAGGACCTGGAGGTCCCGTGTTTGATCCCTACATTGGCAGAGAAAGTTCATCCAGATTTTCCGGCGTAACTCCCCCTTGTCAATGATGCAGGACGGAAGGCCTGACAAGGACAGCTGTCTAGTCGTTTGGATGGGATGGAAAACCGAGGTCCGAGGTACCATGTACACATTGGCGTGCACGTAAAAGTTCCCTTGACACTGACAGTTGGAATTCGATATAAGAGTAGGTCGTAGTGCCACAGTCCGGCCAAAATTTCCCTTATAGCACACTGTGTGGCGATGCCCGCCATCATTAGCCCGGTTCGGAGCAGAACAGTAGTATGTGAAACCGCGTTTCATTTCATTTCATTTCCTGTACATTGTACAGGTGTTCACAGGGACTGACAAGCGACCGTTTACCAGTAAAAAGTTGCCCAGTAAATTTGACTGGGCTTCAAAAGTTTTTCGACAAGGATTCAATATTTCCTGAATGTACAGGGCGAGTATAATGAGACCTACGTTCAGAGCTGAACTATTTACGTACAAGAGTGTGTGTCTTATGAATACGTTGATAATTTATTTATAGTAATTAGAAATATTCTTCAGTCCTATGATTTTTCATATATTAGGCCATATTAGAATATACAATAATTAGGCCCTACTTATCATTGAATATTTGGGTGTCGACAATCAATAGCATTTTTTGCAGCTGTGCCATTTCTAATTTCTTGGAAGATATTACTGTCACATAGTATAAGAATATCATGGGCCCTAAAATAAATTGCACAGTCTATTATTAAATAAAAGCAGGGTATGTGGCAGTGAAATGGTCCAAGGCATTGTTTTGCAGATCATATAGGCCTGAACTCAACCTATATCATGTTCATGTAGTTGAACTGTCACAGGACATTCAACATGAATTTAGGCCTATTAGGTACAAGCCTACTTTGACAATGTCCATGTTTAAAATAATGGTAATTTTGATTATTCTGATGAACAGACGTAGATATCAGCACCACCATCTTGATAATAAGGAGTACAGTGTCATGTGTTTTGTGAATTGAATGTTCTGTCAACTGAGTTAAGTTTGTAGTTACACAAACAATGAGAAAGGAAGAAAATGTCATCATGAATTTCATAATGCTCTTGTTTAGAATCATTTGCCAAGGGGAGAGGTCAGTATACCAAGACTTGTGCAATCAGTGTAGTCAATCATACAATCTAACATTACTAGAGTCATTTTCCTAACATTGCAGGGATTTTGTAGGTCATTTCGTGGTAGACCTATTCCTCTGACCGCCAAAAATGCATGTACTTCCAAATTAATGAAATAAAGATGAGTTGTGTCGATTTCATTTACAGGCTTGCAAAGGTTGGAATTCTAGAAACACCTAAAGATCATGGAAAATCCTACGAAACTGGTCAGGTGGGTTATTTATTAAATTAGATTATTGAAAGGCGATATAAAATAAATATTCAGCTTCCATGGTATCATTGTTTTTTGTTGTTTTTTTTTAATAAAAAACGTCATCATTGACAACTGTGTGTTGATATTTCCTGTATGAAAAGGAGGTAACTGTATTAAACATTTCTTACTGGATTTGAAAGTGTCCAATAGGCTCAGTTATCAATTAAATGACTCTATAACTGTGTGAAACTACTTGTATGTGGTGGTAATTGATTAATGGCAACACTTGGCACAAACATCCACAGGAGTGAGGGCTTGAGTGCCATAAATTTACAAGTAAATGTAACTGGTAATTCCCTTAACCTTAAATGCTATTATTATAAAAAAGCATTTAAATTTTAGAGGATTCTTTGCATTTACATTTAAGTAGTTCAAGATGTAATAATGTCATACATTTCCCTGTAAAAACAATAAAAAACAAATTAATGTCAAATTTAAAATAACAGTGAACCTGCTTTGATACTCCGGTCATGCTATACATGCATAATATAATCAAAACTTAATGAAAATTGACACTGAACTTATAAAATATGTATTTCTTTATCTCTATGGCAGCTCTTTCTACATAAAATATTTGGATATAGAGGAGTTATCTTGTTTCCATGGTTAGCAAGAGTTTATGACAGAGACACTGCTACAAAAACAGAAGAAAAGTAAGCACTTCTAACACATAAGAAACTATTTCAGCTTCTGTATTCTACATGTTTTAGAATTGGAAATAAATCATTCATCCAGCTGGTTTCTGTTTCTGCACTTTTAAATTACCACTTAAAAGTTTGTTCAGAAGTGGTGCTTATCCCTGAGCACTGTTATCATTAATTTAGTTAGATTATCATTAATTTAATTAGATTATCATTAATTTATTTATTGGTAGAAGTGTGGATGAACAGACAACATCAATTGGTAAAGAGGTGAAGGGTAAAAATCATCTACATTATCAAGTCCTCATGGATTCGAGAGACAGTCCACATATTGTAAGATTTTTATTCATAATGTTCTTTTATTCTGTATCATGTTGCAATAGATACTGTAGCATTCTCCGTAAGCTAATTAATTAATTAATTTTGAAAATCTTGTCCTCCTGTAAAAGAAGAGAGATCATCGCTGATTTTTGGATTGTGAATTTGATTGTTATTTTGAGGGGTATGAAAAACACAAAATCAAACTTTAAATGAACTGAAATAGGTAACGAAAATAAAATGGGGTTTAACGTCCTACTTTTCTGCATCTACTGGGATAATGAAGAAGGTCATATGCCATATTGACCTCCAGGCTAGCATCTTATTCAATGAGCCACGAAATATATAACAATCAGCAGTCTGTTTTCAGAATTTTATACATTTGCAATAGTGCGTCCTGAACTTTCTTTTATGTCATATGTTATATTCTTGTTGTGCTCTGGCAATAAAACTTAACTATGCTTTGTGTGACGTAAAGGTTTTTGTTATTCTTATTCAGTATTTTATTACAGAGAGCACAAACGGAAGCTGTAACATTTTTAGGCAATCCAAGTGATACCAGATCTTTATATACTATACCAGGTAATTGAATTAGATTCACTTTTAAGTCACTTACTCACTCACCTCTCCAATCTCCCTTGTCTCACTCGCTTTAGTCGCTTACTTGGTTAATTACAGGTCACCGGAAAAGCATCAATTTTTTTAAAAATAATGCAAGTAATTATGTCAACATATCCTTTCTCCGTGGTTAGTCGTAAATTTCCGTCAATATGCAATCTGTGACGTCATTTTAGTCCTTCTGCACATAGAAAATGACTAGAATATGAGCAGAAGGACTAAAATGACGTCACAGATTGTTTATTTATGGAAAGTTACGACTACCCACGGAGAATGGCAGAAATTACTAATGTTGAAATTTACCTGTTGCAGGTAATATTGACATTCGGGTTCGTGTTATACTTTTAATGGAAAGGATATGTTGACATAATTACTTGCATTATTTAAAAAAATTATGAACCTTTTCCGGTGACCTTTAAGCACTAGCTCTGGTAGTGGGAGGGATACTTTTTGTGAAAACTGAAAAAAAAAGAAAACACAGAAATTCCACTTGAAAGTTGAAACAAAAGTCAGGTTTTAAAATGGAATTTCACCAAAAAGGCCATTTTCTGCAAATATTCGATCATTGACATGTATTTATCCGATGTTTATAACAACAGTTAATATAAATGTGACCACTCAGAGATACCAAATTAAAGAAGATAATAATGTAATTCATCACAGTCTTGGATTTATTTAATATAATATGTCTTGAATTCCAAAAAAGTTTTATTACTGTATGATGTACACATGTTAAGAATTATTAAGCTTAGTTAAAAACAAAAAGGAATGGAAATAGAATTTAATTTGTTTGATTGCATCAGACCATTAGAAATGCATACAATATTTGCTAACAAAATAACTGATGTAAAGTATTGTAGTGATGTTAAGCTCCATTCATCACTGTTACAGGCTTTGAATTAAACTTGTTTCTATTTTAGGTTTAGACTATGTAGCTCATGAGGACATCTTACCATACTTGAGTGTTGAAAGATCCCCAATAGAACATGAACTTTTCGACCAGTTTTTAATATATGACCCTGAAAGCTGTAAGTGTTAAATAGAATTTTATATCTTTGTTAGTGCTTGTAATTATTGGCATATTGTGTTACTGGAAATTTTGCTAATAATAAATGGAAATTATGTCATGGCAGATTGTTTGTTGCAGCTCCATCTTTTACATCAAGTGAAACATTAAGAGCGTGGCAAAATAAAAATCAGCCTTGGTTACAATTATCAGATGTTCATCGAGAAACAACAGAAAACATACGAGTAACAGTCATACCTTTCTTCATGGGATGTAGGGTAAGTAATTTACAAGTTACAGTCATACCTTTCTTCATGGGATGTAGAGTAAGTAATATATGTGTCAACTATCTTTCTTGTAGCATATGGAAATTAATCTTGATTATTTTTAAGCAACATTTAGTAATTGATTGAGAATAACGAATGACATAATTATATGGAATACAAGTTGTTTAAAGATGCATTATGTAAGATTTAGATAAAGAGATGGTCATTCTTGCTATAATAGTTGAAAAATAGATAATTCAAAATTAATATATTGATAATTTCATTCAAATTACTTTATTCTGAGAGACACTATCATCACAGTTTGAAGTTTTGATAAAAATTGTTTATTATTGTAGCAACGTTACTTGTTAATTGAGACTCAGCCTAGCTTATCTTTTTTAAATTAAATCATTAAATGGCATTCATATTTTAATCTGTTTACATCTGCACCATCAGATGCTTTAGAGAGTTGATTATAAGCTTGTCATATGAATAAATGTCTACATAATAATTTGTATAACATTTGAAGCCAAAATAAAAACCTGTAATAGGCAGATTTAGTTCTTACATAATGCATCTTTAAAAGTTGATTTCTGGTGATGTTTTGACCAGTGTTCAAACGTTGCCAGAAAATTTTTTTTATGTAACTTGTATTCCAATCTGATTAAAATACAGATCTATATTTCGTTTCGTTTTTTTATACTTTCGATGGCCTACACTACATGAAGATCTGATCGGTTGTAGTGATAGGTTGTGGCAGAGGTCATACGAACGGCCTTTGCCCCTATGATGTCAGACATTTGATTAACCAATCGGCATTGATGTTACTAGTGGATTACCCACAGTTCCGTGCAAAACATGCCTAAAGCTCGCCGTAACAGACCGTTTCATTGGCTAATCCCTCAGACCCTTACACCATTCAGAGCACGTCAATGATAACAACTCTTCCATATCCTAGTGTAGTAGTGTCAAAATTTTGAACTATAAAAACAAAACGAAATAGGATCTAAGTTTTAATCAGATTGCTTGTATTCCGTATAATTGTGTCATATGTTATTAATCTGGAGTTAGAAACTTTTTATGAGCAGCAAATTATACAAACCCAAGTATAATCTCCTACTTCTCAGTTTATTTATTTCTATTCCAGGAATCGCAACAAGTAAATGATTACTGGGTAAGTAATATTATCGTATTTCTCAAGCAATCTAAAAGCATCATCTTAAAGACACGTGGATAACCACTGATTGTTTAACCAGTTACTATACTAGCAATTAGAAAATATGTCTCAAGAAATTGGCTACTTATTGCCTTTAATGTAAGGCTCGAAATGACCTTTTAATATGTTTCTGTTTAACCCCAGATGCTAAAAGTAGAAGAGTGATTTATAGATCATAATGGCAGGAGTGCATTAGTGATAATGCAAGTTATTCTTAAGAATATTTTATTGTGAAAGTTTGCTGTTTTTACTTTTACAGTGGAGATATTGTGTAAGATTACAGAATTTTGGAGAAGAGAGAGTTCAGATACGAGAAAGACATTGGAGAATATTTTCAATATCTGGTACACTAGAAACAGTGAGAGGAGTGGGTGTGGGGGGACATGTGCAGGTAACATAGATATAAATATTTATTTTCTTATTTACTTTGGTTTAATATTTAAAGATGTTTTGGAACAAGTATTTATCAATATATATTTATACATATATTTAAAGGAGTAGCCCCAGATGTCTTAGGACACTGTTATTAAAGTTGTTATAATAATGCAAATCAAATGCCAAAATGTAAAGAAATAAGCTGATTATTTGGCTTGAAATTTTTAAATCAAAGTATTGAGTCATTCAGAAATGATAGCTAGATTTGCTTAACTTGTTATTGTTATTACAATTTTAACATCCACTACATTACACATGATATTGTGGACATGATGATTAAATTAAGATTATTTATATATGAAGGAGGCATAAATAAGGTAAAAACATAAAAAATAGTTCTTTTATACAAAAATGCAACTTCACAGATTTCGTTTTTCAGTTATCCTGACAAATATATATATCCAACCCACATGTAAACTGAAAGCTTCAGATGTTTGCACAGGAAATGAAAAATTTAATGTTGTCGAAACAAGATGTCCATTGTTTTTATTTATGTAATTTTGATAACCATTTTTTCAGGTTCAGGAGCCTATTTTATCAACTGAGCAGCCGGCTTTTCAGTACAGTAGCCATATCGCTTTACAAGCTCCAAGTGGTCATATGTGGTATGTATGCAAAATCTTATTGTAAATTTTATGGTATCAGTAGATATATTGTAAAGCATTAAAGTACTATTTATATTATTATATCGTAGATGCTGGAAACATGTGATCCATTTTATGATTTATATGATTATTTTTTCAGAACACATGATACCATTTTCAGTATAATTTTATATGTTATCTTTCAGGGGAACTTTCAAAATGGAGAGACAAGATGGAACTGTATTTGACTGTAAAATACCACAATTTTCTTTAGAAAGTAAATCAGAAGAAGCAAATAATCCAAATAGTTTTTTAGGAAGTTAGATCAAATGATTGTTAAAATGTATTTTTATTGTGATATTATTACATTGATTTTTAATGTAAAAACAAAAAGTATGATTGGTAATAGATGTGTATAGATGTGTGAAGATGTAACAAAGTGTATCTGATAATATCTATCCTTTTTTTTAATACAGATCTTTACTGTAAAAAGAAATATGTTTTCTTCACATGTGATCATTTAATTTTAGTTGAACATCTGTATCTGGAAGTTGTAGGAAGTCCATAATTATCTTTTCTGTGATCAATGAGATTTTGTCATATGTCAATATCACAAATTTATAGGAAATCTAGTATAATAAAATCCTGTCTAAAACTGGATGAAGATAAATGATTGAATTAAATTTCTAATTGTCTTAGCAAGGACAATGAACCACTGCTATCTAATAATAATAACTACAAAGTGAAGTGATAAACAGATAGTACTGGATATTATTAATAATCTAGATGACATTTTTATTAATTTAATTGTGCCATCTAGACACTTCTCTCTTACTATAAAACTTGATTAATTTACATTGCTGATTTATGTACATTTCTTTGTTCACATATTTATTGTCATCATGAAATTCCAGTGAAGCATGGTTGGTCATATTAATTTCTTACCTTTGTGTTCACATAATTATCTTGCCAAATAAAGGACAATATTGATTCTGTTCATTACTTAAGTACCATTTACATACCACTCTAATAATAACAGTGTAGAAGGTTCTGTAAATTTAGTCACCCTGCGTTCACATATTTATGTTATTAAGCAATTGACAATGTTTGTCTTCTCTTAAAGATACATTAGTTAAAGAGTTTAATAAAGAGTTGGTCATTCTTGCTATAATAATTCAAAAATAGATGATAAAAAAGAAAATATAGAAAATTTCAGTCAAATTACTTCATTCTGAGCCAAATTATCACTGTTTATTGTTTTGACAAGATGTGTGCATAGTGGTAACTAGCGCACTGGTATATTCGCAACTTAGCCTCGCTTTCCCATTTTTAAATTAAATTTTTAAATGGCGAACTGTTCTAATCTAGTTAAAATCACGAGTATCCGATGCCATCGAGAGTTGAGTATGGTCTGGATAAGTTAACAAATGTGTAATTAATAGTTTAAATAACATTTCAGGCCTAAAGAAAGACCTGCAATAGGCAGATTTACCTCTTGCATAATGTATGTTTAAAGGGATATAATGCAAAAACTCAATTATGAGGGGTTTTTCCCCTTCTGTTGATAGGTTAGTATTGATGCCATGACAAATCCCTAACAAAAATGTTATGTGACTGACAAATATTAAAATCAAAAAATGTAGTTCAAATTTCATGTTATTTGTCTGGAAGAGTTTTTTTTTAATAAACCATGTTCAGATTGATGTTGGAGTCATATGTTGAGCAGTTGAGAACAAACGCTAAATATAGATAGTCATGTGATGCAAAGTCCAGCCCTGTGTCACTCCTGATGTGATGTTCCACACAAACCAGTCAGATCTTAATGAAGTGGATGACATCAAAAATGTAAAGAAACAAAATTTTGAGGTGTATTTTGATCAGACAGTTATAGTTACCTCCCATGCCTTGTGTTAAATAACTATTACATGATCTATTATCAAAACCAAGAAACCACAGAGATGCTTCCAGTTTATTAATATCATAAAAGATATTAATTCCTGGTTTCATTAATTTCATTTTGAATACTACAAAAGCTATGTTTAGATAAACACCCATGAAATTATAAAAACATGTTTGTCTAGATTTTATTTGTTAATGTTCTTAGAGTACCAGTATGTGTTGATTTTTTAATATGTTACATGTCATTCATTGTGTTGCCATATAAATTTGTAATAGCACCATTGAGCAGCACGCTGTGTTGTATGTCAGTCACTATGACTCACTCTGTAAATGCATTATCACATTACATATTTTTGTTTTATTCAATGTGTTTAAGTTCTCCTTTTTTAATTTTTCTTTTTTGGACTTATGAAATATTTCATTTATTCTATAAATGAATTATTACTTAAATAATTACCGGTACATTTGTGATTCAAAATAAGGATATAATTTGACAGTTTGCCAATTTCTTTTTCTGTTTATTAAAGTATTAGGTTATGTGTTCATATGTCATATATTTTGTAGTATATAAATTAGAAATAGGATACAATTTGAAAAGTAACTCATGTTATTGCTATGGATATTTATGAGTGTTCATTTATCAGTCTATGAATGTGTGTATTCCAATTGAATATATAGTGAAATTTAAAAATATTCTTGTTATCGAGCAAATGTACATAAAATTGTTATAAAAATATAAATAATGCATTTTGTTTTGTTATTTTTTAAAACCCTTTTATTACAGTGTTGAAATACCATCACCCTTTGTTATTAGTGAGTTAGTTTACTACCAGTAATATAAATGACATGACCACACTTTGGCTTTAAGCCCAAAAATGCTAGAATAAAGGTTAAATATAGAGTGTAAAACTATACATAATAGTAAGTACTTTTATAAAAAAAATATTTAGATTCAAAAAATATTTTGATACTTTGATTCAAAAAATATTTTGATTCAAAAATTATTCACATGGAATGGATTAAAGCAACAATATTGTTATTAATTCATAAAAACCAACCACTCAAAACTTGAAAAAGAAAATCTGTTAAAAACTATTCTCTAACTTCTACCAAGGTTTTCAGAAAGGAAGGGGGTAATGTGAGGTAACCGACATTAGATAGGATGAAAAAAAAGGATAGCTTATTCAGGTTCCTGTCTTGGCTAATTCCCGAAGCTTTGGTCTTTAACCGGATTATAACTGTCTGAAATTCTACTTTAAAGTCTCTGCGCGTCATCTGCAATTTTCTGAAGATGTCAAATTTTCCCTGTCTTAATCCACACTAAAATGTACCCAAATTAATTATTTTCCAATTCATTTATAGGAAAACAAATATTAATGATATCTAATCTTCTGGCCTGAAAAGAAGCCCATCAAGGGATTTGAACAAAGATTATAGGTCGCCCTGACTTTTGCCCATATCGTCTATAGAATAGGATTTTTAAGTCAACATATGCTTATAAATACTGAACAGAATTGAATCATGTAAACTAAAATTCCTTTTAAAGATTCAACTTTTGCAATATTGTAGTTTGCAAGGGATCCCTCAATACTCCTTGTGATGTTAAAGGCTCAATACCACTCTTGTTGTAACTGAATAATATGTCCCAATCTTTATTCTGATCAACAAATTGTACTATTTTAGAATATTTCAATTAATTGATGATACAAATTTCATCTTAACACACTTTATTTAAAAATTTTGAAAAATTCAACTATTGTGTATTTGGGGGTGTAACACAATGGTGGTAGAACAAACAAGTTAATACACAAAAATCATCTCCATTAATTGTATTCTGAGAACCACACAAAGACATAAGTTATTTACAGCAAAATCACAATCACATCTTATTCGAGCGCTTCAACGACACAGCAAGAAAAACAAAAACTCCTGACTCGAGAGTTATCTTTCCTCAACCTCGATTTCGTATTAATAAGGCCATACCACTTTAATAGGCCAACACATAATAAAATGTATGTGAATACATAACATCCCCGCCGGCAAAAAAAAACAAAATAATTTTGTTTAAAATCCGATGATAAAAGATTTGTGTTGAGACTATTAGTATCTTGAAACATAATCAGGAGTACTATACATAACAAAATTGACAAAAGAAAGACCGATAAATGTAAACAGTTCAAACAAAATACAAAGAGGATAATAAAAGTGGACAATATTGGCAACAATGCCCTGAAAAATATCCTTCATAGCAAGGACATTAAAATATATACATGTATATTCTTTAACACCTGAGTTACATATTGTGTGGGAAAACAACAAGAACATGGACATATGAAGTTAGGTATAATGAGATAAATGGATGAATAAGATAACATGCCATGTAAGACAATAAACATTACTACATGTATTGCAATAATAACATTTACAAAAATTAAATAAAATAGACTGAAAGCATATCCAACTGGGATATAAGTAATACTGTCTTACATGCACAGTATATATATATATATATACGCCTACATGTATAGGTAACTATAGAAAATAATCCTAGGAAGATAGGTTGCTAGACAACATGTGAGCGTATATAAAAAAAAATTAGACATATAAAAATATAACATAACACTGCATAAAAAAGTCGTGCATATGATATACATACAGAAGTAAAACAATATGAGTAAATATACACATGTTTATCACTAAATGAATGGTGGTGGTTTCATTTGAATTGATAATTTGGCACGATGGTCTAACTTAGAGCCGGAGACCCAAAAAGCCTGATCTGCTGGTTCACCACGAATTTGAACAAGATATTCTGGTTTCGCCCCTTTAAGGCGTTGACCTAACACACGTTGGATTTTATGAAAACCACCATCAGAGTCACTATTATGCGAAATACTACTACAGTCCACTGCTGCATCACGAAATCTAATAGGTTTACGTCTGGAACGCACACTTCTACGAACACCACTTTGGGAGGGTTGAATGTCTTTTATTGGAACAGGGATTCGTGATCTACACATAGTGGAACTTGAAGAGTCACGTTGAATATTATGAGAGTCTTTACAAGGTGTAGGTAACCCATCTGTAGTAATGGGCTGACTTAAAGTTTGGTTAGGCTGTAAAATACTCTCACTGGGTAAATCAGAGTCTGACTGCTCTGGTACAGTCTGATTAATGTTTGTGATAACACTCCCAGGAAAATAAGAAGAAGGGTTAGGTGACCTGATATAAGCCAATTTAAGACGATCACAATGGACATTACGAATAAGTTTAGAAGAAGTTGGATCTTTAAGATCGACTATATGGTCACTACAAATAGTATAAATAACATAAGGGCCTGAATATTTATTTTGTAATTTCTGACCAGGACCTTTTGGAGAGACATTTAAATAAACATAATCACCAACAACAATGTTTAAAGGGTTAATTTTAGCATTAACTCTATCACACATTCTAGCATGTGCTTTAATAGCATTATTTTCAACTTGCTGGCGAATGAAGTTGAGTTTCTTAGATTGATTATTTATAAATGTCTTAATATCACTTGGTATAGTTTCTCGAGAACTATCTGAAAAATTAGCTAAAGGAAATTTTGGACGCATGGAATAAATGATTTCAAAAGGTGAAAACCCCAAAGATGAGTTAACACAATTATTCATGGAAAAAACAACTGCAGGTAACATATCAATCCAGGAACAAGGACTTTTTGACACATAAGGAGTTAACCGCTCAGCCAAAGTTCTGTGTAAGCGTTCACAAGCTCCTAAACAGTGATGCATAAAGCTAGGAGTAAATTGTTGAGGTATTGACAAAAGTTTACAAACTTCAGATGTACATTTAGAAATAAATTCTCTACCTTTATCACTTATTAACGTATGGCAAACACCATAGTTAGAAAATAAATTAAAGAGTGCTGAACTAACAGTTATGGAATCAGTATTAGCAATTGGATAACAAACTAAAAACTTACTGAACATATCAACAGCGGTGAATACATAACAATCTCCTTTAGGGGTTTTAGGTAAAGGCCCATAAAGATCTACTTCCCAAACTTCAAATGGAGCATGTGGTGTAGGATATGCAACAATGGCTGTTTTGGTATGTGCTTTAGTTAACTTTCTACTTTGACAAGCATGACAAGACTTTACATAGTCAGAGACAAGGGTGCTCATTTTAGGAAAATAATAAGACTCTTTAATGCGGTCAACAGTATCCTGTATCCCCCCATGACCACCTAAAGGAGAATCATGGTATAAAAGTAAAAGTTCTTGAACTAAGACATAAGGCACAACAAGTTGATAACAATTTAAAGTTTTGGAACGTTTAGATATTGCAGTTCTAGAATGAAATAAAACATTTTCAAAAACCATATAATCTTTGGCTTCAACAATTAATCGTCTAGATTGAGACTGAGAATCAGGCAAAACATTTTTAACAAGATAATTTATAATATGCTTTAAAAATGGATCACTATATTGTAATTCAGCCATAGCAGAAAGACTAAAATTAAAATGTTTCATTAACAATATACTCTCAACTGATATAGAATCAATAGGTGCGGTATCAGTTGAGCTGACAGGTATATAATCACTAAAGTTAATATCACAACAGTCGGTAGTGGACGGCATGAAATGAGTTAGATTATCACTAGTTTCACAAGTGTCTGAAGGAATACATGAATTATGTACTGCAGCACATTGTTCATAATTGGAAGGCACATTATTAACTAAAAATTCATCAATATCACAATCTTCTGTGTCAGCATCATATAATGGGTCTTGATCAGTATAATCCACAAAAACACGATTACATTCAGCATTTGAATCCGCACAAAACAAATTTGGAAAATCTACACCACCGGGCAAAGTTATTTTAGGAACAGCTTCTGGAATATATGGAAAATAAGGGTCATCTTCAGATGGACTGACATGATCGGAATGTTTAACAGTTTTATCGAAACAACGGGACAAAGCATCAGGAACAGTCATCTGTGCTGCTGGTTTATATTTAATATCAAAGTTAAATTGCTGAAGAATGGTTAACCACCGATCATAGATGGCACCACGAAGAGATTTTTGAAATAATGGCTGTAATGCTTGATGATCACATTCTACTGTGAAATGACGACCACGTAAATAGGGAGCACAATCCAAAATGCTTGAGGTCATGCCCAAAAGTTCCAGTTTAGTAGGACCATATGATTGCTGCCATTTCGAAAGGCTTTTCGAGCCAAATTTAATAACTCGTGTTCGTTGTTTGTCATCTAACTTGTCCTTAAAGTCTGACTCTGGATGGATTTGATATAGCATATAACCGATACCAAGACTGGAAGTGTCGACACTTAAATAAAATGGTAGGTCATAGCGAGGAAAAGCTAATACTTTGGAATTTAACAATGTCTCTTTTAATTTATCAATCGCTGATTGATGCGATTCGTCCCAATTATAAGACACATTTTTCTTTAATAAACTGTGCAAAGGAGTAGCAAGAGCACTATAATTGGGAATGAATTTCCTAAACCAATTTAACATTCCGAGAAATCTGCGCAACTCTTTGGGAGTTTTAGGAGTAGGATAATCTTGAATAATCTTCACATGATCGTTGGGTGGGCTTATGCCGGCAGCAGATATTTCATGTCCCAAATATTTACACTTTTGTTGAGCAAAAGCACATTTTTTCGGGTTAAGTCTTAAGCCAGCTGTACGTAATCGATCAAAAACAGCTTTTATATCCTTGATATGTTGATCGAATGTTGAGCTATAAATAAGGATATCATCAAGGTAGCATAACACAGAATTAAATGTCAAACCGTGTAAAATTTTGTCCATCATAAGCTGAAAAGAATTTGGTGAGGTTTTGAGGCCCATAGGAAGACGTAAAAATTTATACGTTCCAAAGCAAGTTGAAAATGCTGTATAATTAGTGGACTCTTCAGACAATGGCATTTGAAAAAATCCACTACTTAGGTCAATAGATGTTATATAATTAGGTGTTGTAGTAGTAAATGATTCTGTTAGCTCTTGCAAATCTGGGATAGTATAGTTGAAATCTTGTGTCTGAGAGTTGAGGTAACGAAAGTCAACACAAAAACGATATTGTGATAAACTAGCTTCTTTTGAACCAATAGGGTATTCAGATTTATCAACATTTCGCTTCGAAACCAATACTATAGGACTGGTTATAGGTAGATGATCGGTATTACTAACTTGACATATAATACCCTGCTTGACAAGCTCAGCTAATTGATGGCGTAATACTTCCTTCTTATCAGGTGGTAAGCGATAAGGTCGCTGATGTTTTGGTTTTGCATCAGGGTTCAAATGGATCTGATGTTCAACAATTGAGGTAAGTCCTAAATCAGAATTTTCTGAAGTAATGAAAATATCTTGATATGAGTACAAACAATCCATCAAGACAGGTAATTCAGCAGGGCTGACTGTGGTATTGGAAAAGTTGAGACTGTCAAAAAAATTGGGATGTGAATCATTAATATTATTAACAAAAGGTGGTGTGTTATTTGTTGATTCATGAACATGAGGTGAAGCAGTATCAGTACTAGAAAGAATAGGTGTGACTTTGGAGGAGTCATCGAATATGTTAAAGTCAGCTAATGCACATCCTTTAAAAAGGGTTATGGGGTGACTGGTTAAGTTGAGTACTTTGAGAGGAACTGTTCGATTTGACGACACTAGGCACACACTTCGAGATCCTAAAACATTCTTTCGGGACAATTGCTGATGAGGAGTACACATGCCTTGAATACCATACGACAAATGTTGTGGCACTTTGCCCCAAATAACAGTTTCTGTATTGCTTGGTAAAACAAGAGTTTTGGCACATTTCACTTTATATGAGTTGGATTGACTGGAAAGAGCACCAAAATCTAATTTAATTCTAGCCGAAACCATAAATGTAGTACCTAATATGATTGGTTGTGACAAAGTTTCTAACACATAAAATAAAATGTTTCTGTGAAAACCACAGTTTGATGAAAATGTTAAATAAGTACTTCCAAGTACTTTTACCTGTTGATCATTGGCTAATGTAAGTTGATGAGTATCGGTTGTAGTAAGTGTAGATTTACTGGTAACTGGTAACTTGGTGAATAGATGAGAAGAAATAATATTGACAGAACAGCCCGAGTCCAACAATCCAGCTATGGTCACTGGGAGGCCTAGAGTTTTAAATTTCAGTGGTAGATATTTAAAATGGTTTACTTGGGGAGCACTGGAGCTTGAAGCTGTAGATTGGCAGAGCTCAAGGGGTTGTGCTCTAGAGCCCTTGAGCGGAACAAGTTTCCCGGCTGCTTTTGAAGTTTACAACAATTAGCGGAATGACCGAATTGTTGACACGTAGAACAGCGAAGATCCGGGCGGATTGATCCATTATGTGTCCAGTTACAGTTGTGGGCAAAATGGCCAACACCATGACAAGTATAACAAACTTTAGATGATGGTGGGTAAGTATTGGTTGGTTGCTGTACATTGGTATAATGCGTTGGGTGTTGGATTTGGTGAAGGCCTTGAAATGGCTGAGAACGTTGTATGAGATTTGTCAAATCATTAATTTGTTGTTGTAAAAACTGATAACTGTTACCGGTACTGGTGGGAGGTGGCTGAGAAAAATCAGGAATTGGTATGTGAGGCGGTATGACGTTTGGTTGAATATGGCCTGGTGGCAGCTGAGAATTGGCAAAACTGTCCCGGTAGCCATAGGCTTCACCCATCTTAGCAGCATTGTAGGCATGTTCAAGTGTTGTAGGTGTTCCGGCTCTTACAAAAAAAGCTAATTTAGGAGGTAAGCCCGATATAAACTTTGACATAAGTTCTTGATCATTCTTGTGTAAATTGGCTGACTTCTCAATCAAAAAACTTTGGTATTGATCTATTGACTGGTTGGCTAGTAAATAAAAAGGCTGGTGGAAAACTATGGAATCGGCAAAATTGACCTGGGCTGTATATTTGGAAGTAAACACCTTCTCAAAGGACTGCCAAGAAAGTTTAAAAGCAGGAGGTAAATGTAAATACCAAATACGGGCTGGACCTCTCAGCTGTAAATGGAAAGCAGCAAGTTTCTGTCGATCTGTGAGTCCTTGAAGTAAACAAAACGAGTCAAACTCTTCTAAAAAATATGTTGGGTTTTCTTCACCGGAAAAGGTTGAAACCATACTGATGTCATGAAGTTTTGTTGGTAAGCTAGAGGGAATTGGTACTTGGTTATCAATGTGTTGAGTTGAGCGAACAGGAGTCAGTAATGGTGGCCCAGTTGTCAGCGGAGATGGTACTGGTGAAGTTGGATACATGGCAGGTGTCTGTTCAAAATCATTAATATACGAATAGTGGTACATCGATGTGGTCGACATATTTACACAGGTAGGGAATCAAGCAAACGATAGGCAGGTACTCAACAATGTTATAAACAGGATGACTTGATTGTTGGCCTTCAAAGGTAGGAAATGGCAACACCAAAAAACACGTGGTTTCATTGAGAAATTTATCATTCAACAGCAGTCAGCAACAAGTTTTAGCATCTCCACCATATTGTGTATTTGGGGGTGTAACACAATGGTGGTAGAACAAACAAGTTAATACACAAAAATCATCTCCATTAATTGTATTCTGAGAACCACACAAAGACATAAGTTATTTACAGCAAAATCACAATCACATCTTATTCGAGCGCTTCAACGACACAGCAAGAAAAACAAAAACTCCTGACTCGAGAGTTATCTTTCCTCAACCTCGATTTCGTATTAATAAGGCCATACCACTTTAATAGGCCAACACATAATAAAATGTATGTGAATACATAACACAACATAATGGTTTGAAACGTCTAACGTAAACCTTTTCAAATGAAACTTCGATTTAAAAATATTTTCGAACCCTCTGGACAAGTAAAATAGGATGTAATGGATAATTTACACAACAGGTAGGACACTTAAACATCTAGTACTTAGATAGATATATTATTTATTTTCTGGAGCTTTCAAGCCAGCAAGAGTGTTATTGTCCCTTTAAGTGACTTTAATAAGGAAACCTTTGGAAAAAGCCAAAATTATGACTACGTAAAAATACTCGGTAGACTAAGAGTAAAACTATAACTGCCCATCCATTGTTTTTATTTCATATCTCAGTTATTCCAAAATATGTTTCGATTATATTTGATACAACATAAGTTAGTGAATATCACAAACAGGATGATGTCTTCTCCAAATCACCGAATAGTAAAGAGTTGTCTCCTTCTGGATGCGCCAGGGGAGGTAATAAGATAGTGCTTCCTGTAAAAAAATATGGCATTGGTTTTCAGAAAGGTTGTTAATATTTTCGTTGCAGCTCCTTCAAAGCCTGTCTGCCACCGTTATTTGTCAACCAGGTTAGTAAACAGTGTAACTTTTGACAAGGTGTTAAAATTTCCGAAATAAAAGTGCCCCAAACGCTATAGCATTTGATACTGACATTATGGTAACTGAACTACGAATACGATCCAGAACGTAACTAAAAACGTTGAGATATACTCATACTCATACTGATGTGCTTGTTTTTAGCTACGATTGGGTGCCTTTAGTTCCAAGTGGCAAACTCAGTTTCTTTATTAATGCATGTAACATCTTAAAAATAAGATACTTTTATACTATTATGACTAATTAAACTTACAGAGGCCAATGTGAATGTACGTAGTGGCACAACTATCGCCTAAACTCCACATATTATTATTTGCGTTTAAATTAATGAAGCGTTATTTTTTTCCGACATACACCGTCATCCACCGTCATCCATGTCCCGTTTAAAAATGCTGTTCACTTCGATTTTAAATACAATGATTTATACCCGTTTCAGGTAAGATTATATGCTTAATTGTACTGTAGTTGGATGTGGCAGAAATATTATAAATAAGATTAGAATAATCAATCGTCATTTTGATGAAAAATATTGTCAGTTTTGCATACTGATGCCCGATGTGATTTGCGTTGGGCTTTGCTACGTCTAACTATATAGTACCATTTCTTATCTCGAAACACGGAGGGTTGAGAGATGAGGTTTCTTATCTATCCTACTCCTAGTGTAGTGCACCTATCATAGTATAAATACTATAGGCCTTAGCTACAAGAACGTACAATGTAGCTAAAAACAATGAGATATACTGGTGTGCTTGTTTTTAGCTATGATTGGGTGCCTTTGGTTAAACTTAGTTTCGTTATTAATCCATGTAGCATTTTAGAAATAAGTTAATTTTATACTGTTGTAGGACTTAATAAACATACGCTACCCAAACTAGTGACACAACTATCGTCAATAAAGTGAATCAGGCGTTTGTTTTATAAAAATTGATACAGACATTCATAATTACATTGCATTAGTCCTGCGCAACTTGTATCAGGTTGGTACTTTGATTGGCTGTTGTACACAACATAAATATTAGCGTCTCCTTCATGACGATAAGATGTCAAATTTAAATTGCTGGCAAAAGCCAGTTATTATCGCTTCGATAAGGTGGTATGTACCGTGTCAGGTATGACTATATGCTTAATTGTAGTTGCATGTGGCAGCAATGTAATAACAATAATCAATCATTGTTTTGAAGAAAAAAATTGACAGTTTTGCTCAATTAAGTACTCTGTGAATCACATCTGCACCTGACAGAAAGAACTATAGTACCATCTCTAATCTTGAGACACACATGGTTGTGAGATGAAATTTTCTTATCTAATCATTATCTTACAGTAGGATGACCAGTTCCATAAACAAAATGGCACCATCATTGTATATTGCAAAAGGTTTGAATAAGTAGATTAGGAAAATAGACTACTACTACAGGCAAAAGATTAAAAAAATATCATAGCCTACACTTATATTCCTTTTGTACTTTATTTACAGACTTGCAAAGGTTGGTCTTCTAGAAACTCCTAAAGATCATGGAAAATCCTACGAAACTGGTCAGGTATGTTTATAATTAAGGTCTATAGCCTATGGTACCGGTAGAAGGCCTAGGCCTACTTGATGTTAATTTTTTTTTTTTTATTAAATATCTAAATATTTGAAGAGTTAGTATTTATGTGTGTCCTATAATATGACAAATAATAATGATGAAATATTTTTAAAGAATTGGATAACATTTCTGTGATTTGGACCAATCCAAATAGCTTCCCTTCAATAGATACCATGTCATCATTCCGTGCCTTGGATTGCATGCATTTACTGAATGCAATATACAATAATCTTATTTTAAATTTTTGAAAATTTTACAATGTTAGTGAAAGGATTGGACTTGAGACGTCCCTCAAGACAATCAAATTCAGTTTTTCAAACAGGATTTAAATCCCTACAGTATCTACCAATAAATACTGCAAATGTAATAAGTTACATGATAATTTATTTAATCTTTGTAGCTTTTTCTTCATAAAGTTTTCGGGTATAGAGGTATTGTCCTGTTTCCATGGTTAGCAAGGGTTTATGACAGAGACACAGCTACAAAAACAGAAGAAAAGTAAGAACAAATAAATCTTCTCTATTTTTAAACTGGTTATAAAAAACAATTGTTTACTTTAGAAGAAGAGATGAACTGATTATGAAATTTAATTTGTTTATTTGTAGAAGTGTGGATGAACAGACAACATCAATTGGTAAAGAGGTGAAGGGTAAAAATCATCTACATTATCAAGTCCTCATTGATTCTAGAGACAGTCCACATATTGTAAGATTTTTATTCATAATGTTCTTATATTCTGTATCATGTTGACCAATAGATATTACTTGACCAATAGATATTACTTGACCAATAGATATTACTTGACCAATAGATATAACTTTTATGAAGATTGTGAGTTTTAAATGTAGTAACTAACTATATGATATGAATATAAGGTGTTTGCTCATTAATAAAGTTTTGTAACCCTAATTAATACTTTTATTACAGAGAACACAAACTGAAGCTGTAACATTTTTAAGCAATCCAGACGATACCCGAACTTTATATACTATACCAGGTAAGTGAATTAGCTATTGTGTTATACATTGCAATGGAAGCTAATTTAGAACACTTACAATACCTTACTGTCTTCTACTGTGCCCTGTTGCCTGAAGAATTGGCCTATTGTAAGACATGTAAATAGAACCTCACTCTGGTGGTACTGTTCGTATCTAGTTATATTCCACTCAGTCCTGACTCCTGATACATAATTTTAGTGATACAGGCTTGTGGAATATAACATTTATTTGAAATTATATTTTCTTATCACAAATTATTAACAAATGTGTTTTTATTTAAGGTTTAGATCATGTTGCTCACGAAGATATCTTACCCTACATGAGTGTTGAAAGATCACCCATAGAACATGATCTTTTTGATCAATTTTTAGTGCATGATCCCGAAAGCAGTACAGCGTGTAAGTAACGTTACATCTGAGTTTGAATTTTTTACCTTTCAACAATTCATGTGTGATCGAAAACTGTTAAAATGGTAATAAATTATGACATACTGTTACTTGTTGAAAACAGCTACTAAATTTTCTTGGTGACGTTTTGAGGGTTATTCTCTCAACGTTATCAAGGCAATGTGATAGAACAACCTTCAAAGCGTCGTACAAATTAATTAGTAGTTGTTTTACATTAGTGTTATAGTTTATTGCTCTTTCCAGTTACTAAATCCCTCTAAAAGATTATAAGAATGATATAAAAGGTCTTGATTAATTGCCATTGGATTTGTCCATTTTGTTTGATCGCTCACGATTTTTCTTTTGACTATGTGTTGTTACACACTAAAATGTGTTGTTAGTCTGCTTTTAAAACTTGAGAAATATCTAATATCTTGTCCATGGAGATTAAGATTTATCCATCATTAATAGCAACAAATAGATGCCTTTCGGACAATCATTGAACTTTTGTAACACAATAACTCAGCTTCTAATTGAGGTAGAATGTTCCAACTTGATGTAGGGGTTTGTTAGGTGAATGTCTTGACTTGGTTTATTGATGAGAATTGTCTGCTTTGGCTAAGCAAACTCGAAGTTCATTGAAGATCATTATCTGCTGTGGTTAAAACTGAGTAGCAATTTGATTGCTCAATACTTTACAAAAAGATAAATGTGCAAGTAATTAACGAGGGTCATCTATTTATTGTGGGATTCAGACATCAGTATCGCAGTTGACTTACAAAGATTTCCATTTATTGTTTGTTGCAGCACCATCTTTTATGACAAGCAAAACATTAAGAGTTTGGCAAGATAAAATTCAACCTTGGTTACAATTATCAGATGTTCATCGAGAAACAACAGAAAACATACGAGTAACAGTCATACCTTTCTTCATGGGATGTAGGGTAAGTAATATACAAGTAACAGTCATACCTTTCTTCATGGGATGTAGGGTAAGTAATATACAAGTTACAGTCATACCTTTCTTCATAGGATGTAAGGTAAGTAATATACAAGTTACAGTCATACCTTTCTTCATGGGATGTAGGGTAAGTAATATACAAGTTACAGTCATACCATTCTTCATGAGATGTAGGTTAAGTAATATAAGAAAGTGTTGTTGTTCAGACTTCTGAAAACTTCAACATGTATTAAGAGTACATTGGACTCGACAAAAAAAAAGAAATGCTCTCTATCATCATGGGGAACAATGTTAGAAATCTATAAATTCTCACTGCTCAAGAAAACCTCACATACAATTACAGTCCAGGGTATTTAAACACTTTCAAATCCTTCCAACCAAAGCAGATTTATACCCTTTTCCACCAAAAAAAAGAAAGACCCAACCTTTCAAAAAGGATTTAGTTACAATATCACTTTACACAGAAAGACAAATTCTACTTTTCTTTTTTTTTTTCAGGAAACAAAGATCTACTGGGTAAGTAAATTTAGCTCTTAAACATATGAAACTTGACAAAAATATGTACAACTCCCTGCTTTAATAACTAGAATTCTACGTGATAACTTTCTTCTTCTGCAAAAAACAGTTGTTAAGAATTTGTGGTAATAAATACTGGAAATGATTATGGGATCATTTTTCTGGCATGGTTCTGTTTATCTGTTCAACATCTTTTGAGAACTCGACAGTTTAGAGCTTTTGGTGTAAGTTTTTTTAAACTTGCTGATAAGCAAGAATTCTGTTGAAATTTATAGTCATAAGCTAATTGGGATGTTGTTGCTGTCACAGTAACCATGTAACGGTTCTATAGGTCAACAGGTTTTTCCATTATATTTTTTTACTGAATGGAATTGTTTGTCTTATAATCTGATGGGTGTATAATTGTGTTGTTTAAGAGTCTATGTTTTATACTTACAGTGGAGATATTGTGTAAGGTTAGAGAATATTGGAGAGGAAACAGTCCAGTTACGTGAAAGACATTGGAGAATATTTTCATTATCTGGTACATTAGAAACAGTGAGAGCAAGAGGAGTTGGCGGACATGTAAGATATATTTTTATATTCATTTGTCTATGGTGCTTTATTGCAGATATTCTGTTTGCAATCAGTCTGCTATCAGTCAGTATGTTCCATCCAAGACCTTGTAGCTTTCCTCTGGATTCCCAGTTTTTTCCCAAAGACCTTGTAGCTTTCCTCTAGCTTTGCTGTTTTTTTCTTCCCATTGTTAAATACTTCTGCATTCTATCAAAGGTACAAAAAAATGATTTACCATATTTTTGTTTTGAAATGATCTAGTTACGCTGAGCTTATATAAAACTACCTTACTCTTGAATTTATAAATTCATTCAAGCTTTTTAGATTTTAATTTTCAGCTGTATTCTTCAGACATAACTTTCTTTTTCAGGAGCCTATTTTATCAGCTGAACAGCCTGCATTTCAATACAGTAGTCACATTGCTTTACAGGCTCCAAGTGGTCATATGTGGTATGTAATCTAGCTGCAAAATATTTTTTTTACTGTTATTTCATGATCCAGAAAATTATGTTTGATCTTTGAAAATATCTATACTTTGAATCTAATGTAGTTTGAATATATTGTTTCGGTGGCATTTAGTAATTAAAATGTAACTACACAATACAGTTACTGTATTCCATAGAATTGTGTTTTGTGTACAGTTTCGATATATCAAAAATAAGTAATTCAGGATCAATTAGCTGCTATTAATTTTAGTCTATAATTGAACACTATTTTTGCAGGGGAACTTTTAAAATGGAGAGGAGAGATGGTACATCATTTGACTGTAAAATTCCACCATTTTCTTTGGAAAGTAAATCAGAAGAAATAAATAATCCAAATGATTTTCTCGGAAGTTAGATTATTTCTGTTATAATTCGCTGGTATTTGTGATATTGTTGGAGATTGTTAATCACCATATGATTCGACATTGCTTATTTATTTATGTCTGGTTACTTAATACATTATAATATCTGATATTATCTAACTTTATAGAGCTCATAAAAACAAACAACTGTTTATTACTAGCTAAATAGATAAAAGTATTGATTGATTCATCATCAACTGCTGATTTTCAAGGATGAAGTAAAAACCAGAATAACATCTTATGATGTGATCGCATTATATGAAACATCCTATATCTCAGATTTAGCTGCATGGCATAAGATATCTTTAACAAAATGATAATATTAAATTTTGGCAAATCATACAACTAAATCCCAATTTATTTTTTTTAAATGCCTAAATTGACTGAATTTAAAGGAAAACCAACTGAAATAATGAGAAACAAACTTAATTCATTATTTGTTTGTAAATATATATATATATATATATATATATTACTATTTTGTGAGATTTTTCGGCTTCAAATTTAAGAAAGGTCTTTGTTTGTTAATTATTGCTAATACATGTACATGTTTTATAAAGCTATTTTCTATTGGTTTAATAGTATTACAATATATCCATTTATAAAGCTTTAAATCCACAAAACATGTTCATAGCCCATAAAACAAAAGTGTCTAATAGTATACTGGAAACAGATAAGTTGTCATGTCCGTGTTAAATTGATTGGGTGTTGGACATCTGTGGAGTTTTGAACTAGTTTATTCCACTCTGTAGATCAAGTAATATGGAAAAGAGCCATCACCAATAAATGACTTTAACCTCCACTGAGGAACACAAATTTTTTTCTGATTGATAGTATCTGCCTAAATGGAACATAAAATTTCAAGATATAGCATTTCCATTTAGACACTTAAAGGCAAGAGACAATATTTTGGACTTAATTCTTTCAAAAACAGGTCACAAGTGTAGGGTTGGCATGCTTGTTCCTTGGACAATTGCGCAATGTTTTATGGACTTTGATTTTTGACATGATGGAACAATACCAAGATGGCTGTGATAACGTCATGCTCAGCTCCAGCTCCATAGTAAGGTGGTACATTGTTTTACACTGCAGTGGTATGGGAGTCAGGGTTTGACCCTAGTCTCATTTGAACAAGAAACTTTTAGTAATTCAGATTGATGATTTATTTACCGACTGTGTCAATTTCTCTATAACTGTTTTTGTTCTGACTTATTATGGAGTGTAAATATTTGTTAATGTGTTCATATATTTAGTATTTTGTAATATTGGAATCTAAAAATGCCTGGAAAAGTAATTGTGTTTAAATAACTCCTGGCATATTTGGATATAAGTATGATAAGTTATACATGTTTATAAATATTATTCTTGTATAAAAATTGTATATAACACTGTTATAAAAATACAATGAAAGCTTTTGAATTTCAGTGAGTAATTTCCCTTGATTTTTTTGTAGAATTTTATGAACTCCCTAGGGAAACTATTAAATTCATTATATATCCTTAATGCATTAACGAGAAGAGTACACTGTTATGAAATTCAAGAATTTCTGTTAATTTCCTTATCCACTTTGTTGCATCTGTTTATTATAACCATGATATGTAGAATTACACATATAATGGATGTTTTATGACCCTTTTGTTGTCATAATGAAAATTATTCTGCCTCTTATGGTAAAATGGGGGGCAGAATTTATTCTGCCACTTATTGTACAAAGATGGGGGTCACAGTGGCTAGGTGGGTAAGACCCTGGCTTGCTAGCCTAGAGGTCGGGTCCCTGCATTGGCCGAGAAAGGATGCAGGACGGAGGGCCTGACAAGGACAGCTGTCTAGTTGTTCGAATGGCGGATGGGACGAAAAAGTGAGGTCCCATGTACACATTGGAATTTGATATAAGAGTAGGCCACAGTGTCCCTGTCCAAGCAAAATTTTCCCCATAGCACACTGTATGACGTATGCCCGTCTTCATTAGCCCAGCAGAACAGTAGGATGTTAAACTTCATTTCATTTCTTATTGTAAAATTTGTTGGTTGCCGGAGAGAGAGAGAAATGGGGTTTAACGTCCACTCGGCACAAACTAAGTCATTTCGGGACTAACATATGGTTCAATTTATCAAAACATGAATTATGATTGTATTTATCCTAGATTGGCCATTACTTGGCGACATACTATAAATTAACCAACTAGCTGGCAATGACTAATACTAAATACTTGGAATAATGGTCATAGTTGATTAATAACTTTACTGTCGAAAACCCAAGCACTGGCCTTCTTTGGGTAAGATGTTTTGCAGTAGAACTCACTGAACTATAGGCTATAGTGTATATACCACATGTAGTAAAACAAATTGAAACGCGTGTGTCACAGCAATGGTAATTGTGTAGTTACTTTTTCTATGCCTGGCAACCTATCTTTTATATGAACTCGCATTGTCACCTTCAGAGCAATCGATATGCCAATTACTGAACCAATTGGCAGGGTGACACCTGACAGTAATTTGATTAATCATCACAATACTTTGATTAAAACTAAGCATGCCATTCAAGTCTGGAATATGATTGACAGAAACTAGGTGGGATAGCGGGGGTAATCAGAAAAATTGTCGACAGCAATTGTGTAAGTGAGTGAAATGCTATGAATCAATCTTTATTGGTCAATCAATTTCCAATAAATGCCATTATGATCTATTAGTTTCTTACTATATACTTGGTAAAAATTGGTAGTTGATTTCAGCACGCAAATTTATCGATTTGCATCGGACTGTACAATTCTTACAATAATAAAAAATAAATCGCAATAATGGGTTTCTTCTGAATACCTAGCAGAAAAAATAACAGTTTGGTGAGAAATGGGCCAGAAGGTGTTCAAATATACCCACCCACACCGCCCCATACGTAATATTGACATTGTTGTAAGTAATTTTTTTTATTTTCATTTACCGGTATGTTTTGTATATAGAAAGAAAAACGATTTTCTTTGTGATTGTGTTTAATGGATAGGACAGAAACCGATCTAGAAAGGGCAGCGAGGCATCATTCGCCGAATTAATCACAACACAACGCCCACCTTTGAAAATAAAGATATTATTATATCAGTTAAAATTGAGAATAGGGTCGGGTTTCTTCTTTTATACACGAGTGTATTTAGTTGATAAAGAGCATTACAATATTTAGAATGTTGGATATATAAATATTAGGAATGAAGAACTCTTCCTCCATAACTGTCGTGTTTGTCAATGAGCACCTACCCTCCCGAAAAATCCCATGCATACACTTCGTTTATCTTCAATACGTTCTTTGGTGTACAAAACAAACCAAGATAACGTATAAATTCCGCAAATGATTGAATTCCCATTTGTTTAGTCGAGATTTGTCATGCATTATAATCATACGCTTCATGTCTCACATTTCACACTTTGATGGACATTAATGATAATGTTAAGAAAAGAGTTCATGATTTATATAGGTTAAATTGCGATTATTGTGTAGTTTATAGAAATGAATACGATATTAAACTGGCGAGATTCCAGTATAAAAATCAAGTTAAGAGTCTAAATCCATTGTTCTGTTATATTTGTCCAAACAAAAAAATATTTAATTGGATAAGGTTCGAAGTTAACTTAGTTTACATATTTGCTTGTTAAAGATGAGAGTATCCTCGTCGAAACGTCGCTTAGTATTAATTAAACTCAGTAATTGTGTATCTATAAAATTGTACCTTGTGTTGATTAATTAATGGTGATTTTAAGGAATATTTTGGAAACTTTGTTCATTGTTAAGCCGTTTTAATTTCGCTAAGGCATTGGGGTACATCAATAATGTTTGGTTGTATAACACAGAGAAATAAATACAATAGTTTCAGATCCTTAGCGATGTAGACTTTCCGAATAAATAAAAAATGGTTTCGGAAGTTTATAATGAATTGCAATATACAAATGAAATTAATTTGAATAGTTCTATACATTTTGTCATATATTCTGTATCATAAAATATTATTTTGTAAAATATTAAAATTAATGTGATAGTAATTGTATCCATGATATTCTTCAGGGGGTCTAAGATAAAGTGAAGTGGTTTGTTTAGTTAGATAAGTAATATTTAAATGTTGTTAAGCGCGTGAAGAGGGGAGGTTAGTGTGGGTCATTCAATCATAATAGTCTCGGTCTATCTTACTTCAAACTTAAGAAAACAATTTAATAATATGTAAGGTTTTGTCTAGTCATGAATACATTTCGACGCTGACTGATAACTTTTACGTTGGTAAAAAAGTAAAATAATTAAAAGCTGGGACACACATCATGTGCGCAGCCTAAGGGTGAAATTGGTCTTCTTTTTTTCTTCTCATTAATATGTATATATTCTGTCGTTGACTTTTAATTTGTGTTAGCAGTGGCTGTGTCAGGATTTTGTAGGGCACGGGGGAGGTGATTTCTGCTCCCCAAGACAAATTTTTTAAAACTATCCCAGATTTCGAGATTGTCCCGAATAAGGAACACAGTCAATGGAAATAATTTTATTTATTGCATCTTGCATCGATACGATTATAAATGGTGTTTTATTGTGCAGTTAACCAGCATCATATACTGATACTGCTCTATCCCTTTTCGCGCGGAAATAAGCTGTGTGTGGATCCTTTTCGAATCAAATAGCCAATGTCTGTGGCGAAGAGGGGGCCACGATGCCTCAGTAAATAAGACGCTGGCTCACTAACCAGGAGGTCTCGAGTTCAATTCCGGTGTTGCCCAAGAAAGTTCTCCAAGATTTCCCAGCATGGTTGCCTTTATCAGTGATGCAGGACGGATGATCTGGCAAGAACAGCGTATAGTCGTTCGGGTGGGACAAAAAAACCGGGGTCCCGTTTACAGGTTGACGTGCACGTAAAAGAACATTGACAGTTGAAATTCGAATAAAGACTAGACGGTAGCGCTGCTGTTCGGCAAAAATTCCCCTTTAGCATACTGCATGATGTACGCCCGTCTTCATGAACCCAGTCGGTGGAGTCGGTGCAGAATAGTAGAATGTTAAACCCCATTTCAGTTCATTGTATTTCTGTGGCGAAAAATGAGCGAACCCTAGAGTGCAAGGGACAAAATATAGTTCTTCGGATGCGACAAAAACCCGAGGTCCTGTGTACAGATTGGCAGGCAGTTAAAGAACCCTTGAAAGTTGGAATTCAAAATAAGATTAAGCCGTAGTGCCGATAGCTATGCAAAATTTCCCTCACAGCATACTGCGTATGCCCGTCTTCATTAACGCAGTCGATGCGGAACAGAACGTTAAACCCGGTTTCATATTATTGTATTGGAGAAAAACGAGCGAACCCTAGATAAGAGTGCATAAAGTTCAGTCTTTTACTTCGAACAATTCTAGAGTACAGAATACGTAAACGATTAATAAAATTTCGCTAATATAATACATTGATCTGTGTAATCCCTTTTTTATATCGTGTCTTGAGATTTCAAAACATTAGACAGCGATAATCATACTAATATACAAAACAATTTACGGGGCAGATTAAAGATGTACGAAAAGACATACACCGTTATATCAATGTTACGGTATACTTTTATGGAATATAATACCTATTGAAAATATACCATAGTAGATCAATTGAACGTATAGCGTATATCACATATACCACAGTAGTGCTGTATATTGCCCACTCGTGCATATCTAATAGTTTTATATATGTGGTAGAAACGACATATCATTCAGTTAGTTACAAGGTGTAACAGACACAGGTAGGCCTTTTAACTTTTTCGATCACCGTGTTTTATTCAATTTCTCATATTGACTTACATTAACGATTACTCAGTTTTATTTATGGTTTTGTAGATCATGTAAGAGAAGGGCTGTTAGAATTAGAAATCAGTTTTGTCGAATCGATATTGGGTTTCATCAAATATGATTAAATATACAGAGTAGTCAAGGTATATGACAACAATATAATCTTATGTTTGTAACCACTATTGCCAGTAGCTCTGTTGACTATTATATCCCTCGCTGTGTATTGTGTTTTCTGAGTAGGAGAATAATTGTCGAATCTGATAATCTAAATTCTATTTCGGGATTTTAATTTTTTTGTCGTATGTGTTTTCTAAGTATCGTGTATCGGAAATACTCGTTGATTAAATGTGCATGGGGAGCATGTGATCGAAGAATGGCATGGTTCTGTTGTGGAAGTTCTGACTGGACATAGCCCAAATGATTTCACATAGTCCAGATGACCTGACTTAGCCCACATGACCTGACGTAGCCCAGATAGCTTGACATAGAAATGACGCCACATAGCCCATAAATATGACCTGCCGTAGCCCAGATAGCTTAATAGTCATGCGGCTTGACATAGCTCAGAAACCTTTGGTGAATCAACAAACCAACAAACTTTTGCTGTACTTTTTAATTTAAACCACTGGGCTGGTTGGTCTAAATGTGCTGTTACCGCATACCCAGAAGCTTCAGCGTCCGTTCAAATATGCTATCTCATGCTTACTCTTTCTAGAACACCAGATACCATTTCTTTTGTATATAGGAAATCTATATGGCTACTAATTTATGTTGAACCGTTGCTTTTAACAATGATCCAATATTGTCATTGTTCAGAAGTTACTCTCTTCCCAAAAATTTCAACTTAGGAATTTCAAGTTCGAATCATTGTCCAGTTCACAAAACATGTGTTTTGTTTGAGGCAGGTTATAATCACCTTTTGCAATATCACCAATTGTTTTGGCAAATTTTACATATAGCTAATAATATATGTTATAGTTTTGTACCGTATGTTCAATGATGTTTAAAGTGTATATAATTATTTAACTGAGAAATGCTATGATATACGTACAATGTAATGTACAAAATGGCCTATTAATAATAGTTTTGTGTTTAGTGATATATATTCATCAAGAACAAGCCTTCATTATCACAGTGTTAGTGCGGTAATGATATATAGCTATTCATACATTATAAGATTATCTCTAATCCCCGAATTATTTATTGGAAATCAAGTGTAGGATTGCCATATTTTGATGTATTATAGCTAATCTTTATCTCCAGTAAGCTACCAATAATTGAAAACAATTTGAAGACTGATTTTTCTCTTTATGCATTATGTGAGCACTTGAGTAATAACAGGGCGGCCATTGTGCATTTTTTACACCACCCAGTGTTATCAGTAAACAGGGGATCTTGATAATATAAGAGATTTACGATGTACATATTGCGTCATTGTAAGATGAAGTTAAATTTAAAGGTGTTTAAGCTATACCCTTATTTATCTTGCTATATCCCTTCTTGGTCCATCTGTCAATTTTTGTGATATACCTGAAGATCTCTTGTTAAAACTGAGTTCAATTGATTTGTATGGAGATCTCTACATCCAAATTTGAAACCAGATAAACCCACATTTACAGTTCAGCTTATAAAGAAGTGTAAATTTGAAAGAAAATTCTCCAGAACTCGGTCCATGCGTGACTTTTCTGCCAGCAAACATTCCCTTTAAGCTCTTATAAAATTTAAAACAGATTGGTTCAAACGGTTATGCATAGAGAAATAAATTAAGCTATATATTTCTTTCTGTATTTACACCCACCAGAAACTAGTCGTTGAACTGTAGCACTCAATACCAATATTCAAGGCAAAAGGGTTGTGTGAAATGAAATTAAGATTGGTTATGGGAGATTCAACTTACTTAAACTTTATCCACAAATTTTATAAAAGTTTATAGATAGTCGTTTCTATCATTTCAATTGGTACTATTTCTGGCATGCCCCAAATGTCATTTAGAGTTGTTGAGATCAGATCGTTTTTCAGCCCAGTCCTGGCACTCGTTCTGAATGTTGCTGTATCAGCATGTTTCTAACCTGGTGCCAATTTCTGGTCATTGATGTACGTCGTAATGCATATTTCTGTGGTTGTAATAAAAGCATGATTGAAAACAGATTCGTGGTGCTGGATTTCAAATAGATTCACGGTGCCGGATCTCAGATAGACCTATGGTGCTGGATCCCTGATAGACTCATGGTGCTGGATCTCAAACAGATTCATGGTGCCGGATCTCAGATAAACTTATGGCTCCGGATCTCAGATGGACCCATGGTGCTGGACTGCTGGATCTCTGATGGACTCATGGTGCTGGGTCTCAAATTCACGGTGCAAGATTCAGATAGATTGGTGTTCTATATCTCAGACAATTTCATGCTTCTGGTCTGGTCTGCGATGTCACCCTGGTGAAAGCAGATTTTAAATAAATGTATTTAGAGTGGGTCGAGATAAGGGAATCCTGGCACACCATTCCGAATGTTTCCGTTTCGAACGGTTTAACGCGATGTCAATGTAACCGTATGCATGCCAGTACCATCTCTAAACGTATAGTTTTGTGACTTTGGTGCTGGGTGTTACATGGTGGGATCGTCTCATTAAAGATTGGAATCCCAATGAAATGCCATCAATATAAGACTGCTCTTCACTGTATTTTAATTGTATTCAAAACTGTAGACGCACGGCGATCATAAAGCCTTTTTTCAATTTTTGGTGGAGCCAGTGTGGCTTTTCGTACCTCGGTGTCTGATTACAGAAAGATCACCAATGGATTTAGAGATTTGAATCTAATAAAAGTAAATTGACGTGCTAGTCTTTCTTTATCTAAACCTCGAGTGAGTAAAGAAAGCTACTTAATTAAATAAGATTAAACCTATAGCATTCTACATTCAATAAAATAAAAGGTCAAACAACCGCAAAGGTCACCGCATATCATTCAAGTACATAACAGAAATACAGGGTTATAGTCAAGTTGCAATTGTTCAGTGCGGCTGTTTTACTTATATTTCAAGTACAATGTCTATATAATATATATTATATATTGAAGAATGCAAAGGCATTTAAATAATGCGAAGTTTGAATAACAACCTGTCGTCAATATCTGTATTATACTGCATAAAATTGGGGTGTTCCATAAAGTTTTCTGACAAGTAATTTACAAAGCTTAATAAGAAGCATTAATAAAAAAAATTAGCTGTAGTAGTTCATGAAAAGTTCAAGCTGGGTGGGAGTATAAATAATTTTCGCCGCCCTTTTTTCAACTTCAAAGGATTGTATCGCAGCCATTAATTTGCAGAAAAAACTTCCGAAATCATAAAGTTTATGATATAAAAAGTATGAATATTACGAAAGAACGTGCACTTATTTTCTTGCTCAGTAACCATAGCAAAACGAATTTTCTATGGTACTCATGGGTTAAACAATAGAACATAGAACTTTGCATGTGGTTCTTCAGAATTTGTATTCTGGAAAGTTTCTGTAGAGTTAATTCGTGTGAAATCAGGTCTGACCGCTTTTAACAGTGCTTTTTTAATAGAGAAATGACCCCCGGATTGAACTCTTAGCATGTTTATATTGACATAATTGGTAAGAAATCAATTTTGGTCGAATGGAGGAGATCTGTACCGAATAAATTGCTCATGTTTTGGCCCATTGTCAAGTATGCTGGTCAACCCAATAACGTATATACAATTAATGGGAATTGTAAAAAAATACTTTACTGATAAGCTTATTTAATACTATCTGTATACACAACATAAGTCGATCTCTAGTAAACATAGATCTTTATCATAGCTTCTGGTTTATTAGCATAGGAAAACAGTTGGGAAAGGGCTTCTAATTTACAAAACTTGAAAAGCCCTGTATTGCACAGTTCTAGGTTTATCAAAACTGAATTGTGGGTTTATACTGGGATTGTCTTAAATATTCTCTTCAAAATACCCATTGAAAATAATTGTCATATATCTTCTTGCATATTAACAGTGAGTTCTGTTTTATGTAGGTTTCTACGGAATCGTTTTTTTTAAATATTCTTCTATAATAGATGTTCTCTAGAGGTTGAACGGGGACTTACATAATACAAGTATCAAGCATACGGAATGCTTTAGTTAACACAGAAAAACCCAAGCGACTTATATAAAAGGATTATCTGGAATCTTCTAAATATCTGTCTACAATGCATTAGATAATAAGTGTTGGTATGCGTAGTAAGGACCACTGAATACATTAATCTTATAATCTAAGTTTAATGTTGTCATTGACGAACAAGTATAACTATGTAAATGATTGGACGATGGTGGGAAAAGATGGTTTCATTATCCGCAACTATGGCTATTTTTCCCCACCCAAATGACGCACATTAGGCCTACAGCACAATGAGGGAACACGAGATTTGCCTGCACTGTTAAAGTTGCACAGAAACGGAATCTAAGGTTTGCGATAATGATGATGGCAAGCGTATTTTAATGGATCGGAGATTTCAGTGGTTAAAAGAAATCGTTATAAGTGATTATTGATCTTCTTCCATACACATAATCTAAATAACTGACATTGTTAATTCCCAGTTCTTTGACGAAACTAGTCATAAATAACGACAGTCCGGCTGAATGATATCAGGATACAAAGTGTGAATTCCATTTTTTTTCTATATTGTCCATAATTAATCAAACAATTTTTTTCTATTTTCCAGGTGACAATTGAAACTGAAGATGGCGGAAATGGGTTAAAGTTTAGACCATTAGATAAGTTGGTACCGGTATCATAATCATGCTGCTCTTCGGGATATTTGAGGGAGAGCGAGTGACGCTGGATGTGTCACCAGGAATGACAGTTGCGGAGTTCAAAAAGATTTTACAAGAAAAACTGAACATTTCGGATGATTTGTGTAAATTTGATAAAACGGTGATAAGTTTGACTTACGCTCGGGCAGAACTGCGTGATACCTGGGTACTCAGCGATCTTGGCATCGTTCACGGTACTACGATTCGAATTCAACTGAAAGAGGAGGAAAATCCTGTGCTCTATATCCAGTGTTCACATACCAATGAAACTTTAACCATATTTGATAACTTGAATGTTGGTTCCATGCCTGTGAAAGATCTTAGGTCGTTGGTTTCAAAAAGAACGGGTTTACCGGTTGGGATATTTCGTCTGTGCACCAGCAATGGTACCGAAATGTTCGATTGTCATTTGTTGGAGTATTACGGTATAGAAGCTGGTAGTAAGTTGCACCTAGAGAATTGGGATGGCTTAAACGAATTTATAAATCTTGCCAGTCGAGGATTCACGCCTCAAGTGATTTCTCAGATTTCCTTAGACGACATTCATGGTCGATACTTATTGAAAGTAGCATTATATATAGCTGCTCATTTCGGGAATGTGGATCTAGCGCGCTCCTTGTTAAAACTTGGTGGAAGAAGTGATGAACCTATCAAAGATCCTCCCCAACGACAGTGGTGCGGCTCCTTGACTCATATTGACAGTCTCAAAGCCCCAGTTCACGTGGCAACTGAAATGGGTAATTTGGGCGTCTTAAGACTTTTTGTTAATCATGATATTACGTGTCTTATGGCGAAGGACGGGCGTGGATTAATGCCAATGAATATTGCTCTCAGACAACATATTAAAAACTGTGCGCCATATCTACTTACTAAACAATGGACTAAAATCAATTTAACTAAAAACGTTGCAGTCAGTGTGAAAACGTACGATGGCATAAAACGGTGGTGGGAACGGGCGAAGGAAACGGCATACATTAAATACGGTCTGTCAAAATCCTCAATCAAGAAGCGAAATATTGATTTTGGGCCTCTAGTAAGCTATGGTGTACTTGTGGATGGATTCTCAAAAAGCTCCATGAACGGAAAACCAAAGGTCCAACTCGTTAAGGAAGAGAAAGATAAGAGAAAAGCTAAAGAAAATGTTATTCCAACGATTGACGAAAATGAAGAAGATCCTGAGATGTATTTCAAAAATATCAATATTAATTTACCCTTAACTGATAGATCCACCATATTCGCAGATAGGAAAAATGTGCAAAACATCCCGAAATCTGATAGACCGAAACATTATTCTCCAACTACACAAACTAAGCAGGCATGGAAAGCCAAGCCTGATGGAAGGGGTACCCCTGGTCGCTCGTCTCGTTCAACAACTCCAGATGCCTCCAAAAAGGACAGCGAAAGTAGCCCTGAAAGAGACCACGGTTTTAAACTGCCACCCATACTGGAGAGAAGCCGACGTAGACTAGTTAGTCAGTCTCAGCCAGCATTAAACCTATCACCAAAAGGTTCCATTAAACTTGGGAAAGGCGGTGGCAGCAGACTTACAAAGAACAACAAAAATGCTTTCCTTCGAACCTCAAAACCAAATAAAACTTTAACCCAGTCTTTACCAAATGTCAATGTATTACCGCCAGACAAACCAGCTTCCATGCCGGCCCTCAGCATAGCTTCCACTGATCGTAGTGAAATGGGAAAATCATTGACAGACACCCCCGGTGCATCTATGTCCAGTATTACCGAAGAAGCTCAGTCATCCGATGATCTTCCTAATATTTCCAAAGCTCGTAAAAAACGACGAGGAAAAATTCCATCTTCGGTCCTTTTATCTAAAGCCCAAGCCAGTGATTCTACCATTCCGTTACCGCTCATTAACAACGAGTCCAACAGTCGCCCTTTCTTCTACCTCAATGGTTTGCGAGAAGATGACGTCATAGAACCCACGGTAGATCTGTTGACAAAATATAAAGGTGGTTCGCCTAGAGAACGAGCAATACGATCGTTAGTTGTAGCTAGCAATTTTAAAGAAAAACCCTGGTTAACTCAAGTGCGCATGGCTTTATCATTATCCACAACTTCAATGAAAAGGGATGTGAAACGCATCAAGTCATCCACAAAAGACGTTTCGGTACAATGTGCCCTGAAACCCACGCATCCTGTTTCATCCATTGTGTAATTTATCTAATTGAATCCTAATGCATTTATAATAATTGGCTTGTCCTTTATACGATGAACCCCCATTAATTCCTCCTTTATCGAGCTGTCCATTTGTTATGAAAGAACCTTCAATGTTATACAGTAATATTCGACGAACCATACGTTGGACACCCGATCCGCCTATTATTAGCCTGCTAGTAGTAGAGAGTTGTTAGTCATTTTTAGATGCTCGTAGCAGCGCTAAGGGTGCCTCTGCGCCTCTGGGGGTAAATTGTTAGCCGCTACAGTAACAACTAACAAGGGCAGCCTTTGTTATCTACTATAGTAGCAACTAACAAGGGCCGTATAGTTTTTATTTTCCTAATAAATAAATCGAGACTTGGAAAACTAACTTTATTCCCATTTTCTGGTTATTGACGAAATGTGGACTTATTTAATAAACAACTAAATTACTCATATTTTACTGCGGCCAAAATATTTATGAATAATACTAAAATAGGGATTAAAGATGAGATTTTGTGTAGATAATCAAGGCCCTATCCTATTTATAGGAGGAAACTGTGCGCTGTATGCATATATATTATTATTTAATGAACTTTCTTTTCAGAGGTCCCTATATTCTAATTTCGACAATTATAACATATACACTGTACATTGCATAAACTTCTCTCGAACAGTTCTGAGTCGCTTTTTGATCCACCATTTTATAATTTGCTCCCTTTACTATAGGAGTATTCTTCCCGTCTTAATGGATGTTTTGGTACATTAAAATCTGATCTTATCTATTATCTATTCCAATCGTATTTCTGACTATAGCAGTAACGATTTGTAGGCCTACTAATTTAATAAAAATAAAAAAAACCCACGTAATTTGTCCTTTCGTTTTAAATGTATCGAACGTTAAATTGTTATTCGTAATATCTCTTTTCAATGCTAAAGTATGAAAACATTTGTTAGCTATGTAAATTCATCAAATCAAAAGTTCTAGAAAGATTTGGAATATTCTGATTCTGTAACAAATGTAAATTTATATTTCGGTCATTTTTGAAAATAGTGAGTTACTAGGGATTCGTCGTGGCCTAGATTCCGATTTGACTTTTAATGGAGGTATAACCGTGGCTGTAACAGGGACTTTCTTCTTGTCAAAATTTTATATCGAATGCAGCTAAGTCAATTTATTATGTCACACAATTAATTATTATCTTTAATCCAGTCAAAAACTGGAACTATTTTGCGATATGGTTCCATTTCGAGCGGTGATCTGGTTATGCGACGCGTTTACCCGAATAATTCGCTTTCAGAATCTGATTATTCTGTTACCAATTTAATAATATAATTTAAAAAAAACAAAACTGTTTAGGATTATCTTATTTACGGAAGAGAACGTGTAATGGGTCGAATGTCTCGTCAATACAATATCAGACATTCTGAGATTAATTTGTTTTTATCGTTAGATAAATTTATCGTCTCAAGGAATGAGGCCGAAAGTTTTGAAACTGAATCAATCGGGTTGACTGAAAAAAAAAAACAAAAAAAACCCCCTAAGCATGTCGCCACGGCCATGGCATCATTATATCTAACCTTTTATGCTTTTATGAAGTCAAAGAACACGTTGATTTGTTTCGCGACCTATACATAGGCCTACAGTATTTGTTTAAAGACCCAAACGGTAAGTATTTCATATAGTTTATTAATAATTAAATTTTTCTATACATAGCCTACTAGATCTACTTCCTCTCACAGCCAAATGTGTTTAGAACTAAAACTTTGAACTTAAAAGGCCAGGCAAATTTTCTGATTTCATGTAACAATGCGTTGTTATTTATTGTTACTGTTATTAGGGCCTATTATATTAGTTATTTCTTATTATATAAGGGCCTGTGTTGAAGAAATTCCCTTACTGAAAAAGAAGACAATGATGCAAAATTAGATATCATTTTTCGATTTTTACAAAATAGATTGAATGTGAAAACAGGACGAAAGCAAAAAGATAGGCAACGTATGACATATTAAATTATTGCGGCTTTAGTTTTAGTCTACTTTTAGACACTTTAGTCTTACTGAGCTGGAAGGAATTAACAGTGTGACCTGCTCTAGTAGTCATTCAGTTGTTTTGTTTCGTAACGGTCACTCACGGACAAAGTCTTCTGTCAATTCCTGTCCGTCCTTATTATTATTAAGCCACAATATGAAAATACAACTCTTTTAGCCATTACCACAGTCTCTGTCTAAGGCTATTTTGGAGTCTTTTCCTTCTATTTTCACTGTATTTCTTTGTTTGCCAAAAGGAATCATTTTCCACAACATTTGATAATAGGCTATATATTGATAATAATCTATCACCATTTTCAAGTGTTTTGAATCACAAAATTCTATTTAAAAAAAGCAAAAAATTTGATTATTATTATTTATGTACAGTTCTATGGATTGCAATTACCAGTGCTGCTTATTACTGAGCGATGTTTCGAGTAGGGAAGCCCAGTCGAAACATCGCTCAGTAATAAGCAGTAATTGTATTCCAGAGAATTGTGACCTGTATATTCCAGTTCAATTACTAAATGCGATTGAAACAATTCAGTATTTTCTTATTGAAGCTTTCCATTTGGACTGACAGGAATGGTCAAAGAATTTTGTCTGCGAGATACAGTTCTGACAGGAATTAGTCATTCAGATGGTACGATAAACAAGTTCCCCTGTACACGGCATGCACGTACCGGTAACTAAAAGAACCTTTTACAGTTTGAAATTGAAATAAGAGTAGGCGGGCAAACCAAAATTTCTTTATACATGTACTAGTACACTGCATGTCAGATATCGGTTTCATTATTCTCTGGTGTGGTTACCCCATGTCAGTGGTGCAGGACAGGGGACCTGACCAGGACAGCTGTCTAGTCATTTGGATGGGACAAAAAACAAGGTCACATGTTCACATTGGCGTGCACGTAAAAGATGCCGTGGCAGTTGGAATTGGATATATAACTTGTAAGAGTAGGTCATAGCGCAGCTGTCCGGGCAAAATTTCACTCATATCATGTGCTCATCTTCATTAACCCAGGCGGAAAAGAACAGTAGGACATTAAACCCAATTTCATTTCATCTCCGTCTTCCATAGCTCGAATAATCCCATTTGGAATTTAATTCCCCAAACAACCTTCAATTGTTGTTTTCTACATTCTACACTAGTGGGATTAGTAGCAGAAAGTATGACAATAAACACCCCATTTCATTTCTTTAGTATAAATTGTCATGTAATTTTGTCCATGCTATCAGTCTATCTATCCATTTCATATAGTTTACGTTTGTGCCTTTTTAGAAATGAAATGAAATGAAATGGAGTTTAACGTCCTACTGTTCTACTCCATACTGGGCTAATGAAGACAGGCATATGCCATACAGTGTGCTATGAGGGGAGATTTTGCCTGGACAGTGGCGCTACGGCCTACTCTTATATTGAATTCCAACTGTCAAGTGATCTTTAACATGCACGTCAATGTGTACATGGGACCTCAGGTTTTTGTACCATCCGAACGACTAGACAGCTGTCCTTGTCAGGCCCTCCATCCTGCTTCACTGACAAGGGGAAACATGGACTGGTAACAATGAGTGAACGAAGGGAGGAGGGTGGCTGGTACATAAGTTTACCTTACATATAAAAAAGAAAAACAGTCCATGGACCCAGTAACTATTCCTAAGCACATGTGTATGTCATTAGTAAGGGAAAGTGAGGTAATGTTAAATATTATGTTAATTTTGGAAATTTAATTTGTAAACAAATTAATCGCCACCCAGATTCTTTCCATAGAAAAAGCTAAGCTTATTATTACTGCACAAAGTTATTAGTAAGGGTTAGATTATCTGTACAAATTTACCAGCACACAAAGACTCTCCTTTTATATTACTGGATTGAATATCGTCTGAACACAAAGGTGGGACCAAATAAACCAGTTTAACAACCCCACCTGTAGCCGTCTTAAAATCTCTGGCTCCAGCTTGCTTTGGGCATGCACAGTACGTAAACTATAGCCTGTTCCTGGCAAAATGACTACATGTGCAACAGCATTTGGTCTTAAATACCCTGCAATTTTGAACTAGTTTGAATATAAGCTTCTGAATAGGCTACCAGAAGGAAATAAACATTTTAAACCCACTTACTTTACAATTTTCTCAAGCTAAAAATAAATTGGGGGGTTAAACTGACCAGAAATAGAACAGACAGATCCAGTTTGTGGCGATTTACAACGTACAAGGACATTGATGCATCTCAGAATAGTTTCTGTAAACTATAGGCCTAAACATGCACAAGGCCTCCAATCTAATTCTGAATTGGCCTTTTGTGTAGTGAAGTGAAGGTTAACCAATGCGGTATTTTTAACTATGTTAGTGTACATGTACATGGCAGTAGCTAAATAATTTTTCACATTATGTTTTATTTATATTTTTTAGAAGTTGATTTGGAGAAAAATAAAGCTCCTTAAGCAGAGAAAAGACACAAGAATGTATTAATGTTGGATGTTTAAGTTGAAAAAATCAAACTAAAGACTTCAGCAGAAGTGAAATGATCCCAAAAAGAACTTAAGGGGGGAATATGTTTCAAGTAATTTCTTTATACTTTCTAATTATGTGCCTTCATTTCAACTTACAGATACATTATGTAAGATTTAGATAGAGAGCTAGCCATTCTTGCTATAATAGTTCGAAAATAGATAATGTAAAATGAATAATATTGAAAATTTCATTCAAATTGCTTTATTGCCAGCGAAGATATTAGAATTTGAAGTTTTGAAAAGACGTGTGCAATAATTGCATCGACCGTACTGGTTGTTCAAAGCTAAGTCTCGCTCCTCCTTTTTAAGATTAAATCAAAATATGGCTGAACTGTTCTAATCTAGCTAATATCAGAGAAATCAGATGACATCAATAGATGATTAGTTAAACTTACATTATGCAAGAGCTAAATCTGCCTATTGCAGGTCTTTCTTTAGCCTGAAAAGTTATCTAAATTATTAATAAGATATTAATAAACTGATCCAGACCATAATCAACTCTTGATGCCATGGGATGTCTCCGATATTAAATAGATTAGAACGGTTCAGCCGTATTTCGATTTAATTTAGAATTGGAGTATCAAGGCTTAGCTTAAGTAAAGTGGTTGCAATTAATGCACACATCTTGTCAAACTTCAAAGGATCATATCTTCATTCGCAATAGAGTAATTTACAGGAAATTTCAATTTATTCATTTTACATCATCTATTTTCAAACTGTTATAGCAATAATGGCTAGCTCTTTATCTAAATCTTACATAATGTATTTTTAATTAATGTCTAATTAATAATTTAGAAAACATTTCAGGCCTAAAGAAAGACTTGCAATAGGCAGATTTAGCTCATGCATAATGTATGTTTAATGGTTGTTACTGTACAATATACTTCATAAACACCCTACAGGTCAGAATTTCTGTAAGGGTTTGGCTAGTTCGAAGAGTCACCCAACCATCACTTTGTTAACGTTCACTGTGTATTATTTTGTGAATCTTGTATTGTGAACTCTCTAAAAAAAATTATTGTCCCCCGCCTTTCGAAGAAAGCAGGGAACTATTAAAATGGGTTCGTTTGTCTGTCTGTCTGTCCGTCAGTTTGTCTGTCCGTCACACTTTTTGGGACACAATAACTCTCTTTCTAATTGAGGTAGAATATTCAAACTTGGTGACAGTGTAGGTGTTTATTAGGTCAATACCTAATAAAGATGAGTGCAAAGATGAGCATTTTCTGCTTAGGTTAAGTAGAGATAAGCAAATTGATTGAGTGATGAAGCTTGATGTATAATTTCATTACATCAATACCTTGACTATGTTCGATAATGAGCATTTTCTGCTCAGGGTAAGCAGAGCGATAAGCTATTTGATTGGCAGAGATTTTAGAACACAATAACTCTCCTTCTAATTGAGCTAAAATGTTCAAACTTCTTGTAGATGTTTATTAGGTCAATGCCTTGATGGAGTTCGAAGATGAGCACTTTCTGCCTAGGGTAAGCAGAGATAAGCAATTTGATTGGTTGATGCTTTGGGACACGATAACTTTAGTTCTAATTAAGTGAGAGTGATGAAACTTGGTGTATAGTTTCATTACATCAATACCTTGACTAAGTTCGATAATGAGCATGTTCGGGGTAAGCAGAGCGATAAGCAATTTGATTGGTCGAGACTTTGGAACACAATACCTATCATTTTAATTGAGTTAGAATGTTCACACTTGCCGTAGGTGTTTAGAAGATGAGAATCTTCTACTTAGGGTAAGCAGAGATAAGCAATTTGATTGGTTGATGCTTTGGGACACGATAACTTTAGTTCTAATTATGTGAGAGCGATGAAACTCCTAATATATTAATCCAATAAACTGAAATCAAGGCCTGAAATGTATTACTAGATTGTAAAAATGGATAAGTACTGCAAAGTTTAAGCAGTACCTTGTTACAGGAGTATTTCCGGCTGCATGAACGGTCATGTCCTCTGTATTCACTTCACCTGTGTTGTCATTTTTAGATTTAATGGCATTTATATTAATATTGGAGCCCTGGAGAAGACCATCCTGGTTGATTTTCAGGTGATCTATATTGGTATTATAATTCATGCTGATCATATAATGTGATGGGTTGTGTACTGTATGTAACATAAATTATCTGATCAAATATATCATTGTAGGGAATAATGAAATCTAGAGAAGAATACCAGAAGAAAAATGGTACAGGAGAAATTTCAAGATCTAGATTGGTAAAATGCTTTCTAGATGGAGCTTAGTAAATGCATTTCAAGATTGAGCTTATTAAAAATTGAATTCTAGAAATAGAAACCTTTGATTACCGTGCACCACAAGCTTTTGCTTACGATAATGTCGAATCATTTTGGTGTTGCAGAAATTGCAAAAGAGTGGATGGCGTCATATCTACAAAACAGGAGTTTTCGTGTAAAAGTTAAGAATGATTTCTCCGATGTAAAACATGTAAATTTTTCAGTTCCACAAGGTAGCATCAATGGTCTGATCTACTTTATCTGCTATACCAGTACACTAGCATCCTGCATCAGACACAATCAAACATTAGTTGGCTACGCCGATGACCACAGCTTGTATGACAGTTTTAAAGCCGGAGATCTTGATGCAGAATCTCATATTGCTTCCCGCATATCAGAGTCCTTAGACGACGTTAAAATCTGGATGCTGCATAATCGACTAAATATGAACGACGAAAAAACTGAGGTTATTATCTTCGGTGGTAGCCGTTAGCTCCACAAGTCTACCATCCACGAATTAAGAGTTGGGGATTCTGTAGTTGAGTCTTCATCCCGTGTTAAATTCCTGGGGATGCATTTGGACGAAAACTTAAACTTAAAGAGTCATTTTGCCCAGAAGACTTGTTGTGCTGCTTCGGCAATGTTCAACTTGCGGAAATTGAGACCGTTTCTTTCGCGAGAATCATCTCTTCAAATTGCCAGTTCTTTAGTTTTCTCCCATATGGATTACAGAAATAGTCTGCTCTGTGGTTTGCCAGCAACTACTCTTCAACCTCTCTAACGAATTCAAAATTTTACTGCAAAGCTAATTCTTGGTGTTAATTACGGCCATAGCTCGACTGGTGCTCTGAAAGAACTTCATATATTGCCAGTTGAAGTCCGATGCCAATTCAAGCTACTGGTACTGGTGTATAAGTGTCTCCACAACCTTGCCCCTGTCTACCTTTCTGAATTATTGCAGTCCCAAACTTCATCATGCAATATGAGATCATCATCAAAAAACATTTATACCCAAGACAAAAAGTAAAACATTTGCAGACAGATCGTTCAATGTGCTAGGACCGCAGCTCTGGAATACCCTTCCAGAAAGTGTGAAACAATGTCAAACTGTAACGGATTTTAAAAAGAAACTCAAAACATATTTTTTTCGTAAAGCATTTCTTTAACGTTTGTGTAAGACTTTGTGAAGCGCCATTGAATGCATGGCAGTAATGTGCACTATATCAAATGTAATATGTTATGTTATGTTATGTTATTACATCGTTTCTTCACAGACAGTTGAGTTGATGATAATGTAACAATAAAGAACTTTTTTCATTGGATCTTATTATTTCATTACAAATTTTGAATGTAAATACATGTAACATTTTGTTTTATATTTTGAAATATTGTATATATTATGGAAAATTGTGATAATTGTTTATTAATTTTGAAATATCTAGACTGTGATTTGGTTTTAATTCATGCATATGTAACGTAATCATTATTGATTAAACTTTGTGAAATAATTAGATCAGTTTTTTACGCCCACATTTTGATGTGGACGTATATTGTTGTCGTCCCTGTCTGTCTGTCCGTCCACGATTTGTTTTTGGGTGGACACGCTACAGGTCACAATTTTAATATAGGTTTATTGTCCAAAGATGTCTGTTTCTTTCGATATTGACATGTATCGGACTGTAACTTTATGGATTATGGCCCCTGATTGTACAAAAAATCACGTTTTTAGCTTGTGGACACTCCAGAGGTCACAAGTCTTATCCGATTTTGATGAAACTTAAAACGTATGTTTACAACCCAAACATCTCGGTTTCTTTCGAAACTATTCAAATATATCATGGTTACACCCTAATGATGGTTGAATTCGAATTTCGTGAAAATGGACGCTCCTTGTGCGATAATAGTGGAAAAGTATGTAATGTTTTAAAGAGGTCACAGTTTTTATCCGATATTGATGAAACTTAAATAATATGTTTATATCCAAAGGATCTCTGTTCCAGTAGATATTCACATATATCGAACCATAGCTTCCTGAATTATGTCCCCTGATTGTACAAAAAACACGTTTTTAGCTTGTGGACCCTCTTGAGGTCATAAAGACGCTCTAAAGGCTAAAGTTATAATCCAATTGACTTATACAAGAGGGGGGTTGGATGGCCGAATGGTTAGCATGTGCCCGCTGTATCAGAAAGCCTGTCATTGAGTCAACTGGGGTGGTTTCGAATCCCCGGTCGTACGTGACAAGGAGTAGAGTCGCCTGTCCAACCTTGTTGGTTTTCTTCGGGTCCTCCGATTTCCCCCCACCTGCTAAAGACCCCTATGCGCAAGTGAATTATTGAAATAAAATTAAACCATGTTAGTCCCGAAATGACCTAGTTTGTGTCGAGTGGACGTTTAACCCCATTTCTCTCTCTCTCTCTCTTATACAAGATGTAAGTGTTATGGCCATCAGACGAAAAAAACCCATTGATTTTCAGTGACTACCAATAATTACTGGCAGAGTTATAGCCCTCACTGACATTGAAACATATTGTGGACTCTCTACAGGCTAATTACTTTATTACTTATTAATAGGTTGTTTCTTTTGATCAGCTTTTGTGTCATTTTGATGTTTCCACCTGCAAAACAACAAATATGACCCATACGGACTTCTCCGAAGACAAAGGTGCTGTGGGCGCATGTTTAGTTGCCAGTCAACCTATCTTTTGATAAACTTGAGACAAGTTTGCAATCAGCATGAGGCAATTAGCTACAATTAAATGTATAGTTAAACACACAGTTTAACGCTACAATTGATATAGTAATTCTATCACAATAGTGAAGACTGGACCACTAAAGTAGTTACTTTGTGGTAATGCGATCTACATTTTCAAAGCGGTGTTTCTTATAATTCGAAAGCCGCCATGACACCGGCCAGATGAAATAAGTTCGGTAGGCGAAAAATTACTCGTAGCAGTTTGGTTTCATATCATATAATTATGCGGTAAGGCTTCACCTTTATTTCAATGGGAATTGGTTTATTATATGTTAAGCTATGTACAGTACAGTTTTGGGCCAGTTTATGTATAAATTAAGGGAGCTGTAGGTCAGTAACCTTTTTGTAGTCATTTGACTAAAAAACTTACGCAAAGGAACTCCGCAGGACGAGCTACTACTGTGGCTGGAGTAAGGCGGAAGACATCAGTAGTGGAACCATCTCTACCCAACCAGTAGCCTAGTGGGTTTTCGTCGGGTTCTCCATATTGACTGACTGAGATACACATAACTACCGGTAACATCGATCGCACAAAAAGGTTACGGAATATGCGTTGGGAGGATTACAAAATGAAATGCGGTTTTACGTCCTACTTTTCTGCACCAACTGCAGGTGATACTGAAGACGAGCATACGACATGCATTGTGCTATGTGGGAAATTTTATCCGGATATCAAATCACACGGCCTACTCTTTTTCAACTACTCAACTGTCAATCAAGGGTTCTTTTACTTGATTACCAACGTGTAAGGCTAGACACTGTCTGCATCACTGACAAGTGGAAACCGCGATTGGAAATCCCAAGAAACTTCCTCGGCCAGCACCTAGATCGGATACCCTGATTAATGAACCAGCGTCTTACACCGTGGCTCGTTGGGAGGATTACGTCTCCTCACCCACAAACGTATAAATGCATAATTATATGACGGATTTATCATGTTCTTTGGCGTGAATGTGTGTGAATTTCACAAAATGGTATATCTATACTTACACAATTCGAGAGTCGGCCGTCGTAACCCTAAAATACCGTGCACAAATGCATGTAATACGCATTTAGGGTGTGTGCCGATTACAAAATTGCCATGTTAAACGCGTAAGGTGTGTGGGGATAATATAATTGCCATAATATATTAACTGGCTGCTACAGTTATCTTGTTTGGTGTAAGTTTTCCATACCGATCGATCTGTTATTCCCCAAAAAACCCAAATTATGGGCGCAAATATATGTACTACACATAGGACGTGTGGCGATTGAATATTACTTGCCTGCCACAATTACTTTAATTTGTGTGAATTTTCCATACCGATCCATCTGTACTTGACATATTACTATATTAATGTCGGCCATAGTAATCCTGATAATAATAATAATGATATCGTTTATTTGTAAAGCGCGTTAATACAGAACAAAAACAGTTTCTAAGGCGCTGTTGGTTATATTCACTGATTATTTACAGATCAGGGTTTTGAAACAAGAATGTTTTGAGTTGAGATTTAAAATGGCCCACAGAGGGTAATTGTTTCATTGACTGTGGTAGTCATTCCAAAGAAAAGGGCTAGTATAAGAAAGGGTACGTTTTCCAAGTTGTAAGTTAATAGCTGGAGATTTTAGAATATGTTTTTTCTGAGAACGAAGATTTCTGCTGGTGGTATAGGGTTCTACAAGACTTTTTATATGAGATGGAGCTTGGCCGTTTAACGCTTTGCAGATAAAGAGGAGTAAATTGAACTTAATTCTTTGCTGAATTGGGAACCAATGTAGAGATTGCAATACCGTGGAGATGTGTTGCTATTTCTAGTTTTAGTGAGGCACCGAGCTGCTGAATTTTGAACATGACGTAGTTTGTTAATCTGATAGTCTGGTAAGCCGTATAGTAAACCATTTTGGTAACCTAGTTTAGTTGAGATGTATGCGTGAATGAGTTCTCCTTTATTTTCATAAATGGGATAGCGTTGGATCTTTCAAATTCGATGTATATGATAGAAGGTGGTGGAGCAAATACTTTGTATGTGATCGTTCAACGATTGGTTCGAGTCTAATACAGCACCAATATTTCGAGAGTTATAGAATCCTGTTGGATTTCTTTAATAATGGTTTAACAATGGCTTTTCCATTAAATATTAATGTCTGTTACAATTATTTTAATTTGTGTAAATTTTCCATATCGATCAATCTGTACATGACATATACTAAGCAGCAAACGAAACGTCGGGTTGGTATGTTAATCTGAATAGACGCATTGCATAAAATATGTCAAATGTTTTTATTATTTGTGACCACATCTCCAACCTTACCTGAGCAATAAGGCTCCTTCTCAAACACGGAATTGAACCCAGGAAATATTCTCAAAAACGCAACCTGACTTCTGAGATGGTAATGTGTTCTCCATGATTTTCAAGTAACTCATGCTGCACGTGCTGTTCACCGGGACCAGTCCTATAAAATGCACCCCATACCTGGTTGAATCATTCACACTACAACGTCAGCAGCATGCCACGACTCACGACAGCTCAGAGGGACCAGGCGCTTGGAAGACTCGACGCTCGCCACACTGCCCAAGCCGTTGCCAATCACTTACAGGTCAATGTTCGGACCATCTACAGGCTTCAGCAACGCTTTCGAGTCACCAACACCACGGATGATCGCCCCCCGAACTGGTAGACCACGGGTTACAAGGCCTAAAGACTGCCATGTTCTGCGACAGCAATTGTAGAATCCCTTGACACAGGCATCTGAGACAGCACGTCAGACAGTGGGAACACACGGAAGACCCATTAGTACCGATACAGTGCGCCGACGTCTTAACAGAGAGAACATCCATTGCCGTAGACCTTACCGTGGACCGATCCCCATCCAACGCCATCGACGTGAACGTCTACAGTTTACCCAACAACACCAGAACTGGTGAGACAGACAGTGGAGAACGATTTTTTTTAACAGATAAGAGTAGGTATTGCTATCAACTGCGGATGGCAGGGCAAGAATATGCCGTTGAGGTGGCCAGTGTTATTCTGACCAATGTGTCATGTGTCATGCTTTGATCCATTTAGTAAGTCGTTTTCTAGAATGATTTAATTAAAGTGCCTCTCTGATTTTGAAATCGTGCTGACATTTATCAAATTGCCATTGAATATTAATTGTCTGCTACAATTATTTTAATTTATGTGAATTTTTCATATCTATTTTCCTTCAAAATAGCAAGTTTTCTCAATTTATGAAGAATTACAACAAGAAATATAATATCGACATCCTTTTATTAATCAATCAATAAATTATAGCTGATAAAATGAACAAATTATTCACACCATAATTGATAAAATGACAATAAACTATCTACAATATAGTTAACAAAATAAAATCGCCAATAAATCAATCACACTATAGTTGATAAAATAAACAATATATTAATTTCACTACAGTTGTTAAAATGAGCAAAATAAATTATTTTCACTTTAGTTGATAAAATGAGCAAATCATTATTCACAGTATAATCAATAAAATGAGAAATAAATTATTCACACTATAGTTCATATGAACAATAAGTTATTTTAACTAATGAGCAATACGCCATGTACACTATAGTTGATTAAATGAAAAAATTATACATACAGTCAATAAGCTGATAAACACTTCATAACACTGAATAAACTATGTATCAATGCA